TTATTAAAAACCCGATTGCTTCCCGTCAAAAGCTAGCCCCCCGATACACTCAAGACGTTGTCATGACAGACCTACCTATTCATATTTACACAAAGAAAAAACGAGGTCATGTTGCAAAAAATAGGTTAAAAAGAGTCCCTAAATCCGCCCAATTGTTGCAGGATGATCCCGATCCTCCTTCTTTGTCTGCAAACATCGCTAATGCAAGAAATAAGACTTGAATCTCTTGACGACGGACCGGGTATTCTACCATTTAAACTAGGTGCAGCTAGAATGATATCCCACTACCATTCCTTTTTACAATATATTAACCTTCAAGATATAAAAGATAAAATAGAATCAGTTAATAATCAGCTAGATAGTATAAGCCCTGAATTACATAATAAAACTAGTTCGTTATTTGAACCTCACATTAATTACCTTAAAAATAAGCTTGATAATGTATTAGAACAGTTACAGACATTTGAGAGTAATCGTGTTAAAAGAGGACTGATAGATGGACTTGGGTCTGTTATAAAGAGTATAACAGGTAATCTTGATTTTACAGACGCATTGCACTATAATCAGGCTATTAAATCTTTACAGGATAATGAAAATAAGCTAGCCTTTGAATTGAATAATCATGTTAGTCTATCTAAGAATTGGACTTCTCAATACTCAAAAGTGTTAGATAATATAGTAGAAAATCAAGATAAAATAAACATATTAGTTAGCGAAGTAACTCGAAATAATGACTTTACAAAGTATGCACACCTGGCTCAAGTACTTACAATATTAAGCGACAATGTAGACTCCACATATCAAGAACTGCTTAGGTTACAAAATGTATTGGCTTTCGTTAGAACTTCCACAATGCATCATTCAATATTAAATGTATCTGCGATACGAGCTATAATTACGAAGTTAAGCAAGTTATACGGTAGTGAAAGGGTAGTAGAAATAGATTTTAGGGAATACTTTGATATAATTAGATTAGGGACTTATTATGTAAGTAATCAGATAGTGATAGTATATAAATTTCCTATAGTTTTACGCCCCATATATGATATGTATAAATTATCCATCATCCCGAATAAAAACAATGAAATCCTTACTCCACCCCTTCCATTCCTTGCCCTCTTTGAGGAAGATTACAAGTACATAGAGGCTGAATGCCCGAAGACCAGTAAATGGTACCTATGCAAAGAGAAGCAGATTTTGCCTATTCATAAACCATTGGACTGCATCCAGCAACTTATCATCACGCAGCAAAGAACGTCGAGTTGCAGCCCCACTTCAGTGCTACTAACCAGGTCGGCTTATGAGGAGCTAGATGAGAAACACTACGCTGTTAGTTTCCCTAATTCAAACGAAGGTTCACCTATCTTGTGCTCAAGACTTCTATAAGAACCTGCAGGGTAGCTATCTTGCTATTATACCACATCAATGCTACCTAGAAACACCTGACTTCACCATTTCAAATAGCAACAATCATCTGAAAGGACAAGCACTGAACATCATAGATCTGCCTACTACTACCAAAAAGACGCCGCCCATAAATCCATTACTGAAGTTAAACTCAGTCAAATTAGACCACCTACATCAAATGAATATGAAGGTCGCTATGCAAACGCCGGTACAGCTGACTGACGTTACCGACTACAGCTTATATCACACTACGATACCAATGTACCTAGTGTTGGTAGGTGCAGGAGTCCTTATTAGTGGCCTCTGCTATCGTAAGTACTTCACGAAGCAGACACAGAACTCACCTGAAGAACCGAAAGAAGAACAACATGAACTTCAAGCGACCTATGCCCTTCCATCCGTTGAAAGGGTTGATAGTGATCAACCCCCAGCTCAATTTACGACGAGAGTCTTCAATGGTCGCTGTTCTACGGGGGGAGGTGTTACGCAACCCTAATACATGGAAACTACCTCGCGTCGACCACCAACATCGCATTCCGTTCGTATGAACTTTTATTGCTAAAGACTTTGTTTCGCAACCATAATGCATGGGAACCACCTCGCGAGTCGCGTCGACCACCAATATCGCATTCTTTTCGTATTTCAACATAACTCTCGCGAAGTGACAGTGTTGTAACATCCGAGTGCACCTTATTGTTAGAGACTTTTCTTAATTCATTCCATTTCTCATACTTCGACAGTGTAATCACCTTAGGATAATTAGTTTGTAAAAGTAATATTAAAGTATTTTATAAGTAAAGTTTCCATTTCATTTGCATCCTCTGACTGTGACTTCTATAATTCATGTTTAAATGTTTAGTTTTTTGAATGAAAAATGTTAAGTTTTCATATATGTGATAATGCTTAGCTTGTTCTTTTATAATTGAAGCTAAATTTATATACAGAAACGTTATTTACAATGCAACACGCTCGTGTGCTCTGTAAAAAATAACCTCAATTTTTCTCTCTTATAAGAAATCCATCAAAATTTTAATTACAGTGGCTTATTTTCAAGATTTATTGGTGCATGTTTTTAAAGTAAGGACTATTCTGTATCTTAGTATTATTTTTATTAAGAATCCACACATTAAAACTCGGATCAGTGTTGGATTTCGTAGTATAATTATACTATTTGTACCATTATTTCATAAATCATAGTGTGTAGTATGTAGTATCATATTGCCACTATACTACGTAAAAATACCATAGTTTTATCTTTAGGTCGACCGACTTGTATTATTGGTAGGTACTTTTACTTTTTAATATTAACTCTACAATCTCGGGAATTTCTGAACGTACGGCAACACCAAATCAGGCAATGACAAGGTAGGCGGGGTTTCCCCATGTGATGTTTTACTATTCCATCCGTTCTGACATTTTTGTCATAAACATAATTGGACCGATTTATAAATAACTGCGAGAGAGACGATATCTCACGGTAATGTAAGATGTAATATGACCGTCATATCATGTTTTGACTATGAGTATAAAACTTGACAGTGAATTGTTGCAGTATAGATACATTAGTATAAAGTTATAAACTAGTACAATATTGTAGTGTGTGACGTGTGTACATTATTGTTTCTTACGCTTTGACAATTTTGAGAATAAACTATTTTGTAGTCGCAATTTGTAATCATGAGTGAAAGTGAGGGCGAATAAAAATCACAAAGTGCGGTGTTTCGACGCCAAAGAAGAAACGCGTTGAAAGGGGCGATTTAAAAGTGAAGGAAAAACATAGACAACAAAAATACAGAGTCGAATGGGAGAGTGATCCAAAATTTAGTAAGTGGCTTACTCGTGATCCTCAATATAATTTCAAAGCACGATGTAAAGTATGTAATGTTTCAATGATGGCCGCAAAGCATGTTTTATCGACTCATTCTGAGGGAAAAAACACGAGAAAAAATTATATTCATCATCAAAATTGTATATTGAAAGTAGATTTGTTTAACAAATTCTTTTCCATTGTTTTTTTTCTCTTTCAATTTTAATACTTATGCAAGTTTATTTCAATTCAATACAAAAACGCCGTAAAACGAAACGTGAAAAACATGAAACGTCAAACGTAGTATAATTTTGGACAAGTAGTATAATTTTATTCTCTATGTACAATATTTTTTTTAAAGCTCTGGATCCAACCCTGACTCGGAGGTTTGTTTTGAAAATTGCGCGAAGAGCTGCGCAAATACAACGAACGAGCCGCGCGTGCTATAAAGTTTTGAATTTGATACTAACTAACAACTAATATAAATAAATCAAAGAATGGTTTTGTGCGATAACATGTATATTCATAAAATAGTGTTCCAAATTTAGTGTAAATATAGACCGTGGTATTGTCAGAAATCAATATAATACAACAACTAGTAAATATTCAGCTAAAACTCATTGTTAGCTTATTTATAATTCATTAATAGTTAAAAGTGTATTTACATATTGTCATAAATGCTCAGATTATTTAAAAACCCAAAACAGCAAAAACATTTTAAATCGGTGCTATAAAATTTGAATTACGAGCGTTTTTTTATGTAATGGTTGTATCGGAGAAAAATGACGCGCGGGCTCGGTGTTTAACGGGTGTTGCTTGTCAAAAAACGCGGGGTTCTAGTGGTTAACACAATATTATTAAGAAAATATTTAAAAAAAAATGTTTTTAATTATAATGTTGATCAGAGCTTAATTCTGTCAAAACACAACTATATTTTAGTATTTACCAAATGAAATTGTCACTTGTCATAGTTGTCAACACTGAACACTAGGGATGCACATAAGGTGAAGAATCGATTCTCGATTGCGATTCTTTTTTTGTAAATTTCGATTCTCATATTCGATTATTCAATCTAATAATTGATTCTCTTAAATTTAATCGATTCTGAGTAAAACATTTTTTTTTAAGAAAGATAAAATGTCTGAAATTTTTTGATCTCAAAAAATAAAGCCAATTAAATGAGTTTAAAAATATAATAAAATGCAAATTTTTAAAAACAAAAAATCCTATATTTTATAAAAAAAGTTAAATTTGACATTATTAATAAAATTCATATTTAAATGAAAAAACCTGTCTGTGTACTATAAAAAAGGTATATAATGTTAAAATAAAAAAATGTCGGATAAAAAAACGACGCGAACGCGCTAAAATGAAACATTTTCGTAAAAAAATAATATACAATTACTGCACGCCATTTTTTATACAATAGCGTCGTTAGTCCGGCATTAAAAATAAATTATACACATTAAGAATCGATACTCTTCACTAAGAATCGATTCTTGAGCGATTCTGATAACAAGGAATCGAGTCTAAATAATCGACTTTTTTGTCCATCGATCTTAGATCCGTAGTGAACACTGAACACAGATTACAACGTGAAAGAAGGCTTCTTGTCAAATTCATTTGTTCTGACTTCTGAATTCAGCATTGTTTACAAATAAAATAATAAAGCCATTAAAGCAAAGAACTAACAAATAAAATAAACCAATCCCAACTGGCTTTCTAGTAGCCACGAAATAAAAGAATTGAATTGAATTAAAATAAACCAAATTTATACAAATCAACAATGTCTGGACGAGGTAAGTAATTAACTTTGAAGCCATTAGCAAGAGAATTGAATTGAATTAAGTAATTAACTTATTTGTACAAAATGAAATGATGGAAATATTTTTCTGACTTATACGGTTTCTACAGGTAAATATCGTAATAATCGGCAAAGACATAATAACCACACAACGTTGTCGAAAGTTGCGAGGGAAGTAGCTATTTCTTTGCCGGCAGATAGCCCCGTATTGGCTATGTTTAAAGAAGCGGCAAGCAAACTAAATCAACGTCAAGATAGACATGAAAGATTAGTTAAACTTTCCCGAGATATAACTATTGAAAGCAAGAGGATAATATTTTTGCTACATTCTGCAATCACGTAAGATTTTTAATTAAAATCGTAATTATTCGCATTATTCATTTCATGTTTCTGTTTATTTCATATGTTTATGATTATATAGCGAAGATTCATCAGAAAAAATAGTAAAAGAGGCTAATGAGCGTCTTCAAAAGCTGACCAAGGGACCAATCAAGAGCATAGGCCTAGAACTTGAGAACAGTCCAGCATATTTACACTCTCGAGCAGTTACAGCTGGGTTTCAGGAGTATATTGAAGCTAGAACATTTTGTTCATTAATGGAGAATAAATCAATAATAACTTATTCTGAAGTACAAAAAGAGTTTCAGTTTGTAGTCAAAGATGGTGATGTAGCAGAAGAACGGACAGTGACAACTCTGCTACCACAAACTGACTATATGCTGGGGATAGCTGATTTAACCGGAGAACTGATGAGAAAAGCTATCAACTCTATATCAAGTGGTGACAGCGAAGAATGTTTTCATGCCTGTCAAGTTGTGAGAGATCTGTTTACTGGTTATTTAGGTAACTTTTTTTTTATAAAATTAATACATAATTTAGTTAATAATATAAATGCAATTTAAGAATCCAATATAATGGATCTTGTAGTAGAAAAATACACTATTTATTCCATGTTGGGCAAATTTTCAATATTAGGCATATTATATTAGTAATTAGAATACATGAATTGTAACATATTTTACTGCTTTTCACTTTAATATTATAATATATATAAATAGTAACTTTAATTTTATTTACTAAATTGTTCATATTTTAATCTTAATTTATAAATTACAATGTTTATTAAATACACTAGTATTTAGACTAACACTATGTTTATCCAATGCATTCCTAGGCGCTTAGCAACTAACAAAAGCTGATAAAATAACACAATGTTCATTTTTTCCCAACTTCAATTAAAGTTATAATTTCTGAATCTTCAGAATCAGATCAGTAGTTTCAGAGACTACTCCCTACATACAAACTTTTACATCCATATAATATTAGTGTAGATATATAAACAATTTATTGGTTTTAGGACTCTTTGGCATGGGCAAGGAATTAGCTCGGAAGATGTCCACAACACGCAATAATGTAGCCAAGGTGGAAGCCGCTGTTTATGCATTAAGAGTTAGAGGAGGTGAAGCCCCACCTAACACCTTGTTGTTGTTGCCAGCTAAACCTGAGTGGGATGCTATGGAGCATTCAGATGATGAAGGATATTACTAGATATAGACTTCCGATTCTTTTTTATCCTGCAATATGCACATAATAAAATTAATGTATTATTGTGTTTAAATTAATCTATGGTATGTATTGAAATTACAATTATACATATATACTGATAATTATAATTAAATTCATAGAAAGGGTTTCATCTTTGAGTGGTATTGATAAAATACATTTTTTAATTCTGTGACAATTTAATTTTACATGCAAGAGTAAAAATAAAGCTGCATTCTATAAAATTAGATTTTTTATTAAATTCATCACCCATTTGAAATAATCATATTCACAACGATTTTATCACAATACAATCAAAAATAGTTTTTATGGTAATATTGGTATTTTCTTATCTATTTAATAAAAATATTTGGCAAAAGTTGCCTCCTAATATCATACAGTGATCGAATCTGCGACCTTTGCCTCTTCAGCCACTATTGAGGCACTGCACCATATTAAATCTACTTGTTGCATTAAAAAAGTATAAGGTTTTATTAACATTTTTAAAAGGAAACCTTATTGTTATTATCAAGCTGCTGACTAGGCTAGGACCTAAATAGTAAAGAAATAAAGAACGTTATCATAAAAGAAACTTATTTTTTTTTAAATTGCAAAACTATTATCACAAAAGCGTGGCGGTGCCGAGTTTAACATAAGGTCTAGTTCAACTCACACTTAACCAATTTATTATTATATCAGTAAATATTCTGTTTCAATAGTAAAAAGTATAACACATGCTAAACCTTATATTTATAACAAATTCTAATTAACAGTACAAAAAAGAACTAATTTCTTTAGAAGTAATCTTCTGAAAAGTCTTGACTCCCACTGTCAGGTTGCCACTCATCAGACTCATCAGTAGCATAAGGGTCTTCTTCAGCATCTGAATCACTTAGAACATCTCTTTGTAGAGGCTTCCGTGGTCTCTTCCCAATAACAATCATGTTTTGCAGTGAATCTGCCTTATTTCTTTTCCTTCGACCTGCCACATAATTTTATGTCTTAACATCTATACATATAATAAAATTCTAACTGAGCCGTATCTGTACATTAAATATTTTTTGGAAAATCTTATTGAAATAGTAATTATTATCGATAGAGGCCGAATCTATAGCTTTTAGAATTTTTGGCTGTCTTGACAATAAATGACTGGACAAATTTTGATGAAATTTGGTATGATGATAGCTGGTTATCCGAGTCAACATATAGGATACTTTTTACTGCGGGAATATATCTCATCTTTGAGAAACCTATACTAATCGTCGAAACATACAGCTACGGACGAACACGAGCGAAGCGAGGGCGAGTCGCTAGTTATATCAAACTAAAAATATTGTGGGTCACGCTTTGCAGCCATTTAAAAGAGAATTGAATTGAAAATACTATGGGTATCAGGGCAAAAATAACCTAAAATATTAAATGAAAATGGCAAAATTTGAATAAAAGTTAATTATAAAATTTTAAAAGCAATGTAATACTTTTTAGTATAATTTTCTTATTTAATTTACGTATTATGTATTATATTACATGCATTTAATAAAATGTACGAAAGTTAGTTTACAAGTTTATAAGTTTACATACAGAGATGTATGCGTTATAATATCTCGAAACTTAGTTTGATATAATTTCTTTAAAAAGAGCAGGCAAGTATTTTCGAAATAAAAGTTATTTAAAATTTTAATCACATTTGCTTCAGTAGTTTACGAGAAACTCTTAATCTGAATAAAATATCATCATCTTCATCGATGCTTAACACGTTTTGACGTAACTTTCATTATAGTATAGTTAAGTTTACGAACGTAAATAATACACAGAATTTTAAAACTGTAATTTTATTATTTCTTAACAATAAATTAATATTAATAACTTACATATTTAACCTTATATAAAAAAATAACAATTTCTTTGCTTGGTTTTTAATTCAAATTTCAATCACATTATTGTTCATAAAATAGTTTAGATAAAGGTGACGACCGTTAAATTACCTAAGTACCAAATAAAAACGTGTAGGTATATATACATACATATATACATATAAAAAGAAGACATTTTGTCCGTATATACTAAAGCGAAACCCCATTAATAATAGTATTGCGCATATTTAACTTTTATGGTCTAATTTAAAATATAAAAAGGTTTCAAGTTTGTATGAAAATCCATTATTTCGAAGTTACAAAAACCAAAATTGGAAAACATCTTTCTATTTACCCATCAATCAAAAAAGTACTAGATCACAATCTTATGCAAAAGTTCTCTTAAAACTGTCACCAATTGTGTTTAGGTAATTATTCTAGTTGAAATAAATATAAAATAATGTAAATTGAACCTTAAATGCAATGCTTAAAAGTTGTTTTCACAAAAAAAAAACTAAATTAAAAGCGGGCTCAAATGTTCAAATGAGCGCTCATTCGGTGAGGACATTTTTTGTCGCTGAGTTCTTTTTTGATCGATGTACTCACCACATCCAAAAAATCTATATATTAATAAAAAAATATCTATACAGCAGTTACTAAATGAAATTTATATATGGTGTACCTTATATACTATATCACAGAGAGTTTATATTAAGATTCAATTGCTATTATTATTTATCTAAAACTCAGGTAATATAGTAGCAGTCAGGTATTTTTTTTTAAGTAATAATTATTTTTGTACATAAAAAAACTTTAAATAACAATTAATTTCCTTGTTTTATTTTTTTATTCTCGATGTTTTTAATACTTTACAACAAACAGTCACCGCAGAGACCCGTTAAAATAAAAAAAAAAATTGCGAAAAATTTTTTTATTTAAAATGTCAGATAATCAAAAGTAAATTTACGAAAATTTTAAAATTTCTAAAGATTAATAAACAATCTTAGAATATTAACCAAAATATTTATGACTTAATCTTTTATATTAATGCATTTTACAGCATCCACGATTTATAACATAACAGCACATGAGCAAGTATCTCTACAGAGACAAAGCTTTATACAATGCTCAACGACATTACTATACATAGTGAGTGAGAATAAAATTCGATATTTAATTAAATAAAGTACTGCCCGCCAATAGGGAATATGCGTGTGATTTAAATAAAGGTGAAATATATATTTTTTTATAATCTTTATTGCGTTTGAATTAAGCATATTAATATTTTTTAAAGTAATTTATTTTTGATTAAGAAAATAATTATTAAAAAGTACAAATATAGGTGGAAAATTCAAAGTAGTTGAAACGCACGCCATTGGTCACACCGAATATGTTAAAGTATTACAATAACAGATTTTGTCGCTACAAACTAAAGTTGTAATTTTTTTATATGTGATACGTTGACGTCACGCCGAGCGCGCGAAATGAAATGGCGCCCGCCTTTTTTTATAATATAATTTTAGTCTTTTTTTTGGAGCTGGATATTTTTTTAAGCAATTCTTCTTAAAGCAAAAGTTTTTCTTAAGCAAAAGTCGTCGTTTTTAGCGCTAAATTGGCAATACTTTGACATCACAGTCGATCTAACCAATGGCGTTGCGTTCCAACTACTTTGAATTTCCCACATAAATTTACTCTTTTTAATAATTATTTTCTTAACCAAAAAGAAATTACATTAAAAATATAAATATAGGCTTAACACAAAAGCAATAAAGATTATTAAAAAAATATTTCATCTTTATTTGAATCACACGCATATTTCCTATTAAGGTCAGCGCTAAAAATACCTGCCTCGACTTATATAAAAAAACATTTTTTTCGAGAGTACCTGAACGTTTTAAATAAAACTATCTTTTCGGATTTTGTCGCGGATTTATTTGTATTTTTGTTTCCCGACGTTTCGAATGCTTTACAGCATCCATGGTCACGGGAGAGACTGAGGTGTTACATGTCTTTAAGATATAGTTGTTACAGACAGCCTACCCACAATTAACAAAATGAAAATTGCACCAATTACATTACAATATTTTAACTTTAAATATTTTTATAATTTTAATTATAATTGAATATGGAAAATTATTTATTTAATTTTTGCTATTATTTTTATAATTATTACAATTTTAAAAATATTAATTAGCAATCTATATTTAGTGTTGCCATTATTATATTTATAACCATAAGAAAAATATAAAATATAGTATTAATTATTTAAGCCACAATTGATCTATGTGTAATTTGAAAAAGTTAAGATTAATTAAAAATAATAATTTTAATTTAAATTTGCTATTATTTAAAAACAAATTATTAAGCAACACATTACTACATACATTTACAAATGAAAAAGTGAAAAAATATTATTAATCAGAAATGCTATCATTTTGATCTACACAGTAAGAACTTACTACATCTACCTGTCTGTTATGTTTAGATTTATTATTAGATTTTATTATATTAATAACAGGATCCCATGACGATGGTAGTACCCAGCCATCTTCCCTATTGAAATTAGGATGTTTTTTAATTTCTATGGCTTCTCGAATCATTCTAGGGCGATATCGGTTTTCTTTCGCCAGGATTTGAGGCCTATCGAAGCGAATATAATGGCTTGGGCGGTCCTGACTGTGTTTGCAGACAGCAGATGTTGTATTGCGACGGTGCTTCACATCAGCTATGTGTTCTTTGACCCGGGTTCTAATGGATCTCTTTGTTTGTCCGATGTAAGAGAGCCCACAATCACAATCAAGCTTGTAAACTCCTGCATCTTGTAGAGGGATGTGGCACTTGACAGGTGGTAGAAACTGACTAATTTTCTTTGGCGGCTTGAAGTAAGTTTTAATTGAAGCTCGCTTTAGAATGTAGCCAATCTTGTCAGTGACGCCTCTCATGTAAGGTAGGACTGCAGGGACGCGCTCGACTGTGGCTGGTTTCACTCGGTCCCTGTGACGTAGGCGCGGCACTTGCAGCTATCTATATTAATAGATATTAGCAGTATGGGACCCATACTGATAGGTACTTGAATGGTGAATCTCACCACCCCCCTTCACAGTTAGCTACCGTGGGAAAATCTTTGTTTCAGAGGGCACGCGGGATCTGTGACGAGCAACACCTGGCCGGAGAACTGCAACATGTCAAGCAAGTTCTGCGAGACAACAAGCTGCAAGTGCTCTCTTACATCGGACAAACAAAGAGATCCATTAGAACCCGGGTCAAAGAACACATAGCTGATGTGAAGCACCGTCGCAATACAACATCTGCTGTCTGCAAACACAGTCAGGACCGCCCAAGCCATTATATTCGCTTCGATAGGCCTCAAATCCTGGCGAAAGAAAACCGATATCGCCCTAGAATGATTCGAGAAGCCATAGAAATTAAAAAACATCCTAATTTCAATAGGGAAGATGGCTGGGTACTACCATCGTCATGGGATCCTGTTATTAATATAATAAAATCTAATAATAAATCTAAACATAACAGACAGGTAGATGTAGTAAGTTCTTACTGTGTAGATCAAAATGATAGCATTTCTGATTAATAATATTTTTTCACTTTTTCATTTGTAAATGTATGTAGTAATGTGTTGCTTAATAATTTGTTTTTAAATAATAGCAAATTTAAATTAAAATTATTATTTTTAATTAATCTTAACTTTTTCAAATTACACATAGATCAATTGTGGCTTAAATAATTAATACTATGTTTTATATTTTTCTTATGGTTATAAATATAATAATGGCAACACTAAATATAGATTGCTAATTAATATTTTTTAAAATTGTAATAATTATAAAAATAATAGCAAAAATTAAATAAATAATTTTCCATATTCAATTATAATTAAAATTATAAAAATATTTAAAGTTAAAATATTGTAATGTAATTGGTGCAATTTTCATTTTGTTAATTGTGGGTAGGCTGTCTGTAACAACTATATCTTAAAGACATGTAACACCTCAGTCTCTCCCGTGACCATGGATGCTGTAAAGCATTCGAAACGTCGGGAAACAAAAATACAAATAAATCCGCGACAAAATCCGAAAAGATAGTTTTATTTAAAATGTCAAATATTCGCGTAAATCTAAGAAAGTATTAAGTACCTGAACGTATTTTTAACAACCGTAGCGTAAATCTCACGTGAGAGGGAAGCTGTTTTTCTCAAATTATGAGAATCTCTGCTCACATAATTAATGGATGTCCCCTTAGTCTAAGAGTATCATATCATATGTGGTAGTAGTGAATTTATCGGGCACGATTGTAAGTAACTTTGTTTCTATATCATACTATATGTACTCGTGTGATAACACGCAAACGTAAATTAAAATTCGTAATCATAGTCCGCACTGTCTCCTTCGCTATCGGTAACTTGAAAGTGATCGTCGAAGAAGTTGACCGTGTGTGCGTTTATAATGAACACATTGCCGTGTCTCTCCACTATTTTACTATCTGGAATAAAAAATATATATTAAGTATATATAATATATGGTTTTAAGGGAGTGTAATTAACATATTTTTTAATTTCTGTGAAGTTTTTTTGGATCTAGCGACTTACCCACGCTTCGCTTGGGTGCGTCCCTAGATGTCCAACAGTAGCCTATGTACTTCCAGGTTAAAGCCTATAGGTACGTGTACTAGATTTCATCATAATCCATCCAAAAGTTTTAGCGTGAATGAGTAACAAATATACACAGACGCACACCCACATTCTCATTTATAATAGTAATCTGATTATAAAATTGCTCAACGAAAAGTATTTTTTCAATGACTACATGCTTGCCAGTTTTAAAAATAAAAGCATGTCATCCAGTTCTTAATTTGTATCAGTGTACTTAGCTTATTTGAGTTTCTTTGGGAACACTCGTATTCAGTTTAATCCTACGAAAAACATAACATATAAAAAAATGCAAGTTTCGCAACGCAGTGCTTCTACTGCAAACTACTTTTGATATCTAATATGAAAACATAATATAATAAGGAAATATCTATCCAACAACTTTTTCACAAATTGTTATGTAATTAATTAAATAACAACATTTTATAGTAACTGTATAAATATTAGATATATTTCTTTTTTTAATAAAGATAATGACTTCGATTATTGGATTTCCAAAAGGTAAGACGATGTAAATCGTCTAATATGGACCCTTCGCTACTACAAGAGCACCATTCACTTCAGTCGCGTGTTTTAGAATAAAATAAAATTGCATTTCTTCAGATCTACGTAAGCAACGAAAGGAAACCTTTTTTTCAAGTGCTTATAACCTGGTTATTTGTAACAAGTTTTATCAAAAAAAAAAAAAAACATAATACCGCGTTAACAGTGTAAATTAAATAATTTTGTTGATAGGGTTAACCCTTTCTATTTGTGTTAACCAGTGGGTTAATCAATAAGTAATAGGTTATCCCATATATAATATATCACCCAATAAATATAGTGATACAATTTTAGTCTAAAAAGATTATCAAAAATTACATATTGAATTGTATTAAAGAAGACTACAAAATACAAAACGCAGGAAATGAATGCCTATTTACGTGTACAAACATGTTACTTCAGGGTCTATTGTATTTCTATGAAGAAAAGCCTAAGCAAAAAAAATGCGTTCCAAGTGACGTTGCTATTTTATTTTTTGTAGGCGTCATATTATTTTCAGAAACAGACTTGTATTTAGCCCTTTTTTAACGTCCCACTGCTGGGCTCGGCCTCCCTTCAATACGAGGGGGATTAGGCCATAGTCCACCACGCTGGCCAAGTGCGGGTTGGCGAACTTCACATGTCGTTTGAAAACTTGCTAGGTTCTCTCAGACATGCAGGTTTCCTTACGATGTTTTCCTTCACCGTATGACAAGTTGAAATCGTGTTAGAAATAATTCGCACATGAAAATATCAGAGGTGCGAGACCCGGGATTTGAACCTGCTTCACTCGGTTTCCCAAGCGAGCGCGTTATCACTGGGCTACCACTGCTTTAAACAGAAACAGACTTAGTAATCCACAATTATTTATTAATGAGCTAATTATTAGCTCAGAGATCCATTTGGTTACATTTTTTAACAAAAAACCCTTTTCATACGGTTATCCAGTCAACAGGCTTAATTAAATCATTTGTTTGATAGGGTTTAAACTTTCTGTTTGGGTTAGCTATTAGGTTACCCAATAAGTAATGTGTTACTCCATATATAAAGCGTTATGCAATAACATATAGTGATACAATTTTAGTCTCTAAAATAATTAACAAAAATTACATAATAGAGTGTAGTATAGAAAACTTCAAAACGCGGTAAACGAACATCTACGAGTATTAACGTGTACGGATATGTTTCCTTCGTTGTTTAGACGAATGACGATTATTAAATAAGATTAAGTTTATGCTACAAAAGCACTGAATATAAGAAAACATGCAACGAATATCTCGGAATTTTATTAGTGTCTTCCTTGATCCTACACTAGTTATTCAAAAGTAGAATGTGGGTGTGTTTTTGTGGGTTTTGTGTATGTATGCGTGTGTGTTCGTCAGTTCTTGCTAAAACGGATTTTTGATGAAATTAAATGTGAACTAAATAGGTAAGTAACTATATATATTCATTCTAAGTAGGTACCTTGTTTTTATGTCATTTTATTTCTTTTTTGTTTTAGGGTAAACCGTAAACATATACTATACCTCTAGTTTACAGACATTTACTACAATTATAGAAAGAATATTAAACCAAACAGAAGAAGAAAGAGGATTACATTTTGCAAAGCCAAATTACAAATATTATTAAAAATTGGGCAAACAAAGAACACACACACACACACCCACATACACACGCACACACGCATGACTAGAAAAATAGTAAGTACTAAAAACTTATAATGTATACTAATATTATAAAAAAGGAAAGATTTGATTTTTTTTTTATTTGTTTGTACTGAATAGGCTCCTAAACGAATGGTCCGATTGTGATGAAATTCTGTAAGAAAATAGTTTGAGACCCTGGGAATATCATAGAATAGTTTTTATCCCGGAAATCATCCCTTAAGCGGGTGAAAATGGAGATGAAATTTTGTATAAGGAAACAACTTAGGGATGAATCCGAGCGAAGCGAAGGCCATTCGCTAGTTAATAACAAAAAATAAAATCCTATGTAATCACTGTGTCTTTATTTTGAGAAATATGTAAAATACTAATTTAAAACGTTAACAGCCGTCCAGGGTACGTCATCAACTTTCGTAATACATATCGCTAATTTAAATCACGTAACCTTCATTCATAGACATGCGGTGCGGGGGATTCCGAGCACCGAAAAAATGAAGTTTATTTTTATTTTCGCATCCTATTTAAGGTTAATGTTCAAATTAAACAATAATTAATAGGTATATATATGTTTTTTAATTCTATTTTAAAATACCCAACATAAAAGAAATAAAAAAATATTGTGCATAATATGGCACTGGTACTTATTTTTTTTATATTTATTTGTTTAAGGAAAACAAACAAGTTTCCACATATTAAAAATACAAATAAGAAGCAGAACACAATAGAAAAAAAAAACAAAAAGTTAAGCACTAAACTAAAAAAATACAAAAAAAAGAGACCCTGATTAACATTAATAACAAAAAAAAAATAAAGAAAAACATTAACTACGTAAAACACAAAATTATCAATTAAACAATAAGTGATAAATATCATTTTCGAAACCTGTAAGTGAATTCGAAAATATATCTATACATACTTGTAATTTTTTTATTATACTCATTCTATGAGTGAAGTATACAGATATTTTGAGGCTATGTGAACTTGGCACCCGACTTTGGAAAAATTGTTCTTTTTTAGGTTTATTTGAACGATTTCGGTTAGTAGTAGATAGTAGTGAAGCTAACTTCGTTTGTAGTAGTGTCAAAAAAAAAATACAGACAGCAAAAAAAATGTCATCCCCCGAAGTTGGTAAAAAAAAATTTTTCCGCTTGATTCGTATAGAAAAACGTTAGTAGTGGTTTGTAGTGCAATTTTTTTCGTTTGTAGTAAAGCAAAAAAAAAAAATTTTTTCGAGTATTTTTCCAGAACGATTTTTACTACATACATTCATTGTTTCGTTTGTAGTACCATTATTTCATTTGTAGTAACGTTAATTTTGATTTGTAGTACCATTACTTCGTTTGAAGTAACGTTAATTTCATTTGTAGTAACGTTAATTTCGTTTGCAGTACCATTATTTCGTTTGTAGTACCATTACTTCGTTTGTAGCTGTTTGTAGTAATGTTAATTTCGTTTGTAGTACCATTATTTCGTTTGTAGTTGTTTGTAGTAACGTTAATTTCGTTTGTAGTACCATTATTTCATTTGTAGTTGTTTGTAGTAACGTTAATTTCGTTTGTAGTACCATTACTTCGTTTGTAGCTGTTTGTAGTAATGTTAATTTCGTTTGTAGTACCATTATTTCGTTTGTAGTTGTTTGTAGTAACGTTAATTTCGTTTGTAGTACCATTGTTTCGTTTGTAGTTGTTTGTAGTAACGTTAATTTCGTTTGTAGTACCATTATTTCGTTTGGAGTAACGTTAATTTCGTTTGTAGTACCATTATTTCGTTTGTAGTAACGTTAATTTCGTTTGTAGTACCATTATTTCGTTTGTAGTAACGTTAATTTCGTTTGTAGTACCATTATTTCGTTTGTAGTAACGTTAATTTCGTTTGTAGTACCATTATTTCGTTTGTAAATGTTTGTAGTAACGTTAATTTCGTTTGTAGTGCCATTGTTACGTTTGTAGTACTATTGTTTCGTTTGTAGTACCATTGTTTCGTTTGTAGTACCATTATTTCGTTTGTAGTACCATTATTTCGTATGTAGTTGTTTGTAGTAACGTTAATTTTGTTTGTAGTACCATTACTTCGTTTGTAGTTGTTTGTAGTAACGTTAATTTCGCTTGTAGACCCATTATTTCGTTTGTAGTACCATTACTTCGTTTGTAGCTGTTTGTAGTAATGTTAATTTCGTTTGTAGTACCATTATTTCGTTTGTAGCTGTTTGTAGTAATGTTAATTTCGTTTGTAGTACCATTATTTCGTTTGTAGCTGTTTGTAGTAATGTTAATTTCGTTTGTAGCTGTTTGTAGTAATGTTAATTTCGTTTGTAGTACCATTATTTCGTTTGTAGTTGTTTGTAGTAACGTTAATTTCGTTTGTAGACCCATTATTTCGTTTGTAGTACCATTATTTCGTTTGTAGTACCATTATTTCGTTTGTAGTACCATTATTTCGTTTGTAGTACCATTACTTCGTTTGTAGTTGTTTGTAGTAACGTTAATTTCGTTTGTAGTACCATTATTTCGTTTGTAGTTGTTTGTAGTAACGTTAATTTCGTTTGTAGTACCATTATTTCGTATGTAGTTGTTTGTAGTAACGTTAATTTTGTTTGTAGTACCATTACTTCGTTTGTAGTTGTTTGTAGTAACGTTAATTTCGTTTGTAGACCCATTATTTCTATTTATTTCTCAGAAATAATGGTACTACAAAGGAAATTAACATTACTACAAACAGCTACAAACGAAGTAATGGTACTAGAAACTAAAGAATGGTACTACAAACAACTACAAACGAAATAATGGTACTACAAACGAAATTAAGGTTACTACAAACAACTACAAACAAAATAATGGTACTACAAACGAAATTTACGTTACTACAAACAGCTACAATCGAAATAATGGTACTACAAACGAAATAATGGTACTACAAACGAAGTAATGGTACTACAAACGAAATTAACGTTACTTCAAACGAAGTAATGGTACTACAAACCAAAATTAACGTTACTACAAATGAAATAATGGTACTACAAACGAAACAATGAATGTATGTAGTAAAAATCGTTCAGCAAAAATTCTCGAAAAAAAAATTTTTTTTTTGTTTTACTACAAACGAAAAAAATTGCACTACAAACCACTACTAACTTTTTTCTATACGAATCAAGCGGAAAAATTTTTTTTTACCAACTTCGGGGGATGACATTTTTTTGTTGTCTGTATTTTTTTTTTGGCACTACTACAAACGAAATTAGCTTCACTACTATCTACTACTAACCGAAATCGTTCAAATAAACCTAAAAAAGAACAATTTTTCCAAAGTCGGGTGCCAAGTTCACATAGCCATATTTTGAGCATATTTCGTTCTAGTACGACTGCAACAGTGTTAATATATACATACTAATATGATAAAGAGGTAAAGTTTGTGAGTTTGTGACGTTGTAGGGGGTAATCTCTGGATCTACTGAAGCGATTTAGATGAAATTTGGTAAGAAGATAGTTTGAGGCCCTGGGAAGGACATAGGATACCTTTTTTATCCCGTAAATCAAGTTATTTTAAAATTATTTATACATAAGATTTATGAATTGTTTTTGATAATTTTAATTATTTCGCACATAACGTAGTGCCTATTCAGAACCGGTACAGTCGATAATTCCAAACCAACGAATCTTCCAAAAGCGTCGTTAGCTAGTTCCAACATTTTAATATTTTCTTCGGTATTACCGTACGTTTGGGTACTATCACGGGCTTCGTAATCCTTGTGTTGGTTGAAACATTGACCGTTTGGCTCAAATATATTAAACGAGTCTTCATCAGCTCGGTATTCTGCAATATATAAAAAATATAAATTTGTAATTAGTAAGAACGTAAAACCTTAACAAAATAGTTTTCCAACACCATGGTCCATTATGTTTATATTATATATATATATATATATATATATATATATATATATATATATATATAATAATTAATAATATGTATCCATATCGCTCATAGTCCATTGAAATGTTACATTTTTTTGGGCTTAGCGTGCATTTGTCAGAGGATGCAATTTTATTTTTTAGATATCAAGGAGGGGTTAGTGTAAAGTTAAATCCAAGTTTGTGGGGTCGCAGGCCTTGTCCCACGGCCGCCATCTTGGAAAAAGTGGTACGAATGGTTTTTATGGTTTATTTGACAAACTATTTATAGGTCTGACAACAAAATTCTTAAATTATTTTTGGTTGCAAATAAAATTCTCTACAACTTTGGTCAAGTAACTTTTAGTCGTAGAACCAAAGATAACAAAGTTATAAGCGAAAATCGGTGAAAATTTAAGAAAAAAAAATTATATTTGTCGTTATAACTTTTTTTCTGATCATTTTATAAAAAAATTATATCAGACCATTTTTATAGAGGCTTTAGTAAGGTTAACACTCTAATCGATTGGTCATTCCATCATTGCAGCAATTCGACCTGCTTCATTTCCTTTGGCGGTTTTCCCTCAAGTATTTGATATAGAAGGTCAACCAGATCCTGAGCCACAGCCTGGTCCATTAAAAAGACTAATAACAATATTGCATTATCAATAATTAATAAGATTATCATAATAATAATGAAAAGAAGATTGAAAATTATGGCGAATCAATAATATTTATGTAAAATTATGAATACTGAAGAATAGTATACATATTCGTTTCGCAGCTCTGTAAAACCTTAATTAATGAATAAAATTTAAAAAGTTTATAATGAAAATTAATCCTTACTAAAGCCTCTATAAAAATGGTCTGATATAATTTTTTTGTAAAATGATCAGAAAAAAAGTTATAACGACAAATATAATTTTTTTTTCTTAAATTTTCACCGATTTTCGCTTATAACTTTGTTATCTTTGGTTCTACGACTAAAAGTTACTTGACCAAAGTTGTAGAGAATTTTATTTGCAACCAAAAACAATTTAACAATTTTTTTGTCAGACCTATAAGTAGTTTGTCAAATAAACCATAAAAACCATTCGTACCACTTTTTCCAAGATGGCGGCCGTGGGACAAGGGCTGCAAACCTACAAACTTGGATTTAACTTTACACTAACCCCTCCTTGATATCTAAAAAATAAAATTGCGTCCTCTGACAAATGCAACCCCAAATGTAACTTTTCAATGGACTATCATTCAATATTCTTATTTATTTATATTTTCTTTTTGATAGATAAGATTAGAATTTAGATGAATGTTGTATTAGATCAATTTAATATAGATAGTGAATAAATATAGATTTTTTATTGATTGTATCACTTAAATAGTGATTTTATATTGTTTTATTAGATACGCGAATATTCACATCAAAAGATACAACTTTAAAGAATAAAAGACACGCGGCGTGAACTAATAATAACATCCTCCTTTTACACACTTGAGAAGGATGCTGCTATTACTACGAACACATATCCTTTGAAAAACCAAAAAAAAATCTATAAAAAAACTAAAAGTAAAAAAAACGTAATATAGTTAGTTACCTACACATAAAACTTTACTAATATCAAATTTAAAATATATGTAATATACAATAATCATAAAAAGAAAAATGAATACTTACATTTGCGACGGTACATTGTACCTTTTAATAAGTAAACGTGCACAGCTAGGAGTATGAAACTTTAAATTAACATTGTTTTGTTACACGAATTTTAGACAAATAGGTACATATAATATTCCATAGCTCCGCCCCTCGTCTACATCATCGGTTAAAAAGTAAGTTTTGGGCTAATGACATAAAACGATGTGGTGAACCTTTCGATAGGGTTAATTCTATAGTAGGGCTATATCATGAAGGCAGTGGCAGGCAGTGGTAACGCGCTCGCTTTGGAAACCGAGTGAAGCGAGTTCAAATCCCGGGTCTCGCACCTCTGGTATTTTCATGTGCGAATCATTTCCAACATGATTACTAACTTGTCTTAACGGTGAAGGAAAACATCGTGAGGAAACCTGCATGTCTGAGAGAACCTAGCAAGTTTTCGAAAGATATGTGTAGTCCGCCAACCCGCACTTAGCCAGCGTGGTGGACTATAACCTGACTCCCCTCGTATTGAAGGGAGGCCCACTCCCAGCAGTGCTACACTAAAAAGGGCTGAATACAGGTAGGTGGGTAGGTATGTATGTATGTAGGTAGGTAGGTAGGTAGACAGACAGCTCACCTCGCGGCTGCCCCGGCGCGGGGGGCGCGGCGCCGGGCGGGTGGTCGTGGTCGCGCCAGTGCCGCGGGTCGCGCTTGGCGCACGCCGCGCCGTAGGGGCAGAGACCGCGCGCGCCCGCGCCCCAGTCCGCGTCGCGCGGGTGGCTGAACTGCGCCATGTGGCTCGGGTTCTTTCTAGAAAAAATATAAAGAGTTTTTAAAATTGTATGAATATAATACAAGCGCAAGAAGTAAAACTTCTGTAGGTTATCATCGGTACCCTTTATGAAATTCAATTTGTTTTAAATAATTAGGATAGGTGAGATACTAAAAGTAACGCATACTAGGCATATTACAATCATATATTTATAGAATATCATTTAAGCAAAGAATATAATACTATCTACCATTCGTCAGACAATAACAACGGTTACCATGGCAACAAAGGCACGTACATTTTTTCGTAACGCATTCACCAACTTACCCCCCAAGCCAAGTATGCGTAAAGAAATTTTACTTCGATAATATTAATACCGATTATTATATATTAGCTACACAGTCACTCCGCTTAACCTATGTATATCATATAAACTTAATCTCTGTATATAATATTTGTATTAAATATATAGACTAAGAGGAAATGGGTGGTTTCATTCCCAGAATGTATTGACTTGTGATTTAATTTTATTCTATTTATTTATGTAATGTGTATATGTTATCCTAAAAATTGGAAGATTATAAAGATAATAATAGCTTCATTTTATTGTATGACACCAACAATGAGACATATACAGGGAAAAAAATTATGAATTATTTAGTTTAGTTAAACTTGTGAAACAGTGTGTGTTTGTCTAAAACAGCATTGTACATACATAAACCACTTTAAAGATCATAATAATAGCTTTATTTAATAGGGAATATGCATGTAATTTAAGTAAAAAAAAATTATAATCTTTATTGCTTTTAAATGAAGCATATATTAATATTTTTAATGATTTTTTTTTATTAAAAAAATAATTATTAAAAAGTGTAAATATAGGCATAGACAAATGTTACTTAGTAAAGATACATACCTGTAACAATTGGCACCATACATACATCTCTCTCGAAGTGGATTTGGTGGTTTTCTGTCCACACCATTATTTGATGTACTCTGTAAATTATTTGACTCAATGTTTATTATACATTATTTAAATATATACTGAATAAATGTAAGCACAATTTAAAAAGAAAACTCAAGGAATGTAGATTTTAGTAAGTTATAGAAAGCAAAAAATTGAATACAAATTTTTGTCTGTCTGTCTGGCAACGCATCACAAACATATCACTGGGTAGATTTTGATGAAATTTGGTATGATGATAGCCGATTATCCAGGTCAACAAATAGGTGGCTACTTTTACTAACAGTAAATATCTCATCTCTGAGAAATCTGTACTGAATGTTAAAATGTAACTATGGACGAACCTGAAAGGAGTAAGGGTGAGTAAATTGTATTAAATATATAGGTATGCCTTGGACACACGCAAAATAGGCGCGCAGACGTCGAGTTGCGGAAATAAGCCCGTTTATACCATACCATACCATAACATAGGTACGCCTGCAGAGATTACAAAAGTTTGTATAGAATAAAAATATAAAACGACTTACTGCTTGATCACTAGTGCTTTGTTTTGTATCATCTAATTGCTCCTCAATTTTTGCCTTCTTAAGGTCAACTTCGCTACCATTTTCATCACTATGAGATCTTTTCATCTGTGGGCTTGAGTTATTTTCCCTAGATTCATTCTCATTTTGACATTCCGGTATTGTACTTGACGATGTTTCATCTTCATTCAGGATTGATAGTAACTTATCACTAGTGGTATGTGCTTGTTGGTTTTCAGTTGTATTGTTACATAAAGTTGTATCATTGTTTTTAGCTGTAGTATCATTATTTGTGTTTGTTTCATTATTTATTTCTGCTAATAAAAAGAAGATATTTAAAAAAATGTATATTATTTAAAATCTAAATAATAAATAAGTATAATATGATAAATACTAATATACGTAACAAATTCATCACATTAAATTAAAGAACAAGATTAAACCTACCATTTTCTTCTTGTGGTATTGAATTTCGAACTTTGTTGTTGTTTTCTTTCTCTAAGTTTTTCCTTTCCTTGTCTTCTGTATCAGGTATATACATAACTTCGTACCATAACTTATCCATTTCTGGTATCAGCCCGAATTTGTCACCATTTCTTAAAGTGACTGAGTTATCCTGTTTTAATATTTCACATTCTGTAGAGCCATACTTTTTAAAATAACAAGGATTTTTGTGTAACTGTAAGTAAATTTTGAGGAAAAATATATTAATTTAACACATAATAATATTTCTTAGCGTTCCCTTGCAAATAACTTTATAATTACCGATTTCAAAACAATCGTTTCCGTATTGACTTGTAGTTGCCCATGTTCCCGGTGTACACGTCTATCGTCAGCCTATGGAATAAAAATCATTAGGTGATATATTACTGAGCAAGTTTATTCCTTATTATTAAATAATTGTTTAGAAATGTACAACAATCACTCACATCAAAAAACTTTTTCCTTCCAAATACGTGTTCACCAGGTTGCAAAGTAATTTTAACATCATTAACTGTAATAAGTTTTAAAGTCATTTTGATATTAGTTTAAAATTTAAATTGTAAAATTATTTCTTAAATTAACGATTAAAAACTGAATTTAAGTAGAAAGCGAAGCCTTAGAAATTAATAAAGAGTGATGAGAAATTGTTGTTAATCAACTATGAAGTCTGAACTTTATTTGTAATTTGTATTTGTCAATTGTCATTTGTCATCCATATTGTCAAATGTCAACTTAATTGTCATCCATGGACCTATGGAGGGTACGAGGACCTTGGACCTTAACTCATGAGTATTAACAACGAACCATTTATTTGTCATCCATGGTATGAATGTTACTAGTTCTTTAATCTGTGGTATGAATTTTCAATAGTTTTATTGATATGTATAATTTGATTTGGTGTAATTTCACTTTTCAGTGACCCAACGGTATGAAATAAGTTGGCTCTACTCGCAGCCTTGGTTGGGTTTTTCCAAATTCGAACCCCTTACTATGTTATTACTTATTCATAAAAAAGGTTACCTACATACTCTTATGACTTATTCTTAATCTTTATTTTTCATCCATGTTCATACTGAATAGTGTTCAAAGACTACAGGTGCTACTTGCCTGATTTCTAGAAACCTTTTATTATTTACTGGTGTTTGGGTACCATATTGAGTTTTTAATCTCTGTAGTTTCACCGCTAGGAGTATTATGTTGAATGTTCTGTGAGTTTGACGCTACTCGTCAATGTCAACTTGTCATTTTATTTGATTTTCATTTTTGTAAATAATGACCTAGTCATTAAAAAACATTTAATACAAATTATATTATTTTATTGATTAAAAGATGATTAAATCTCCAGGAATAGGTTCTAACCGACCACTATCAGGTCAACTTTATAAATATACAAATGTAGTCAAAGGGTGGCAGCAGAGGTGGTTTGCCGTAGATCCCGAAACAGGTGTTTTATCGTACTATTTGTTTGATGGACCTGGAGACACTGTACAACCTGGACAGCCGGCGAGAGGAGAGGTACTGTAAATAATGGCTAAATTTTTAAGGACGCGTGTATTGTCCGTGTATGTGTTTTTACGCAAAGGTTGGTTAATACTTTGTGAAATTGGCAAAACTTTATAATATGGGGCTTGGCCCAAGGAGAGGAGACTGCTATATTTTTGAACAAGAGCGGTGACGGAGACTAAATGTATAAAAAATATTTTTAGGAAATTATTTATTTATTGCTGTATATTTAAATTATTGAATTCAAATCAGGCACACTTAGCTGCAGCAGTCGTATGCCCAAGTGATGAAGATTCCCGGACATTTACCATCAACTGTGCTTCAGGGGATATGCTGAAATTGAGAGCAACAGATGCTCGTGCTCGCCAAGAATGGGTGAATGGTTTGCGGGCTATAGCAGAAATACATACGAAGGTAATTTAAGTAAAACATTATTAAATAATGATTATTATAAAACCTTTAAGGTTTAGACAATCAGCTTTATATTTAAATGAATTTTGTTGGTAAAAAATGTATTAAGTCATTTTTATATTATCAATAATGAATGCTGATCAGGGCCCACTCAAAGGTGAACATTGTTTCATTGCATTATATTCAGTGATGGGAATGGTGAAATCTAAAAATAGATAAAAAATGGAGTTTCAAGACCTATTTTGACAAAACTAACAGCACCATTTAAATTCAGAAAAAATGTTTTACTTACTGAATATGTTATTTAATAATTTACTAGATATACCTACAATAAAATATTATTCTTGATATAGCATTTTATTTTCATCACACTAATGCACATGTGGTTTATTAAAGCAAAAAAAATATTATCCATGATTTTTTATATAATCTACCGCACAATATTGATAACTACATATATGGTATTTTATTTATAGGCTATGGGAGCAAATCCACCATTACAACCAAGGGAACAACTTGCAGTACATGACGCCATGGCATCTGCTCGCCAACAGCTGCAAGCTACAGAGTTAAGGTGAATGAATTTTATACACACTTATTTGTTTAACAGGTTGCATACATTACAAAAAATTGCATTTTTATACCAAACTACTATTACATATTATGTTTGTGTGTGTTTTGCATGTATGTGTGTGTGTACTTGTCGTCAGCGTAAAAAATAGCACATCTTTCATGCAGAATCAGTTGTATGAATTGAAATTGAGTACATAAATAGAGTATGATCTGAAGTACTGTTAGATGCCTAGAGGCACCTGAGCGAAGCGACAGTCACTAGTTCGACAGCACTATTCGCGAAAAAATCCGAAAAGATAACTTTATTTAAAAAGTCACTAGTCTATACTAATATAATAAAGAGGTAAAGTTTGTGAGTTTGTAGAGGGTCTTGCGTGTGTGAGAGGGTGTGAGGATCTCAGGATCTATTGAACCAATTTAGATGAAATTTGGTAAGAAACTACTTTGAAACCATGGGAAGGACATAGGATACTTTTTATCCCGGAAATCATCTCTTGAGGGGGTGAAAATGGGGATGAAAGTTTGTATTGGGAAGCAAGCTAGAGGCAAACCTGAGCGACGCGTGGGTGAGTCGCTAGTAAATAATATTTGTATGTATTTGTATAATTCAGCAAGAGGTAGGCAAACTTTTCATATTTTTTACTAGCAGCCTTCCTCAATTTTGTTTAGTGCTTTTGCTAATCCAATCAAACTTTACAACTCGCACGCCACCTATCGTACATTGATGGTACAATGACTGATCTTTTTACAGTGACGCTGCGTTGGCACGATGCATTGAATCCTCCGACTCTCCATTCCCTCATACAGATCCAGATTTACTTCTTCTAAAGGTATGTCTATGTTGACTTTAATTAAGGTTGTCATAATTGTTTTTTTAATGGGTTGGACACTTTGGGCGTATGTTTTGTTTATAATACGCGATATTATGACAAATAATTTTGTCATAAGACATTAATAATAATATATAATTTCACCAACGTCACCTAAGTTTAATGGAGCCCCTAAGCTTGGTTAGGGGGCTGTTAGGGGACAGTTTCTGTTTCACCGACAGTTAGGGGTCACCTAAATATTAAAAGGCCCCCTAAATTTAGGTGCTCGAAATATGGGCTTAAAGACGATCGTAAAACGAAATTTATTTTAGGGGCTAGTTTAGGGGACTTTTAAGCTAGGGATCCCTTTACGTAGGTGGTAGCTTATGGGTTGTTGGTGAAATCGGGCATTATTCTTTTTTCTTGAAAGATATCATCAATGGTGATTTTCTAATTTTCAAGATAAAAAATTAATTCGGTCGTCATTTAAAATAACTTTTTAGTTAAAAAATAAGTATGTAAAATATAATTTATTATTTTTATAATAGGCAACATCGGCGGCCAGTATGCAGTGTCTCTTGCAATGTCTCGGCATTCTTCTGCGCCAACAACAATATGCAACTCTAAGCATTTCCAAAACATCGAATAGTGATCACTAGCGGTTGCTATTTGTATATGTTGCCACTTAAATTATATGTGCATATAAAAAACTATTAAAATGTTATACGCATAGACCGGGAGAATGGACTGCGCAATACTCTCATGAAATTAATCACTCTAGAAAGAGAGAAAGCGACATGCGGCCAATACCTGTCTTATTCCAATTTGGATTTATAAATGGAATGTAAAAAAATTATAATAATATTATTGACAATTTTAATATTATAATAGGCTACCTGCGCCCCTCGGTTTCACCCGCGTTAAATTTGTTTGATTATAGACATCAATTGATTTTCAATAATCAACAATAAACAAATCTTCATTAATCGTATTTGAATGAATACAGAAGACTTCTGGCCGCACACTCATTTTGTCTCCGTCGCACCTTTCCGCCATTTTCATTACAGCTGATGGCTGGCAAAGAAACACTTGGTCCATTCTCTATGTCTATTATAGTAGCACTAATAAGAATGTGTACACTTTAAAATTTAACATAATTTTTAAATAAAACTATCTTTTCGGATTATTTCGCGGATTTATGGAACCAAAAATCAAAATAAATCCGCGAAATAATCCGAAAAGATAGTTTTATTTAAAAATGTCAAACATTCGCGTAAATCTAAGAAAGTATTAACATAATTTATTAATCGTCAATGAAATTACTTGCATTTAATTTATTCATGTCTTGCTAGATAAATAAAATCCTTCATTGCATATCTTATTTAATTTTATATTTGTATATTCTGATTTCGTATATTTTAAAAATCTATGCTTAAAATAATTAATCTGCGTTACTGACGATTGTTGCTATTGTTATAAAATTTAAAAATGTAAATACTTTTAAAGTTATCTTTTGGTATGTTTGGAAAAAAATATGAAATTACAATTTTTAAGATGCGCGCGCATACCGACAGCCAAAAGCGACATGATGAAGTTAGCTGCATTCCTTTTATAAACATTGTGTCATACTACCCTACCTACACGACAGAGGGATGAAATCTTTAGCTATTTTTGTTCTATTACGCCAAACAAGTATAACTTCTTACGTGCGTACATAAGTACACACACACGTTTTTTGTTTAATTTATTGAATTAATTTAATAAGGTATTATTATATTTTTTTATATGTGTATAGCCATCTATGAAAAATTATATTGTTATAGTAATTTAAATTGTACTTATTAAGTAACATATTATATTAGATAAAAAATATTAATAACAATACATACTAAATACATATATTTCATATCGAATTATTAAATGCCTATAATTATAATTTATATATATTATGTTAAAGTGTAAATAAAAATAGTTGAATTTATATTTTAGTGCATAATAGGTAGATAGATGAATATTATTTAAAAAAACTTTCTTTTTTCTCATAAACTTGATCTTCTTATGATGCTGTACATTTTTAAATAAACTTAAAGCGAATTATTTTGTTTTAGTTAAAGACCTTGAATTCCGTTTCTAAAATAAAAGTAGCCTAAGTTACTTCTTATAACATCAGCTATCTGCCAGTGAAAGTCCCGTCAAAATCTGTCCAGTCGTTTTGGAGACTAGCCGAAACAAACAGACCAAAAAAATAAGTTTTTTTTTAGAAATACCGTACTACTAGTTTTTTGTATCATGTGCTAGCACTTAGCAGTATTAATACGCTAATTTTTAATATTAAACATTTTACATTTAAACGTACTAATAAATATCTGATGAATTTGATATGCAGGTAGAATGTATATGTACAGATTTAAAATTGTATAGAAAAATTAATAAATTAAAAAAATGGCGCAATCTTTAATTGTGTTCTCAGCTGGCGGCAGCAATACGCCAATATTACATAACAATGCGAACACATAGACGGATCAATAACTTGTTGGCAGTGTTTCAATTTTCAAGTCTAATTTTCTATACTAAACTTCTATAATAACTAATTCTAACTAAGCCGAATCTGTACATTATTATTTTTTTAAAGTCTTATTGAAATTTTTCATTATTATAAATACAGAGGCCGAATTTATAGTTTTTAGAGTTTTTGTCTGTCTATCTGTTACCGCATCACGAGAAAACCACTGGACAAATTTTGATTAAATTTGGTATAATGATAGCTGGTTACCCGGGTCAACATATAGGATACTTTTTACCGCGGGAAAATATATCATTTCTGAGAAAAAATACAAAAACAGCATTGTAAGTGTATACTAATATGTAAAACCTAAGAATTTGGTTTTTGGTCATCTGAACGCGGGCGGCTTATAGGAAAGTTCCTATAAGAATAATACTTATATAATAAATACCTAAATAATAGAATTAATATTAATTTTAAATGCAGGTCTCTCGTCTTCAGGCAGCATCTTCAAGTTAAACTAGCCTAAAAGTGAAATGGGTACATAATAATGTAAATTGTAATTAAATGAAAAAAGATAAAGAGGTCTACTACATTTTATTTACATTTGTCGCCTCCTAGATTTTTTGTTTGACATACAAGTTGTCTTGTTTAATTTTTTGAAGCTTTAATTTTACATGTTATACATTTTCTATGATTTTATTCCAATATGTGCGACGAGGAATTCAGAACTTTACGGATAGATCCTCGATATCCATTTCAAAATCAAACTAGGTAAAAAACTAAAACTAGCAAATATTTTTTTATAATTAGATACAAAATAATATATTTATTAAATGTTTTGAGTTGTAGCCGAGTGATAACACGCTCGCTTGGGAAACGGAGTGAAGCGGGTTCAAATCCCGGGACTCTGATATTTTCATGTGTCATTTCCAACACGATTAATTACCACTCGTCTTACGGTGAAGGAAAACATCGTGAGGAAACCTGCATGTCAGAGAGAACCTAGTTTTAGTTTTCAAAAGACATGCATGTGTAGTCCGCCAAGCCGCACTTGGCCAGCGTGGTGGATGGCCTATCCTCCTCGTATTGAAGGGAGGCCCGTGCTCAAGAGTGCGACGTTAAAAAAGGGCTTAATACATATTTAATGTTTTTATTTTATAGGGCATGCTACGATAACTACTGCGATTATTACAAATGCACTCGATTATTAGGCGATGTTGACGACTGCAAGATATTCAAGCGCTACTTCCAGACCATTTGTCCCAACTTCTGGATCGAGCACTGGGATGAATTGAGGCAAAAAGGAGCATTCCCTGGACCTATATAATGTTTTACAAAGACTATTAAACATTTTTTTAATTAGTTTGATTTATATTTTATTTGGATTGTGCTCTTAGAATTAAACTTTTAATAAAGCTTTAGCTATTCAAGTGTTCAGTTATTGTACTTCAATATTCCGCATTTATTTTAAAAGAATAATTTATTAAATGATATGAAGTCACACGAATATAATATTTAATAGTTCTTGATGTAACCATTAAGAGAAATTACATGTTACTTCAAAAATAGAATTTACTAGCAGCTCACCCTCGCTCCGCTCAGGTTCGTCTCTACGTTTTGAAATTGGTATAGATTTCTCAGAGATGAGATATTTTCCTGCAGTAAAAAGTATCCTATATGTTGACCCAGATAACCAGCTATCATCATAACAAATTTCACCAAAGTCTATCCAGTGGTTTTCTCGTGATGCGTTCCCAGATAGACAAGACAGACAAAAATTCTAAAAACTATAGATTCGACCTCTATCGATAGTAATGACTAGATACTTCAATAAGATTTTCCAAAAAATATTTAATGAACAGATTCGCCTCAGAATTTTATGTTTATATATGTAGCAATATACTCTATGATTTTATGTGTATATATTTAAAGCATTAATTTAAATAATCTTTAAAATCAAATGAAACATCATTTAAACCAATATCTATATTTTGTAACCATTAAAAATACTAAAATAAATATTAAGCAAATTTAATAATAAAACCATTTTATAACTTTAACTGATTTATTCTATATCACGCATCCTATGGGAAATTAAAATATAAATTAAATGTGTCTAAACCGTTGACAGTTTAGAATATTTATATTCTGCCGGGGAAGGTGCCAGAGGAACGTTGATCGTCCCACTTTTCTACCCACTCATTGGGGCACAAGGACTTGTATACCCTCTTGAAGTAGAAGCATGGCTCGTATTGCTCTCCACGGACCTTCTGGCATCGGTGGAAGTCCAGGTAGCTCTGGTAGCAGTGCCTGCAATAGTTTTAAAGGTTTGGGTGTCATGAATTTGGTTTTAAATTTAATGTTATTCAATAATATCATTACATATACTATATATAATTAGTTGTTAATAATGAGAATGAATTATAGTTTGAGTAACTACTTTATAGCTGATAAATGTACCAAACAGAGACAATTTGCTTTACACTTAATATTTGTTTTGTTACATACCTTAATATAATGTTATTCAACCACATTTGAAAATTGAAATTTCTTAAATATTTGAATATCTTTACTTAATATTTTATTTGATTAGACTAAATGATAGTGATTTAGCATTTTTATGCAAAAATATTCTCTTGTAATTAATTTGTGCTAGCAGAGATAGTTACTCACATAAATAAAAAATAAAATGGATTCCTCAAATACTGACATTTAATTTAAATTTAAAAAATGTTAATATTTGACTATTCAATAGTGCTTGTAAGTCTATTTGAATAAAGTATATTTAGATTTTTTCGAAAGGCATGGGTCTATGTCTTCCTGTAGCACCAGCAGTTGGAGGGCATCAGCTAGTAAAAATAATATGTTTTACCTTGTCTGGTTCTGGTTAGGGAACCGTGGATCAAAAGGTGCGGTTTTGATGTCAGCTGGCGATTTGATCATTTCGGGCATATTTACTGTAACGAAAGAACAACTAAGTCATTCATATAATCCTTTATTGGGAAAATTTTATTAAAAATATAAGGGATAGACTGACATGTGATTACATAAAATATCATAACAATAATAACTGCTGAAATGCACAGAGTCCTAACTTAAACTATTTTACTAGAGGCCTAGTCTTTCTTTCTTCCTCACAAGATGTCTCCCGGTACTTTTTAACCTCTTGCATATACAGTGACCAAGCATCTTTTGGTGTGTTATCTACTGTTTGTTCATCAATCGCTTTAGCCTTTTTAACTAATCCAGTTTTTAATACTCTCCCACCGCGTCTTTTACCAATGAAAGGTAAAACAGGCTTTTTAATTTCTGGCTTCTTCTCTGCTACTTCAGCCTTTTTTGTCTCTTCTTGCATCTTTTTAAACATTTCAAGAAAACTGCCGTCATTCTTTATAGGTATTGGAAGTGGTTTAGATTTGGAAGTTGATGGGGCTTGCATTACTTGTTCCGGAGTATGCAATAGATCAGCAAAATTTGGTCCTTCAACCTCAGGGGGGTCACCATATGTTATATCATCCACTGCAGTGGACTCGATGGCGCCGGGTGGAGGCTTTATTTCTTTAGGTGGAGTTTTACATCTTTCGGCCTGCCTATTTCTATGCAACTTCCAAAACCGTTTTCTGTCTGCCACGGTAAATTGTCCTCGACATTCTTCATCACTAGGTGTTCGGCTTCGGCTACGAGACCGAGAACTCCGCGATCTAGATCGTGATTTCGAATCATTCTGGCTTCTCGATCGTTTTCTCCCTCTAAATCGTGAACTGGAATGACGTCGTGACTTCGATCTACCTTTACTCACTGACCGACTGTTACTACGAGATCTATGTTTTGATGATGATTTACGTCTTCCACGGCGTGATTTCGATCGTGACCTCGACGATCCTGAACTTTTGCTGGATGAGGAAGATCTGCTTCTACGCGATTTCGGCGTGCGTGATCGTTTACGTTTTGTCCTAGGAGTCAAGGACCTTGAACGAGATCTAGAGGTAGACGTTGAACGGCTTCTAGCGTAGCACCGTGGCGGGGTCACAGAACTATCTCTAGGCTTTTTTGGTGGAGTTCTCGACCTGCGGTCTCTATGTTTGCTCTTACTTTGAGGTGAACGATCTGATCTCTTGTATGTTGTCGGTGGAGTAGCTGAAGATCTATCAGATCTTTTATGTGATTTTGGTGACACTGATCTCACTTTAGGTGGAGTGAAAACATCTCTCTCCCTCTCCTCTTTAGACTTAGTCTGTTTCCTAGATAGAGATTTATTACTTTTTGATTTCTCGCTGCTATATCTTGGTGACCTACTTTTTGCTTGTTCTTTACTATAAGATCTATTACGAAATGAATCAGTTTTCAATGGCGGAGTCATAGAATGTTCATCTCTATCGGTTTCAGCATTCTTATAAGATCTATCAGATCTCGATGAACTAGATGAACCAGATCGTGTTTTATTTTTGCCTTTTTTAGTTAGTGATTCTGAATACGACCGAGACCTGCTCGATCGATCACTAGAAGAATACTTTGAGTGTTTTGCTTTAGAGGCACTTCTGGATCTACGTCTTCTTCCTTCATAGCTACTCTCTCTCTTTTTTGAATACTCTCTTTCGCGATTGTAAGGAGATTGACTCCTGGAATCGGACCTATATGAAGGACGTTGGCGATCGTAATCACGAGACACACGTTTAGATCTGGAGTGATCACGAGACTGATTGTATTCGTAGTTTTCTTGCACCGCTGGATAAGGAGCCCTAGAATTATCGTAATAGCCACTTTCTGGTCTCTGATAATATGTGGAATCATAATTATAACCGTAACCAGGGGCACTGTACGCCTGGTAGTCGTACTGAGGCTGGCCGTACTGACTGTAGCTGACCCCCGTCCAGGGGTCGGTGGTGGGCAAGGGCGCGGCCAGCGGGGGCGCCTGCTGCGGCGCGTAGTCCGCCTCGGCGCCCGGGGGACCGCCGTCCCAAGCGCCCACCTCGCCACGATACGAGGACATACTTATACGATCTTCTTCGCATAACCTGCGGCAATTTGTAGGTATGCTCACACCTACAAAAAGAACAACTTTTTGGTGTAGACAACAATTCTACCTTCTCCGTTTGTGAAATCGCTCTCTCAAACGCTATTCATGTTTCGGTGTAAATATTTTTTGTGTCGAGAAACAATAAATTACGTAATACGAGTCCATTAAAGTAGATTGTGATTAAAATGGCATGCGTTACAAATAAAGCGTGATAAACTATACAAATGGAAAATACCTTTCTACTCATGCTCACCTTTTCGATATTTGTAATAAAATTTCCTCAAGTTTATTGAATAGAAAATGGCAGCGAACACATTCGCTTCCCAAGATAATTATAGAGTATAGACAATAGAATTATAGAGTACTACACTCTATCTATAATCTACATAATAGGCCTTTGTCTATGCCAGTTCAAATTCAGAAAATATTTGGGGACCTACTATTTTATAAATTGAGTTTCTCGCTTGTATTTTAAAAATTAATTTCTAAATTTCTGTAAATATTATCAGTATACTAAAAAAATATATATCACGCTTACCTTATATTTTATATTATGGTAAACTTTGAACAAGGATAGGCCATTTAGAAAAAATGTAAGCACATTGTATGTCAAATGTCAATAATTAGTTTACCTAGGTACTTTAAATCTCAGACTTTTATTACTTATACATATTTTCTTTTCAAATGTTGTAAATCAAGGCTCATATCATTATTCAATTTTGTTTATTCTGAACCGAGAAAGTAAAAGATCTGTATGGCAAAATCGAGAATAGTGGTTTTACAATAGCAAAATCCCGTCAAGTTATGACTTAGACATTTTTTTGTTGTGCTTCGTCTATTTTATACTTTAGTCTGAGCTTTTAACAAACTGAAAATAATTTATAATAATTATTTATTTTGTTTATTTGTAAAGGGGAAAAATTTAGCCTTTTTCACACGCCAGATGACGCGATTACTATGGCAGCTATGGCTCTCAGTTTTTTATTTTATTTTAAAATGTAATTAAAATGACACATTATGCAGTGGCAGGATACAAAGAAAATGGATATCATTTGTTTCCAAAAGATAAAAAGTAAAGAAATTGTGGGCTTTAGCCCAATGTGATGACCAAAATTGGCGAAATCACAATCTTTACATTTATAGCTATGTGGGCATCATTTTAAAGAAAGTGCTTTTAAAACTCTTGATCATGATATCTTGATTTTGAATCGTTACAGGTGTTTTTTTTTGTCCTTTTATAATTTTAACATATTAATTACAGAGTTTCATACAGACTTTCACCCCCGTTTTACCCCCTTATGGGATTGAATTTCGAAAAATACTAAAACACTAGCGACTTACGTTCGCTTCGCTCGGGTTCGTCCCTAGCTTGCTTCCCCATATAAACTTTTATCCCCATTTTCACCCCCTTAAGTGATAATTACCGGGATAAAAAGTATTCTATGTCCTTCCCAGGGTTTCAAACTATCTTCTTACCAAATTTCATCTAAATCGGTTTAGTAGATCTAGAGTTTACCACCTTTTTTTATGTCGGGAAATGCATTTACGCATACCACCTGATCCCCCAGGTGGTGATGTGGGGCTCACCGGCTAGAAGAGCCGGTACTACCCACTAAAACCCGACATTCCCGTCCCCTTCGCCTTAATGGGACGCCGCAGGATCGCTTGCGCATAACTACTACGGCGCCCCGGCGGCAGGTCTGCCAACGGCTGACCACCACACCGATGGGGCTGCTCCACAGTCAACTCTGCTACACCAGAGAGGTACCCGGAGCAGCCCCATTAAACCGAACCTCCGCCCACCGAAGTGGGCCACCTCCAATCGGCTGCAGAGGACAGGGAGAGCGGCAACGAAACACCGACACTCCTCTTCCCCTGCAGCCCCACCGCATCCGCCATCAAACGGTGGCGGCCCCGTCTAGGCCGCGGAAGGTAGGGAGAACGGCGCACCGAAATACCGGCAATTCTCTCCCGCCGCGGCCTACCCCTCCGCCGGATCCGGGCCTGCGACCACAGTCCCGCAACCGGCACCCATCATCCGGTTGTGGGACCAAGCGGTCCCACCACCGGTGGCCGCAACGTCTTCGGCTCGAGGCCTAGACGAGCGGCCCCACCCAAACCATTTGGTCCGCGCCGGATTTCTCCGGTACCACCCGCCGCCCTAAGCGGGTGGCATTCCCCTATCCGCCACCTGGGGACGCACCCGGTATAGAGATTACCCCCTACAACAAGCTCACAATTCACAAACTCATAAAATTTACCTCTTTATTATATTAGTATACTCGTAGATAGATTGACGTGTTATATATGAAAAAAATAATCATAAACAAATATCACTCAATAGGTTACCACGGGTTCGCGGTTCCATACCTACGTGTATGTCGTATTATGTCTTTAACCATTTGTCCAAATTATATGCAGTAAAAGGGAAAACTTTTTTGCTTCAAACATTTTAGACGATAAAATTACTTATTTTAATAAGAATTCATAATTGTTGATAATATAACCAATAAACATGACCTACCAATTTAAATAATATTTTTAATATAATAAACTGCTTATTGTGACTTAAATATAAAAGTTAGACATAATATGCTGTCGCTGACTTTTTTGTAGGCATTATTAAGCTCTACAACTTTTCTCTAGAACATAATCATATATATCTTATCGTTAAGGCAGCGTTCGTAAGAAACGTTTTCGTTCGACCGTTTTTTCTCCGACTTACTTTGCCAATCCGACTACGATGAAAAAGTCTTTTTATTCCTCGGGTTAATATATAGCCTATGACACTCAGAAAGAACGTGGCTTTCTATTGGTAAAAGAATTTTGAAAATCGGTTCAGTAGATCCAGAGATTACCCCCTACAACGTCACAAACTCACAAACCCACAAACTCACAAACTCACAAGATCACAAACTTTACCTCTTTATAATATTAGTATAGATATATTTATTTAATTGTATTGAAGAGCATTAATACCAAGTTTCAAACTATTCTGATCATAAATAATTCTTTGCTTATATAAACTTGATTACCCCCTTTTACCCCTTTAAGGGATGAATTTCGAAAAAAATAAAATAATTATATTTTTTATTTTTTATCTTAAAGCTAAACACCACTTTGTGTAATTCACATTAAGAATGACAGAGATTCATAGAATCTTTAATACCCCATTTTACCCATTAAGGGGATGAATGTCGAAAAATGCATATCAAACACATACAAACAATACGTCCTCCAAATCTCACGTTTCTACGACAAGCGACATAGGCTGTGTCATGTGGTAAGATGCGAGTACAATAGAAGCAAATAACCAGGTATAAAAGAGATAATATAATAAATTACTTATCCTCAGACTGAATGTATATAGGCCATACGCGTGGTGTCCTCCTTTCGAGAAATCTTCCCCAAATAGACACATTTCTTAGTTATTTTTATTTTGACGTTTAATCTTCATTCTTCGTCCTTTAAATTTTAATAATTGTCTATGGTACCGGCAACTGGCAAGGGCACGCAAGTAATTGTTATAATACGTACCTACCTATTTGTAATTTGTATTTTGTGCATTTTTCTTTTATTTACAATCCATACAATAATTTATTGTTTTCAAATAGTCATTTCGTTTGCTTTTATTCTATGAGCAAATCAAAAGTTTCTGCAGAATGGAAGAAACGAGTAAAATCGGAGTACATGCGATTGCGACAAGTAAAGGTATAAAAAATGCCGTATATGTACTTAGATTTTTAATTTTGCTTTTTTTTTATTGTTTGATTGTCCATTTATAGAGATTCAAGCGGGCTGATGACGTGAAGGTAGCATGGGCTCGAAATCTACGTATTATGTCGGAGGCGATCGAGTCTCGCGAAATCGAGAGTTCCGAACGCGGTCGGAGACCTTTTTGGCCTCCTCCAGCTCCTAGACCAAGCCATGAGAGTCTCATGAAACGCGCGGAAGTCACATATACTGACGGTAAACACAATTATATAATATATACTATTCTTTATCGCACTTAAAAATAAATATATTAATTAAATACAATTTTTGTTTCCAAAGGTGCATATAATATTATTTTTAGATATTTTGTTTTCTTTTTTTCTTCTATGTTATTTTTTACGTGTATAAATAAAGAAAGCAAAAGCTTTATTCTTTTTAAAACAGTTTTTTTTTAATTATTAATAAACTAGCAGCTCACCCTCGCTTCGCTCGGGTTTGCCTCTAGTTGAGCAAAAACGAATCTATAAAAAGTAGCCTGTTTGTTATTCTGATGTATATTATTGTAAAAATATTATTGATAACTATATTGTAAAGTTTCATTAAAATCCGTAGTTTTTGTGTACAAAGCTGTATAAGTTACTATAGTTTTTTAACTCTTCGGGGTGAGAAGTATCTAAAATGTTGACCAGTGATATAAGGTACCATCATGCCAAATTTCATTAAAATTGGTCCAACAGTTTTGGAGATTAGCCTATACAAACAGATAAACACAGAAACAAAAAAATTCAAAAAAAATCTGGATTTGTTCTACTAATCTTCTCATATTCCCAGACTCGGTTTTTAGAATTTTTTTCTGTGTACAGATAGTTTGTGTTTTATTATATGTATAGATAATAAATATGAATCTTTACACTAATATTTCTTAAATTATTTTGTACCATCAGCATCCGGAGTAGTCACCACTCAACAAGTACCAATAAGAATAATAAGTTCAGTCAATCCTATACCAACCATGTATACTTGGGCACCGACACAGAAGAACTTTATGGTGGAAGATGAGACTGTACTTCACAATATTCCCTACATGGGAGATGAGGTGTTGGACCAGGATGGTACATTCATCGAGGAGCTCATAAAGAACTACGATGGGAAAGTGCATGGTACATTGGCTTCACATCATTTTGTTTGTGGATGGAACCAGTGTAGATTTATCTTATATATGGGTAAACTTATGGGTAATTTTTTCTGAGTTTGAAGAGAAAGTGAATTGAGGTTATTAGAATTATGTAGTTTGTTTTAATATGGATTAACAAAGATGATGATAATTATTTGATTCTTTCAGAATTTTTAACAATTATAAGACATTACTTTCATTGGTAAAGTCCACAAACTATATTAATTTATACATTGGTGTGTGGCGATCATCAATGCTTACTACTATCAATTTTATTGATAAATTATAAACTCATTGCCAGTCAGCTTACAATGATCATGCTTAATGTGCTTTTAGATTATTATGTATCACTTAATAATAAAGGTTAACTGTATATAGGCTACATAGAATAATATACACCACTCTAAATAAAACCCCCTTTAGTAAATTTCAGTTAAAATTTTATTTAAGACTAGCGATTCACCCTCGCTTCGCTTGGGTTCGTCCCAAGATATGTTTTAATTTTTTTGAGCAGAACCCTAATTCTTTTTCTCAAATAAAAGTAGCCTAGGCTTCTCCCTATAACATCAGCTATCTTCCAGTGAAAGTCCTGTCCAAATCAGTCCAGCCGTTTCAGAGATTATCCAGAACAAACAGACAGACAAAAATTAAAAAAAAAAATGTTTTTTGTATAAGTACCATATATCATTTCATATGCATTTAGTAAAACACTGCTATTTTGACATTACAAACAGACACTTCAATTTTATTTATCTGTATAGAAAAGTTTTGTTTACAACTTACTGCTACATAATTCTCACTTGATATTAAATATTTTATAAAAATATGTGGAAAAGTTCTTCATTTTCTTAATAACTAACATATTTTTTTGTTGTATTGAGTCTATCTCAACTTACTTATATTTTAATACGATGTATTATGTAACTAAAAACAATATAAACATGTTTGACTCAAAAGTGTCCATAAGTAACACTTAAATAAAAGCCAATATTATAAATTATAGAATATAAACTCTGGGAACGATGGGACTGACGTTTTCGCCTTGTGCTTAAAAAGTCTGTAAATAAAAACAGATAAAAAGAAACAATATAAACTTTGAAATTGTAACTTAAATATAAATTCTCAATAATTTAAGTGTAATGTTATTTTATATTAAAAATGTGTTTCTCATTTTAATTTTTAGGTGATAAAGAAGGTGGCTTCATAGATGACCAGTTGTTTGTGGACTTGGTTCATGCGCTAGTTGCATATCAAACTAAAGATGAAGTAGCTGAAGAACGAAAGGAGAGAGAGTTGCGCATTTCTAAAGAAGAGAAAGAGGTATTGTAACTGACCTGGTAAAAAAATGTACCTAATAGCTTAGCGTAATTTATTGATTTTATAAATACTTGAAGAAATGATAATTAATAGTTTAGAATTTTAATGAATACTAGAATTATTACAATTGCTTCTCTGTAATACTTACTTAATACTTAGTTTATTTAGTACTTAATATTATAAATATGAAAGTGTGTTTGTTTGTCCTTCTCCCACGTCAAAACAGAGTGACGGATTGGCGTGATTTTTTGTGTGGAGGTAGTTGGAAAGCTGGAGAGTGACATAAGCTACTTTTTAATGTGGGAGATTGTCTCATTCCCACGGGAAAACACGTTATAATACAACCTACAAAAACTCATCATACCTTTGTATAAATCTATCTATTCCATACTAAAAGTTAAAATGTATGAATGTACTTGTACGAAGTGAGGGTGAGTCGTTAGTTGTTGAGAGGAATTATAATTTTAGATTAATTGGACATGATTTACACTATGGTATATATTTAATTTGCTTTTTGGTAATTTTACTCTCTCAGAAGGAGGCTGCAAAGGATTCAAAAGACAAGGAGAAAGACAAAGAAGATGTGAAAGAAGGAGAGAAGAAGATGATATATGAGAAGCAGTTTCCGATATTCATCATATTTCAAGCAATAAGCTCACAGTTCCCTGATAAGGGTACTGCTCAAGAGTTAAGAGAGAAGTATGCTTTAGTTTTTTCTTTTGTTTATTGAATATCTTGGAAGACTTTTTCAAATTATTGTGTATAATTTATACAAGATTTTCAGTGGTTTTTAACTAAATAGATTTAATTAAAATTTAGAGGGGAGTTATTTTTATCTTGGATTTAAAAGTTATTTTTTATCAATATACAAATAGTATGAATATATATTTGTAACATATAATTATTTGTTACCTCTCTATTACAATATACTTAGTAAAATAAGAAACATTGTTTGATGGTTTGTGTTCCGCTGTGGATTCCAGCCCAGCCTACTTATCCATTGTCTATTGATGGGGCCTAGATAGGGCGATCGTGCGTGGAGGTGAGAGACGCGGATGTGACAGTGGGGAAATGGTTTTAGGGTTGACGGGTATAACTAATTTGTCACAAGATGGCAACACACACAGCACCTTCTTTTAATTTTGAAACGATTTATAATTTTTTTAATAATCCTATTGATTAACATAACGCTTATGTATTCTTTGTTTATCTCAAGGTTATTAGGCCAACCTTTTATGGCCTTAATTTATTGCAATAACAATATTTTCCATGGTTTTCAAAAAGGCTATACATATATAGATCTGCCCCTACTTATAATGAAACTTAGCTTACTGGGTGGTCGACCATATATGGAAAATGATGTGAGCTTAATATAAATTAGGGCCTACATTGGGCTTAATGCTATACTATCGTATACTATATTGTGTTATATTATACTATACTTAATGTATGAACATTTTACATTTGAAGCGCGTGTGTTTGTCCGGTCCCCACCAGGTACATTGAGCTGACGTCCCGCAGCGACCCCAACGCGCTGCCGCCCGAGTGCACGCCCAACATCGACGGGCCCCTCGCCGAGAGCGTGTCGCGCGACCAGACCATGCACTCCTTCCACACGCTCTTCTGCCGTCGCTGCTTCAAGTACGACTGCTTCCTGCACCGTGAGTGTCGCCCCCCCACCACCCACGTTGTACACACAAACACAGATACTCACGTACAAGTCGTACACACATTTGCGCATGTGCACGTACGTTGTACACACACACACGCAATACACAGTTGCTGAAGATAGTGCAAGGGAAGTTTTATTTAATTTTAATAATAATAAAGGATGTCATACATAAAACAAAAATATTTTAAGTTTATCTATTTTTTAATAATATATTGAGAGAAAACAATTTCTCATTTTATATGAACTTTTTGTGTATATGTTACTTTTTATAATGACTTGCTGATTATAGACTCTACAATACATTTTTTTTAGTCAATAGGCGACACTGTTAATGACATTTACAAATCCCAATCTCATGAAAGCCTTCCAACTCTTAAAGATGAAACATAATTTAGACTACTAACTACTATGAAAGATTGCGTCTCTAATTTACTCCTAATCTTAGTCTATTTATGTATACAAATTCATTTTAGCCATTTCAACGTGAAGAAGTAAGGAACATATACACATTATACATATATAAGTACACACATAAAATCTTTTGCATTTAAGATAGTAGTTCAATGGATGTACCTAATTTTTTAAATTAAAAATGTGAATTTCAATAATAAAAATTTAATTAAAAAATATATATTTAAATATATTTACTTGAAACTTTTTCTATAAAACACTTGGTTAGTCCAATAAAAAAAAAATAGCTAAATAGGCACATGTTTGAATATTGTGATTTTATCTTTAATACTAGCAATGTGTATTTAATTATTTTATTATTAAATTATGTATCTGTGTATTTTCATAATAGTTTTAGCGGTAGATGTAGTGTTAACAATTGAACGCCTTACCAGTTTATTTTGTTCTGTTCGGCTGACAGGCAGTCAGGCCACAGGTAAGGCTAATATATGGACACTTCACCTTTTCTCCTGTTGTTTTTGCTATTTCGAAATTGTATTTGTCTTTATTACACAAAAAAATAGACAAAAAAAAGGATTGATGTGCAAATGTGGAGAATTGGCTATAAAAAAAGAAAAAAAGAATTAGTTATATAAAAGGAAATAAGAAATTGTATGGATAAAAAATATATATAATTTATGATTATTACTCCTATTTTGCAATATATTTATTTAAACCATCCTATGATTTCGTTCATGTTACTATTTGTTTTTATATATTTTATTACTCATATTTTTATTTATTTTTTTCATATTTAATTATGATAATTAATATATAAGGAATGTATGTTATGTAGGTATGTTTATTTAAAAAGCAATTTTATGCATCTGTGACCTATTCAAAAAAAATATATACATATTTTCAAAAATAAAAGTAAAAAAATTTTGAAAGTAATTTTGAACAAAACAAAACATTAATGATAATGAATTCTTTGAAGTTAAAAAAAATATATTAAAAAAAAATGTGATTATATATATTATATCTTCAGTTTAACCGAGTTTCCTAAGTAATACCATTGGTGTGTAGGTTTGCAAGCGTGCCACCCGCGCCCCAACCTCACCAAGCGCAAAGGCCCCGACCTAAAGTTTTTGGAGCCCTGCGGACCCAACTGCTACATGCTACTGGTGAGTTATCTGTTGACTGGAGAGTTTGTAGTGTTGTGACATTGTAGAGGGTAATCTCTGAATCTACTCAACCGATTTAGATGAAATTTGTTAAGAAGATAGTTTGAGACTTTGGCAAGGACGTAGGATTTTTTTTACCCAGAAATCATCCCTTATAAAGGTGAAAATGGGAATGAAAGTTTGTATTGACAAGCAAGCTAGGGACGAACCCGAGCAAAACGAGGGTGAGTCGCTAGTAAATAAATAAATATATATGTTGGGACATTAACACACATAACCATCTAGTTCCATGGTAAGCTACGAGGCCTATGTTATGGATACCAGATAGTTGATACACTACACATATATAACTTTAAATACATACATATTATAAATATAAACACCCATGACTGGAGTACAAACATTCATGCATCACACAAATGAATGCCCCCAGCGGGACTTGAACCTGCAACCACTGACATAGCAAGTAAGTTCACTACAAACCGAGTCTAAACGTGTCATGTATACATATAGTAGTAAAAGAAAAACATATAGAAGTAGGTAAATAAATATAATAGTATAAACAAAAATAACTCTTATATGTTCAAACCCTTACGATCTCACAATTTGCTATTTCCAACAGCTTAATCACTTTCCTACCACAGCGTTTTTGTTTTTTTTTTAACGTGTACAGTAAAGATTTATTATTATTTAAGGCGTTTTCTTGCAGTCCTGCCTGTGTACTTCAATTACGGTATATTAGTAACTGTGTTGAATAAGCTATATTACTGTAAAGTTTCATCAAAATCCGTTTGATTTTTGCGTGAAAGAGAAACACACTCAAAATGCATATATTCTCATAAATTTTCACGTTTATAATACTTAGGGTGGATGAATTTCATGGTCTCAAGGGTGAGTGGGTCTTTGGAAGGCTCGGAAGAATATTTATATTTGTTTTATGTGATACATCAAGAATTGATTGAATTGAGTTACTCCTAGGCTCTTCCCAGCAGAACTGCTTTCCGAGCCGGTGGTAGCTTCCTCACGGACTGACTACACTGACGCTCTTTAAATTATATTGATGATTCAAAAGTGCTTCATTTATTCACTCGTCAGCCTCAAGTTACTCGTTGGGAATAGTCAAAGATAGTCACCGGATGATGCTAGAATTGTAGGGAGTACAAGAAATATGTAGAAGTATATTAATATTATGAAGTATCTCAATTGTAATGATATGTTTAGTCCCGCCAAGTTTCTTACGCCAGTTCTTCTCAGGTCGGAGGCTTCTTCCTTCCGAACTGGTAGTAGACTCATGACGTTCAGTAGAAAATTGTAATAATTTAATGCTGAATAAAATATTTTGATTTTGAATTTGTGGTGACAGGAGGGCGTACAGGAGACGCTGGCGCGCGAGGCGCTGGCGGGCGGCGAGCGCGACAAGGCGCTGGACTCGCCCAACGACGCCTCCTCCGAGGACAGCAACGACAGCAACCGATACCAGAAAGGTGACCCCCCCCCACCCACACACCCTGACCACCATACCCTGACTGAATGACTGACTGAATTTTGCGTACTTTTATGTTTTTCACACGTGATTATGTACTATTAGATTGATTTCTAGAAACCGTCTCAAATCGTAAATATTTTTAATACTTATAAGTATTTCTTAAAAAATTAGCTATTAAATAATTACCATTTAAATTTGTCGCTAAATCACTATTTTGCGCAAAATAGCGTCAGTGTCGTCGCAATGAAATGTCATAAACTATCAAGTATCATACACAAGTGGAGTAAAGTAAATTAAGTTATTAGGTGCTTTTTCGCGTATTTATTATTTAATAAAATATATTTTTCCAAATTAACATATATATTTCTTTTAAAACTTCCAACCTATGTATTAACATAATGATAAAACAATATTTTTCACACTGTCAAATTATAATAAATATTTTTCATGCAGGTCACTTTGTTATATTTAATTGAACCTGTATGTGCACATTGCAGGCAGCAACAGTAACTCGAGCAACAGCAACTGGAGCAGCAATGGCCACAAGCCCGCGGAGCCGCCGGAGCCCGCCGCTGACGCCGCATACAACGCGCTAGGTACGAACTCTGATCTTATTATATACGTTTTAACGTTTAGCTCAGAGATGAGATATTTTCCCGCAGTAAAAAGTATCCTATAGGATAGGTTCAACGTATACGTTGAACCGGATAACCAGCTAACGTCATACCAAATTTCATTAAACTCTGTTCAGTGGTTTTCTCCTAATACAGTCACAGACAGACAGACAAAAATTCTAAAACCTATAGATTCGGTCTCTGTATCGATAATAATGTCTATTTCAATAAGATTTTCCAAAAAATATTTAATGTACAGGTTCGGCTTCGTTATAATTTTATTATATGTATAGGTTAAATGTTAGTATATAAGTCCGGGAGGTTCGGAAGGCTTTTAAATCACAGTAAGTAATAAAAGGGGTAGCCAACAATCGTCAAAATCATCCTTATGTAATTAATGAATGGCCCCTTAGTCTCTCCAGTGACCATGCATGTGTGTAGACTTGATATATACACAAACAGCAGTGTAACCGACCACAATGTCTGTTGTGAATATATATATATTATATACATACTAGCGACTCACCCTCGCTCCGCTCGGGTTCGTCCCTAGTGAAAATTTAGGTTTGTATGTATTTTTTAATGGCGAATCATAACATTTTTTTTGGGGTGGACCACCCTTATCACTTAGGGGAATGGAAAATAGATAGTAGCCGATTCTCAGACCTACTGAATACGCATATAAAATTTGGTAAACATCGGTAAAGCCGTTTCGGAGGAGTACGGTAACTAACATTGTGACATGGAAATTTTATATATAAGATAAGAAGTGTGGTGTGGATGTGTTGCAGGTCTGTCGGGCGGCGACGTGGGCAGCGAGTGGACGGGGTCGGACGCGTCGCTGTTCCGCGCGCTGCACAAGGTGTTCCCCGCCAACTGCTGCGCCATCGCCCAGCTCATGCTCTCTAAGACCTGCCAGCAGGTCCGTGCGCGCCCTCACTCGCACGATACTCACTTTCTCTCTTTGAGCAGAAAAAGCAACCGTGCAACGATCTCTTTTACGCTCGTCCTCTCTCACTCGCACAGTATGAGATAGACAAAGCTCCATACAACTGTCCAACGATTTCACTCATACCACATGAGTAGGTATACCAAAAGATAAATACGACGTTTCGTATGACCGTGCAATGATAAACTTCAAACTTCACTTTTTGATTAATGTTTCACAATCACAAATGTTTGTACTCCAGTCATGGGTCTTCATACTTATAACTAGCATTGCCCGAGGCTCCGCCCGCGTTCAGGTGACCAAAAACCAAATTCTTAAATTACAGTTTTTGTATTTTTTCTCAGAAATGAGATATTTTCCTGAGGTAAAAAGTATCCTATCTGTTGACCTGGATAACCAGCTATCGCCACACCAAATTTCATCAAAATCCCTCCAGTGGTTTTTCTGTGATGTGGTAATATGACAGACTAAAATTCTAAAAACCATAGATTCGGTCTCTGTATCGATAATAATGTTTATTTCAATAAGATTTTCGAAAAAATATCTAATGTACAGTCGTCGGCTTAGTTACAATTTTATTATATGTATAGATGTATTTATTTAAAGTTATAGGTATATGTGTAGTGTATGAACTATCTGGTATCCATAACACAAGCCTCGTAGCTTAGCACGGAACTAGATGGTGCTTTGTGTTAATGTCCCGACGGTGCGTGTCGGCAGGTGTGGTGGCACTGGCGCGAGACCGGGCGCGGGCTGCGCTGCGAGGCGGCCGAGCGCACGCCGCCGCGCAAGAAGAAGAAGAAGCACCGCCTGTGGTCCGTGCACTGCCGCAAGATACAGCTCAAGAAGGACTCCGCCTCGCACCACGTGTACGTACACGACCACACCCAGTCCCCCCATCCAGTATCGTTCATATGTGCACTATACATATGGACCATTACACGCCGAATCGAACGGTTTAAAAAATTTTTATTTTTAGATTTCTTAATATTTTGATATTTTTTAGTAACCCTCAAATGAGGCTTCCTGGTAAATTTTGAGATTTTTTTGATCACATATCGAATTTTCAAAAAAAGCTACTCTTTTTTTAGCTTTTTTGCTCATAACTTTCTTAATAATGGTCGAAGTTCAATTTGGTTTTCAAAAAAATTTTTTGGATAACCTTAACAAAAAAAAAATTAATATTTTTAATCGAGATTTTTGAATTTCAAGTTCAATTGTGTTTTTAAAACTGTGTGTATCCTTTGCATTTTTGATAATTTTCTAATTTAAACTTCTATCCATCATGCAACTTTTAAGCTCAGACCGGGAATTTTAAAAATGAAAAAAAGTAAATTTAATTTTTAAAAATTTAAAAATAATTATGGAAGGCCCACTACTGGACTGGGCTTAAAAGTTGCATGATGGATAGAATTTTAAAATAGAATCTTTTTTTTTTATTATTTATGAATAAATAACTTATTTTTTAAAAGCAATAAAAATTTTTTTTGTTTAAATACTTGTATTTGTATGTATATTATATTAATTGTAACATTTTTTAATTAATATATATCCGACGTCACCAAAATAATTAAACATTCTTCTATTCTTTTATACGCAGACTATATGAAAATTTGTAGAAGGATAGCGTCTCCACTAGATTGTTCACTTTTGCAAGAAGACCTCAACAGATTATGTTTGTATTGTAAAAATAATTCTCTTTATTTAAATATGTATTAATAAATGTAATATCATATCATTTTCGCGGAAACGCAATCCTACTGCATATGATTATCGATTTGATGATGTATCCATAAATCGAGTGACCGAGGTGAGAGACCTGGGTATATATCTGGACAATAAGTTGACCTTTAATTTACATATTAACAAAATATTAGTTAGGGCTTATCGTATGCTTGGCTTTGTGTTTAGAACTTCTAAAGATTTTAACCAACCTACCACCTTGACACTTCTTTATAATTCATTTGTTCGACCTATACTTGAGTATGGCTCTACAGTTTGGAACCCACATTATAAAAAACAAATAAATCGCATAGAAAGTGTTCAGAAAAAAATTATTAAATTTAAGCGTTTTAAGTACGCAATGTTGGATCAAAGTAACGACGGTTTAAATATTATGTCACTCGCGGATAGAAGGCTGATCAGAGACCAAGTGTACCTATTTAAAATAATAAAAAATCTTATAGACTCCCCTAAATTTTTTCCTCTTAAATTGTATAAATTTTAAATGTCCCAGATTAGCGGCACGTAATCAATCTCTATTTAATCCTTCAATTACCCAAAGCAAGTATGCGCAGAATATTTTTGTCTATCGAGCCTGCACCAACTACAATAGTAAATTTAATAACGTAGATTTTTTTAAAACTGAGAACATAGATTGTTTGAAAAAGATGTTAGTGAAATGTTTAAACAATAAAGAGTAATATAAATATTATAGTAGATAGTAATAGAGAAATTATTCGTTATTGTTTTAACATGACTTGTGCTCTTTATGTTACATTTATAAGTGGAAACTTCGCTGGTTTATGTACTATGTATATCGGATTAACTTTAAGTATTATTGTACTGTATGTTTCCCAAATATTTTAAAAACAAAAAAAAATAAAATAAAAAACATGACCGCAGCTACAACTACACGCCGTGCGACCACCCCAACCAGCCCTGCGACAACATGTGCCCCTGCCTGCAGTCGCAGAACTTCTGCGAGAAGTTCTGTCAGTGCAGCAGCGACTGTGAGTGCACCTTCTCATTGTATAATCTACATTCGTATACGTTACGTATCGCTTATTGTTTCAAAATCTTAATTGTTTGTTGGACAAAACAAATGAGACTTAAAAATGTCAAATATTTGTGATAACTGTCAAATATGTGTGAAAACTGTTGCTTTTAAATAAAAATAAAAAACCTGAACAGATTAAAAAATATATGTACCAATGTTTATGTAAAGATAGCAGGTGGGAGTAAGAGCTTTGCTTACTTTTGCTGACGGGGGGTAGGGAGGGGTTAATAATTATTAAATTCTGCTTACGTATTACTTGAATGGCCCATTTATTGAAAATGTCAAATATTCACGTAAATCTAGGAAAGTATTAAATAGAGACTAATTTGGTTGGTTTATTGCTAACAGAGTATGTGGGTAAAGTATAGCTTTGTATTAGTACGACTTAGTTGTATCATTGTATGCTTTTGAGATTTAATTGAAATTTATAATCATAAATAACCATGTACATGGTGATAATTTATAATGAACTAGTATTGCCCGCGGCTCCGTCCGCGTTTAGATGACCAAAAACCAAATTCGTTAGGTTTTACATATTAGCATACTCTTACATTGCAGTTTTGTAATTTTCTTAGAAATAAGATATTTTCCCGCGGTAAAAAGTATCCTATATGCTAACCCGGATGACCAGCTACCATCATACCAAATTTCATCAAAATCTGTTCAGTGGTTTTCTCGTGATGCGGTAACAGACAGACAGACAGACAGACAAAAATTCTAAAAACTATAGATTCGGACTCTGTATCGATAATAATGTCCATTTCAATAAGATTTTCCAAAAAATATTTAATGTACAGATTCGACTTAGTTACATTATTATATGTATAGATTAATGTGTATATTACCGTGTGACAGGCCAGAACCGTTTCCCCGGGTGCCGGTGCAAGGCGCAGTGCAACACCAAGCAGTGCCCGTGCTACCTGGGCGTGCGCGAGTGCGACCCCGACCTGTGCACGGCGTGCGGCGCCGACGCCGCGCCCGCGCCGCCGCACGCCCACGCCCCGCGCGCGCCGCTCTACTGCCGCAACGTCAGCGTGCAGCGGTGAGTACTTCGCCCACCAAGGAGTGCATCAGAGTGGGCCGCGGGAGCGACCACTGCGTCGTCACGTTGAAACTGGGGAGACTGTTGGAATTAGTATTAATTCCGGTGGGTAGTGCTGGCTTTTCTGGTCGGTGAGTCCCTACATACCACACACTCGCTCACTTTATATTTTTATTGTTAAGGAATGGATGTCCACTACTACGATTATTTTCTTTATCCATATATTAATATTATAAATGCGAAAATAACTTTATTTTGTCTGTTACCTTTTCACGCTTAATCGGTTAAATTGATTTAAATTAAAAAACAGTGGGAAGGACATAGAATAGTTTTTATCCCTTAAATCATCCGATCCTTAAGGGAGTGCAAACGAGGTTGGAAGTTTGTATGGGGAATTATTCATCTTTCAAGAAAGGGATATAAAACTCATCGTACCTTCATTTTTGAAGTTAAGTAAAAATAAATGTTCATCCCTCTCCATGAGATGTATCAAAGTGAACTGATTGCGTGTTGCAGGGGTCTGCACAAGCACCTGCTGCTGGCGCCGTCGGACGTGGCCGGCTGGGGCATCTTCCTGAAGGAGGCGGCGCACCGCAACGAGTTCATCTCCGAGTACTGCGGCGAGATCATCAGCCAGGACGAGGCCGACCGCCGCGGGAAGGTCTACGACAAGTACATGTGCTCGTTCCTGTTCAACCTCAACAATGGTGAGTGAACTGTTGTTCTCGTAATACTGAATCATATTACATTTAAAAAAAGTAGTAAAAATTTAAATAATTTTTATACCAATTTCTAATAGAACACTGTTTATGTAAGATGTGATACAGGATATTAACAGACGGTACTATGACTCTATTTAATTTATTTAAATGCATACTATGTATATTCTTTTGTCTTTATTTAAAAAAAATGCTAATAAAAAAAAGTTGCACGTCTTCTGCCGCGTCTGTCTGTCTGTTCGCGATAAACTCAAAAACTACTGCACCGATTTTTATGCTGTTTTCACCAAAGGATAGAGATGGTTCTCGAGAAAGGTTTTAGTATAATTCATACAACTACTTCCCCGCAGACTTCGTGGTGGACGCGACGCGCAAGGGCAACAAGATCCGGTTCGCGAACCACTCCATCAACCCCAACTGCTACGCGAAGGTCATGATGGTCAACGGCGACCACCGCATCGGCATCTTCGCAAAGCGCGCCATACAGCCCGGGGAGGAGCTCTTCTTTGACTACAGGTACTATACTATATACACTATACACCTCTCAACTCTCAATGGACACTAATAACGTTAGTATTAAAAGTTTTATTTAGTTTCAATATTATTACGAACTAGCAACTCACCCTCCTTCCGCTCCGGTTCGTCCCTATAAGTTACGTTTTAAAGTTTAGTATAGATTTCTCAGAGATGAGATGTTTTCCAGCAGTTAAAAGTATTTTATATGTTGACCTGGATAACCAGCTATTATCATACCAAATTTCATCAAAATCCCTCCAGTGGTTTTTCCGTGATGCGGTCACAGACAAACAGACAAAAATTCTAAAAACTATAGATTCGGCCTCTGTATCGATAATAAAGTCTATTTTAATAAGATTTTAAATATTTAATGTTCAGATTCGGCTTAGTTACAATTTTATTATATGTATAGATTACGACATGGTATTTTAGATTTATTCAAAAATAATTATTTATTTAAAAAAAAGTTATGTTTTCAAGTTCGTAAGAAGTATTACCTATAGAAATATGTATGTTATTAGTAGGCTTTGAAAAGTTACCGAGACGGAGTTAGCCGACTTGGGGAATAAAGTATCGTAATATGGGATTATAAATATTTAATAATCTAACTGGTATGGTGAATAAGCTAAAAGAGGTAAAAGAATAAATAAAAGGTTTGACTGAATAAGTTATACACAGTATACAGTATTTGTGTAAAGAACTGACTTCCCTTTTCAATACATATATCTATACAAATAATAACATTTTATCAACCGAATCTGTAAATTAAATATTTTTTGTAAAATTGAATTGAAATAGTCATTACTATCGGTATACTATATTCAGTTTTTTTAGTTTTTTGTAATATATAGACTTTAGCGATAACTAGTATATCTGCAACTTGACACTACAGTATGGTTAATTTGATACCGTTCGACATGAAAATTGGTATTTCTATTTCTGACAATCATTTCATTTTAATCACAGCATTTTCGTTTCAAGGAACGATTGCCTAATGTATGGATTTTATACTGTGGTAATACAGTGTTTATAGTGTTGTTAATAATCTTAAACTTATTACAGATATGGACCGACAGAACAACTGAAATTTGTTGGCATTGAACGAGAAATGGAGTTTTTATGAGATCAGAACAAACTAATAACTCGAGCTGCCACATTGCTCCAACAGTAACAGAACTTCTACAACTTATAACTGATCTGTGACAAGCAACCTGTTGTGGTTTTATTCCCTATAATCTATAATGCACTGTAGTCTGTAGTTAACTTTCATTATAATTCATTATCAAAAATTTATGTTCTTATGCAATGGACTAAATATAAATCAAGCAGAATTATTGTGTAATAAATATCTGTATATGCTTGTATTCACTGTGGTATTAAGGATGTATTCTTTGTAATGCGATTTTTACAATAAAATTGATAGAATTCTTGTTTTTGTTTTAATTAGGTTATAATAAATAAATTTATTTTTTACATGTGATGCAACAGGGTGGGTAGAAGTGGAAATGAAAATTGTAAATTTAAAACACAATCCAAATAACTATTTATTTTGACTACAGTACATAACAAGTTTTAATAAATATATCATTTTGTACATAATATAAAATGGTACTCGTACAATATAGTTATCACATTGCTGCACAAAAAGATAGCTTTAGGTTTAAATTAATGAAAATCCTATGAGACGATGGCATTAAAATAACATTATAAAATTTTAATTGATAACAACAAAAAAATACTTTCTCATAAGAGAGACACATAAGATGTAATAGATACATTTATTATGTGAACATCCTGAAAAGATGACAACTATATATACATATCAGTGGCAAAGTGTGAAATTTTAGCAGAGGTAAGTCGTTTCAAAATATACAATTTTTATATACATATTAATGCAGAAAGAAATAAAGCTATTATTATATATATTTCCAAATGAACATTTATACATTCAAAAAATTAAATGTATATAAAATTATAGCAAAATCATTTTAAGGTAAGACATTTTGTATGGACCCTTCGCCACTGATATATATACAAACTGTATGACGCTTCATTGTACAAAACAATTCATTATACATCTCCCAAGTACTTCATACTTATAAATCCACATATAAATGTACGTCTGGCAAAACTTCATATAATATCCTATAATTAATCACAAGAGCCATCAAGCCAACCATCCCTCCACCTCTCATGCACTTTACTGCAATCAAACGCTGGTTTGCCGAGTTTAACATTCACTGTATTGTGTCTCTCACAAAGCCACTTTGCTAGTTCATCTCTAGACTTTGTATTTGGTGGGTTCTTCTTTATACTGTAATAAAGATTTTTTTTGTTTGTTACTGGGTACAACTCTATCATAATTTAAAAAAAAGGATTAATACATCCTAAATTGCTTTTTTATCCACTCAATTTTATTATAAGTAAAAAATCAAACAAAATAAAATCTTTTTTTTTTTATGGTAAATAAGCTAAAAGAGGATTCCTTAGTTATACCTACATATTTTAATATTGTAATATTTTTAAAATATTATTTATTATATGTATTTATTGTACTGGTAATATTTATTGTATTTGATATGAAAAGCTTACTCTTCTTGAAAATCCAAAGCACAGGGTTCGCAAGGATAGAACTGTGCAAAAATGTTAAAGAACTTGTTCATGTTGTCAGACTGTGATTTGGTTGGATTTTCAGGGAAGTATGAAGCCATGGAGTGTAAAAAGCCCCATGTGGAAGTGCCGAGCTCATCTTTGTCTAGTGGACAATCTTTTCTTTGTGGTGGTGCCTGAAGATAAAAAAAATGAAAGAAAATGTCATGTTATAATGAATTATATTAATATAACAATGGTGAAGATTGTCATCACTCACATAAACATATTACATTTGATTTCATCATTCAATAAACTTGTGTAATACAATTGTTGCAATGTAAATTTAAAATATTTTATTTTATGTAAAGTTAAATAAAATTTTGCTTATTCAAATTGAAACAAAATAATATTCTTTCAACAAAATAAAATCACATACATAAAAATTATAAATATCCTTACGAAAAATTTGTAGAGAGAGTTCCAGGAATTAGATAAAGTATAGATAACGGTTACGAAACTAAATTGTTAACCTTACCGGTTTGGTTTGCGGTGTATTTTTAGCTTTATTTTGCAATTTTGCCCAAGACTTGAAGTCTGAACAGGCCCTGCAGGGTTTATCTTCTTCTTCATTGCGATGAGAAGGCATTTTCGAGCTTTATATTTTAAATTTATAGAATTTGCAACAACTTTTATTCGTTTTACAACACCGCTTTATATTTTTATATAACATGATAGTCAAGTCATTTCGAAAATCGTACCTGTCTTTCTAAGATTGAATATATTTAACAAACGTAAAAGCACACTTCACTAAAGTTTTAATTAATAATAATATTGCGATACATTCATAATTCACACCAATTTTCTCGACATTATGTCAAAGTCGAATACATGTGACATAAGACATTGTTATCGTAATATTAATGTTGCCATACAAGATATGTCGTTTAGAAATAAAATTATATAAAATCTATACCATGGATGACATGACAAATAAAATGATCTTTACATATTACATAGTACAGGGAGTGTGCACGAACTATAGCGGGCAGCACTTCTGTCGAAAGTAGAGCGCCCTGGTGTTAAATAAGAAAAACATAGTGATGTAAGCAGTGTAATTAAGAATATTAGTTATCCCTAAATAATGGCAATATAATTAAAAATTGTTTTTTTACCGATAAATTGCAGAAAAATTGAAGTACTCCTATACAGAAGGAATGAGCCTAAAACATTATTTTTAATAATAATCATTATATTTAATATAATAAGCCTTTATATATTCATCCTATTGTACTCTCATTTACTCGCACATACAAGCACGCACGTACACACATTAATATACATATACATTCGTTCACACGCACACAAACACACGCGCACGCACACACACACTTTTTATTTTTAAAGTTCTTATTGCTTTTTGTTTTCATTACGTTTTTTCTCTAACTCCTGTAGAGGTTAACTGGAGGAATAGTCCTCTTGCCTTGCTCCCGCTTAACACCCTAGGGAGCTGGGTGAAACTGAAAATCAGTGCTGCTTGAGATTTCGGTCTTAGCAGCATTAGCTGAGTTATTACCATTTGCCATAAGTTAGTTTAAGCTTTACTGATTTTGTTAACTTTTTTTACTCTTTTTTATGGCAATAAATACTTTTTTATTTATTATTTATTTAAAAAAGGCCCAAAATTATTTGAATCAGTGTTTTAAATGTAGGTAAGTGAAACAGAAGATGAAAATAAGCTAACAGCTGCACAGTTGACGCTCAAACCAGTGTTTCTAATGTTTACGGTGTGTCAATTATTGTAAGTATTAAAAATCATTTATATAAATTAACTGTACGATATTGAAAATAGTAGAAATATGGTAATATTTAAGCTTTTTCAAAAGTATTTTAAACTTTGACAGAATAAAAAATAAAAGCTAACGATGTATAAAAATTTCGAAGTACAAGTAATATTATATAGTTAGTGAAAGATCAAAAACAAATTTTTGCGAGATAACTAAATAAATAATCTATCTTTGTGGTAAACTTCATTCAGAGTCGTTGTGGCATGATTGAGTAACAAAACAAACGTCCATTCAAACTTTTGCATGTATAATATTGATGGGATTATTATAACATTAGAACAAACATAAAGTCCTTGTAGGCTTTAGTAACAAATTTAACTAGAAATCGAAAATAAATAAAACAAAGGTGTAAAATATATTATTTATATTTTTTCTTTAACAACTATAGATTACAGTACATTGCGTAGTCTGATCAGTTTCTAGCTACAATGACTAGGCACAACGAGTACTTCTTAAAGCACAAACACTTCAGGTAAGCTTAGATTTTATTGCAAGCGGCGACGATTTCTGAAATAATGATATATGAAATTAATAAAAAGTAATAGAAACTGGAATAACAAATAAAAATGCTTTTTGGTGTGAAGTTAATGAGATAAATGATTGAGTAATTTACTATGTATTAGAGAAATTATGCAACTTGCACGTTGGACGGATTTTAATGAGAGTAGCGAGTAAGAATTTAAAATATAACTAAATTTAATTTGAATCTGCAGAATGTCCTATCAATGCATTTTGTGTAAAGAGTTGCTTTTTTATTTATCTCTCTCTCTTCTTATATCTTTTGCATTTATCAACAGCTAAGTGCATGCACGATTGTGATCGTTGTGATTTGTGTGTTTACATGTTGGCGGGTGGCTATCATATATACGGTTGCAGATTTGTAACTTGTAAGTCCTGAGTTCGACTTGAGCCAAGTATAGGTATTGGGGTTTCTGTCAAGAAATTTGTAGTTTGAAGTTGGGATATTGGCGTTGTCATATTCCGTACCACGGAGAGCACATGTAGTTTTCGCTTAGCTACTATCTGATTAAAAATGGAAGTTTGCATTATTTATACTATTTATACAGTGTGTTGTGTATACGGTATAGCTACGAAGCTATATGCACATATCTATAGCGGATAAACTTTCGACAAGGCCCATACCTCCGTTTGATCTAAAAGGTACACATACTTATTTCGAAGCGCTGGTAACGAATATTATAAGCAAAATGGCCGCATATTTTATTTGCAAAGTAGTAGGTAAGTAGGAACTATATCCTTATTTATAGAGTGTATATGTATGATAGTGAGCATTATTCAGTGTGTCGTGTACGGTGTGGCCACTCACTGTTCACGATGTCGTGCAAGGCGGCGACGGCGGGCGAGGCGGGCAGGTCGCGCGCGTAGTCGCGGCCGTCGTCGCAGCAGCGCGCCAGCAGCGGGTCCAGCGGCAGCGCGCCCAGCAGCGGCAGCACCTGCGCCGCGCACAGCTCGCGCGCGCCGCCCGTGCACGCGGGGAAGATCTCGCTGCGAGACTGTGGGGGTGCCATGTCCTATTGTAGGAAACCTTGACAAGACCCACGATGTGTGTTCGCTTTTTCGTGAAGCCAAGATATACATATAAAAACACAAAAAACCTCCTAATGGAGGTGGCCCACTTCGGTGGGCGGTGAACCATGCGGGTTGCTCCTGGTACTTCTCTGATAGCGGAGTGGACCTTGGAGCAACACCATGGTTGTTGTGGTCTGCCGACAGGCAGTCGTCGGGGCGTCGTGGTTGTACGTAAGCGATCACAACCCCTATTAAGACTGCGGAAGTTCCATTAGGTTTTATTGGGTAGTACTGGTTTTTCTAATCGTCAAGTACCACAGAAACACCTGTAGGTATGTATGCAGATGGTATACGTAAATGCATACAAATACAAAAGGATACCTCAACGAACGCTCACGATATGTTTAGTATTGCCTGCCGTTATAATTACATCGTCGGAGACATCAACACACACAGTATTTTTGGCACTAGCGTTTTCCCGCAGCTGCGCTCCCGTATGTCAATTACTATTATACGTTCATAAATTATAACCTATGATATGCTCTAATGTATAAGCTATGTATATTACTGAAAAGTCTCTTCAAAAGCCGTTTAATAGTTTTTACGCGAAAGAGTAACATACATCCATCTATCCAACCTCACAAGCTTCCACGTTTATAATATTAGTATCAATCTTCGACAATATAATATGTAGCAATACTTCCAGGTAAATTTCTAAGCATTCTATTGTTAACTGTAACGCCGCCGTGTCCGCGGTCGTTGAGGGATTAAGGAATTGCCATGACACATTGTCGTTAAATACCTTAAAAGCCACGATGGGAATTTTGCTAATTTATAAGCCATTTATTAATAAAATGACCGTTTTCGATATTTTACTAATTTATTACATTTATACAAGTAATATTAAATAACCTATTCAAACTGTCCCATAAAGTCACACACAAAAAAAGGCCTACATATTTTTATCAAAGATGTCATTCAACTGGACTTTGTATTTTTCAACTAATTTATGACAGTTATCACTGCGAATTGCGATAGTTATCCTTAATACAGAATCACTTGGTATATTAGTTCGATAAAAAATTAAGTAATGAAAAATTGGATTTCTTATGCGTGTGAAGCAATAAGGTTGATAAGATATTTTGTATGAAACAAACGAAAACTACACATCGACTTTGTGAGTGTACGATGATACTACAAGATAAATAAATAAGTACTATTTGAATATATTCAAGTATTATTTCAAAATACCATTCGTCTAAAATTGGAGAAAATAAGTCTTAATGCAAACATTTCCACTTCGTATTGAGGACAAGATAAAAGTTACAAAAATGATATTGAATAATATGTAAAAATTTCAAGTATTCTTATCAAATTTATCTATGTATTTCGCTTCGGGTAATAATAATATTCGGGGGATAATGTTATAATGATTGTTTTTTTTTGGACGGGCAAAAATGCCTAAGTGCGGAAAAAGCCGTGCCAGAAGAAAAATGATTGTTTTTGTCAGTCAAATGTATGGCTCAGAAACCCGTTTAATTTTTAAACTGGTTTTGGTCATTGACCACAAACCGAAAGAGTTTTTGGTTTAAGGTTTCGGTTATGTTCTTTAACTGGTTAAACCCCGGAAAACGGTTTTAGTTGAATTTAGGTTCCATGACAGAAGATTAACAGGTTAAAATAAGTAATTATGTGTGTAGTTTATATTTGGCAAATATTTGCTACTGGTGAATTTCTCAGTAGAAAGATAAATGTACGTTTCTGAAATTAACCGGTTTATTTCGATATCAAAACCTAAGATTAATCTTCCTCAAAGAATAACTGTTAACCTTATATTATTTTCTCGGTTAACTGAAATATTGTTAACGGGTTAATGAACAAGCGATAAATTAACCAATACATTACCAAACCTAACCCTTTTTTTTTAAATCGGTTCCCAATCCTGGTCAAAAGTAGTTTTGACTGGTAAATAGTTATGATTGTAGCATATACACTACAATAAGTTACAGACCTTGCAATTGGGACATATGAAGAGCGACATGTTCTCCACGACGCCCAGCACCGGCACGCCCACCTTGCGGCAGAACTGTATCTCCTTCCTGACGTCCAGCAGCGCCACCTCCTGCGGCGTGGTCACCACCACGGCGCCCGTCAGCCCCGCGCCCGCCAGGTACTGCACCACCGACAGGTGCTCGTCAGACGTGCCTGACGGTGTTGTCAGTAAATCTGGTTAATCCTCCTTCGTGCCTTCTCCGTTCTACGTGAAACTGGCGAAGTAATCTGTGCTCAACTTGCACGCTTTGCAAATATTGACAAGAGAATTGAATACTACTGATTTTTTTTTTCCATTTCTTACAAATTATTATATGGTTTTGTGGGTAGGTACTGTCTGTAATAATTATATAATAACTTTAGAGACGTCTAAAATCTTAGTCTCTCCCTTGACCGTGATTGATGTAAAGCATTGGAAACCAGAAATCAAAATAAACCCGCGAAAAATTCGAAAACATAGTTTTATTTAAAATATTTCAGAGGTGCGAAACGCGGGACTTGAACCCGCTTCACTCGGTTTTTCAAGCGATCGCGTTACCACTGAGCCACCACTGCCTCATATATTATACATAGTTAAGCTCTGTATAAGTACCTGGCGGTGTATCTATGAGCAAGTAGTCCAAATCTCCCCAGTCCACTTCACTGAGGAACTGTTTGATCATACCTGGAACAAGAGCATCAAGTGTCTGTTAATATTATAAAGTACGTTTCACTTCTAAGTACGCTTTAACTTATAATTGTTTTTGTTTCTTAAATATAATTAGTTTTTTTCTTTTTTTGACATTTTTTTTTTAATTTTATATACATACATGAATCTGTTTGTTTTAATACTTAGTTATAGTATTAATTCATTAAGTTCTTTAGTACTCACCGTTCTTCTTAGGTCCTCTCCAAATGACGGCATCGTCGGGACTTCCCAATAAGAATCCGATAGACATCAGCGATAGATTATCTGTTACATACTGGAAATAAATAAAAATAGAAAACCCAAAACTATTAACAAACTTAGTTATGTTAGAACTTAGTTAACTACTAGCTGTTAGTATGGTATGGTATGTTCGGGCTATTTTCCGCAACTCGACGACTATGTGCCTATTTCTCCGAGGCACGGGGGTGAAGCACCGCCAACTTCCCAACTCCGGAATGTTACTAAGGCTTACTATACAGAAAGATTAAATAACTAAACTTGGTCCGCCCCGGGACTCGAACCCAGGACCTCCGGGTGTGCAGCCGTACATGCTCGCCACTACACCACCGAGGCAGTTAGTATTAGAGTAGTTACAATTTAATTCTATGTATAGATAATGATATACTTACAACTGGCGACCACCCCGAGCCCGACTTGTGCACCTGCTCCCCACGCACCCCCAACACGCGCGGCTGGCTTGGCCCGCAAATATCCGCGTCCAGGATACCTATCTGAATACAAATATATTGGAGAATCTATACTATAACATTATGAAGATGGAAAAATTTTTCTTTGTTTGTTTGTAGTCGATAATAAGATTGAACTCAAACTACGATTTCATAATTTTTAGAGTTCCGTGCCTCAAAAGAGAAAGGAAGCCTTATAGGACCACTTTGTTGTCCGTCTGTCTGTTTGTATGTCAAGACCTTTTTCTCAAGAACGAAGAAGAATCAATATGCACCAATCCATTGAAGATGCGAAAAATCTATCTTCTAAGTCAACGCAATCATATTTTGACACTCGCAAGGGAATCGAAACCTATGTATATGGTATAGATACTCCCCGTTGACCTAGAATCATGAAATTTGGCAAGAGGCAATATCTTATAGCACAAGTTTGTAGTTAATATTTACAACACAAAAAAGAATATTTTTTGCGATTATAACCTAATTCTGTGTATGTTTCATGCGACGGAACCTTCTGTGTGCGAGTCTAAATAAAACTAAATAAAATTTCTATTGTGTGTTTTAAGTTTTAACCATGTCACTATTTCTGTCTAGAATTTTATATAATAATCTATCTATCTAGGTAATTTAATTTTATTAGTCCATTCACCTAGAATCTAGACCTATATTATTAATATCAATAATTAATTGCCCTGCAGTGGGATACCTACTACAGGCTTGTAATAATCATAAATATTACATATTATAATTAATGTTTTATCAACTTATACACAGTATGTTTTAGCAAACATGTAAACAACTTCTACATTTGTAATCAAATATATCTCGTAAGTATAATCAAAATTCAAAAATATTACGATACAAAGGGCCTTGTACTTCCGAACCCAATTACAAAGGTGTAAGTTTTTCATTTTTTTCAAATTTACCTCATTTGATTTACATTTAAATGAATCGCTTCCTATTTGTACTGTCAACAAATGTTATAACTTTGTTTATTTCTAAACGTGTTGTATTCATATGTAAATTATTATGAATAGTGGTTAGTTGGACTTATATAGATTAGTGGATTATAGTAGGAAATCCCTATCTATGTGATGGGCACCTCATACCTTTTCCAGACGAAATATTTTATTTTTATTATAGGATAATAAAAATGACTCTAAAAAATTATTTTCTAAACAATATGAACGACATATGAAGATAAGCCTATAGTTACCTAATGATACTGCAACTTGGATTCATACTGAACTTATTTAATAAATATTCTAATATCTATTCTAATATCTATAAATATTTTAAACAATTTAAAAATAATTTATTTTTTAAAAGCTAAAAAAATGACAATTTGGAAAATTTACGTGTTCTTTATATTTTTAGCTTTTAGACTTCGTTGCAAGGTAGTTTAAAGTCATCAAAAGTATATTCTATGTAGGTACGTATCTTACATAATATCTAATTGAACTGCGCCTGTATCAAAGAATCTTCTTTTTATATTATATAATAATCTTCTTTTCTTGATGATAAAAAATTATCAAGAATAGAAGATTAAAATAGCAGTGAAGCCACGTTAATATTACGCCCGCATGAGAAACCGAGTGAAATGGGTTTATACCCGGATCTCGTACCTTTTGACATTTTTCGGAAAACTTTTTCTGCAAGACAAACGTTTGGCTCAGTTTATAGTGACTCTATTGGCAGTGACAGCGATCGCGGGTTCGAATCTCGCTAGGAACATTCATTTGTGTGATGGCCACGAATGTTTGTATTCCAGTCATGGGTGTCTATATTTATAGTATGTATTTCTATGCATGTATTTTAAGTTATATATGTATAGTGTATCAACTATCTGGTATCCATAATACAAGCCTCGTAGCCATGGAACTTGATGACACTGTGTGTTAATGTCCCAGCGAAATATTTATTTATGTCTGAGAGAACCTAAGTTTTTCTCAATATGAAGATGTGAGAATTCCGTCAATCAGTATATGGCCAGCCTGTTGGTCTATACCTAATTTCTCTCCCATTGAGAGGAAGCCCGTCCCCAGCAGCGGTACACAAAAAGGGGCTTATTTTAATTTAGGGTGTGAACGACCGAGGAACACGGTTGATTCTATAAGGTTTCATAAATTTTATTAAAAGTACGAAGTTAAAAATGTATCAGTATATTTTCTTGCTCTCGTTTTCAAAAACATCTAAAATTCTCGACAACTGATATAATTTATTTTTTACAAAACTCGGACTTTAGACTCCTATAAAATAAATTAAAATATTTTACAAATAATTCAATAACCGAATTGAAATTCAGTGCGTGTTATGTGGAACGTTTTTACGCCCACAAGGAGGTGTTTGAATGTACCGTATAGCCCCTTAAAATGTTCAAATCTGGGAAAAATGTTTCCAGGAAAATGAAATGTCTATACCGATGGGTTTGATTGGATTTGGATTGGATTCGGTTAGTCCTACATGCACAAGTCGTGTGACTCATTAAAAAAATAATAAAATAATTACAGTTTGTAAATATTTTCATACCGGGTCAAGGAAAGCATTTTATTAAGCTTAAATAAATTACCATAGGAAGTACAAAACGTACTTGAAATACTAGAAAGTCGCGTTCAAAACCAGTCTGAGAGGTCATATCTACCTTCTTTTCTTCCGAGTCAGTTTATTTTAGGGTTTAACACACACTTTGTTTCGCGACATACATATTATCTGTTAAATTTCTAAGAGATTAATTAAAATTCTAAGAATTCTATCGTTAACTGACACGCTGGCGTGTCCGCGGTCTTGGAGGGATTAATAAATCTCCGATTTTTTTTACTATACCTACTCATTTACTGATTCCATTGCGGTATAATCAATTTACCATATAAACTTTACTATACTAAATACGATTTGCTTTACGAGGTTTATCTCTCAGAGCTGCTAGAAAGGTTTTCAAAAACAAAAAGTATATTTTTGAATTACCAATATCGAATTAACATATTTGTATTTGACTTTTCAAGATTTTTTTTTTAAATATTAGCTACCTAAAAGTTAATAAATAGTACTAGTGTATCTATACTTAATATCATAAAAAGGCAGAGTTTGTTTGTTTGTACGCGCTAATCTCAGGAACTACTAATCCAATTTGAAAAATTATATATCATCCCGAAAAAATGTTTAGTTCCCGTGGGATAATTTGTTTTTGTCTAGGGAAGTACCTGAAGCGAAGTGAGGGTGAGTCGCTAGTTATTAATATTTATTAAAATAGTAGTAGGTACTAGCATAACCTATACTATTATATAAGCTTTTTAGTGCTCTAAGAAAATACCGTGTATAACAAAATAACATGAAGTGAAGTGGTTAGGTATCTATTAATCCTGTATACGAGTATGAACAAGGAAAACCAAGTTTTATTAGTCGCAGGTAAAGTGTGTACCTATTATATGCACTATGTACTTAGTGATATAACACATTACACAGATAATTGCAATAATCTCAATTGTTATTAAAACTATAAGTAATTTAGTAGATTTTTATTGAACCATTAACATATTTATATTCTGTGATAAGGAAAGGCGTGTGGCAGTTAGGGTTGCCAACTTTTTGTACAAAAAATAAAGCATATTAGGGTTGGAGAGCTAAAATAAACAGTACTTTATAAAAAAAAAACAGTTTTTTTTAAACTTTGAAAATATATTTTTTGAGCTTCTGTCACAATTTAATAATTTCTTGTTAGTAATTAGGGACGACCTCGCGAAGTCACCCAAAAAAAAACAAATAACCGAATTGAGTACCTTCTTTTTTAAATTTGGTCAACAAGGAGTGTCTATAGTTAGAAATATTATTGTATAATAGCAGAACCCGCGGCTTCGCCCGCGTTTTATCTACAAATAAAAACTCTTTTGCTTTATGTCATATAGCTACTTACCCTCGTTTCGCTTGGGTTCATCCCTATGTATTTATATATTATGAAATTATTTGGATATTGTTCATACAAAAATACTAAAATCTCGATTAAAAAATTTAGGGTGGGGGGTATAAGGGTGAAAAAAACCTATTTTAATACCTACCAAATATACAAAAAAACATTTTAAATCGGTCGAGCCGTTTCGGAGGAGTGCGACCACAAACACCGTGACTCGTTATATTTATATATTAGGGGATAAGCTTCTTGCATGCATTTAATTAACAATTTACCGACTCCATTTGTATACATTGAGTTGTAGTCCTTATAAACATATTGTATCATTGTATGAATTATTTCTGAAAGTAAATAAAAGCTATCGGAATACTGTTACATATACCGAACTAAGTGTATGTGTGTGTATGTTTGTTACTTCTTAACGCTCAAACGGCTGGATGAATTTGGATGAGTACACTTAGTATAGACTAAATTAGAATAAACTAAATTATTATCTTACCACAAAACTAAAAGCGATTCGTATATAGATATTTGTTCATTGACAATATATTTAAAGGACAATCTATCCAATAGCAATACTAACATTTAATACATTTTTCATACTTCCAAAATGATATTTTAAATATAGCTTTTTCTTTTTAAATATTTATTTTACTTCTTTTGGAATAATTATTTACATTTAAAGTAAATTTAAAGCCATCATAATATTTATAGTTCAAAAAAACTTTTAAGAAATTAACGAAAATAACGACGTGGGAAAATTTGTTTTACAAACGCCATTCCAATCACTCAAGTGAGGTTACGCGAAACAGCTACTTGACTATATGGCTATGCACAACAATTGACCTATATCAAGGCATGGCTAAGCCCGAGCCTGTGCCACCCGGTGCCGACCCGCAGTGGGCCTGCCTTGCGAAATCTTACGACAACCTTCGTAATCAATACACGTGTCTTGTTATTTTTGGATATGGATTTCGGGAGCTCTTATGAAAGACGCTCCAGATATAATAGGGTAAGAGAGTTTCTGTAATTCCAATAGATATTATGAATTGTGACTATAGATTAAAACCTAATGCGAGAATATATAGAAATAAAAAAGTGTAAGTAAGATTATGATTATTTAGTTACGATTTAACGGTTAGTATAGATTTCTCAGAGATGAGATATTTTCCACAGTAAAAAGTATCCTATATGTTGACCCGAATAAACAGCTATTATCATCGCAAATTTCCTCAGAATCTGTCCAATGGTTTTCTCTTCATGCATTCCCAGATAGACAGACAAAAATTCTAAAAACTATAGATTCAGCCTCTACATCGATGATAATGACTATATCAATAAGATTTTCTAGAAAATGTTAAATGTACAGATTTAACTCAGAATTTTATTATATGACTAGCGAGTAGCGACTCACCCTCGCTTCGTTCGGGTTCGCCATACAAACTTTCATCCCCATTTTCATTCTCTTAAGGGACGATTTCCTGGATAAAAACTATCTTATGTCTTTTCCAGGATCTCAAACTATCTTTTTACCAAATTTCATCCAAATCGGTTCAGTAGATCCAGAGATTACCCCCTACGACATCACAACCTGACAAACTTTACCTCTTTATAATATTAGTATATATATGTATATATATACATATATATAAAATAAAAATATAAATAAAAAAAAAATACCAGCTTATATAATGGAGATGACATCTAAATAAATAGGCACTATTTGCATGGTGATATTTACATTTTATATCTGTTTTGATACATGCAATCAATCAAAATCTGATAAAGTAAGATTGTTCTTATTCGTGTATAACAATACAAGTATCACTAATTCAATTTTTGGCCTCATCAATATTTAGAAATGATATTAAAAAGCTCACAAAACTTAAAAATAGCACACTTCTTTACGAAAAGATTTAATAATTTGTATATTATTATGAAAAAATAATAATTTTGAAATACAAATTTTTCAAACTACAAAAACTTTACTTCACACAGGAAGTAAAATAATTAAATATAAATGTGAAATTATGTTAGGTTTTCCTCTTTCATTCAGCAATGGAGTAAAAATTATTTATTGACTAAAAGAATGAAATAGTCAATGTTTATTTAAATGGTATTTTAAATTTTGTTATATAAGTTACTTGTAAAAAGTTAGTTTTAAAAGGCTAGATATAGAATAAAACTTACATTCATGTCAGAGTTTAGTTTTGCTAGTCCATGCCCTAATAATGATGTTACTGTACTTTTTCCAACACCTCCTTTGCCAGAGAGGATGAGTATTTTATGTTTCACATTAGATAAGCGGTTTTTAATCATTTCTATAGCTGGATCAGGTCCAGCTGGGACACCTGTTGTATAAAAAATAATAAAGCTTATAAAAGATTTTTTTTCATTATCAATCAGAGAAAGATATAAAGATACAATTTTGAAGATGAAACAAATAACTAATGTGGCTTGCCTTATGAAGTCAAGAAACAGCAAATATTAAAGTAAAATTAATTAAAATACTTGTTTATTATACCTGAGGCACAAATATTTTGATTCGGACAACCAGCACACGCCGATGCCTTGCCCGCATCCTCACTCTCCGTTCCAGGGCAATCTAAATTATTTATTAAAAAAATATAATATTGTAAGTTAAAACAAAAATAATCATATTCCAATAAATAATTATTTCAACTTACGATTCGGCGCGTTTTCTGGAACGTTACTCATTTTTATTTATTTCTAATATTGTAAAAACTTGTGCTGTATTGTAGATACAGTAATTTGTAACTCATAAATAGCATCAATCTACGATTTACAAGGCTCTACGTTCTAAAGTTATAGCATTGACGATGATGAATAATAAAAAAATAGGTACATATTTCGATCTGCTTATCATTTTTGACATTGACAACTTTGAACTTCGATAATCGATTACATCTTGATAATTATGAAAACGTTCAGAAACCGTATTTTTATTTACATGTTATCTTAAATTCATTTGCATAAAAAATATTATTGTATTATTAAATGAAATGATTCATTACCATATTCGTATGTTTATTTATAAAATATTGCATACATTTTATCTTACATTGTAATGAAATAACAAAACTCCGTTCACTAAATAAAATTCAGAGTATAGACATGGCTCATTGATAAAATGACATCTAATTAAATTTTGAATATTTATATCGTTTTTTTTTATATAAGTATACTTTAATTTTTTAATTTGGCTTTTCGTTATAAAATAATTAAAATGGCTAAAGAAGTTGCCATGTGCACGGTAAATATCTGTATATTTTTTTGGAATAACATGTTTTTGTAGAATATATTACTTATGTGTGACCGTTATTTTAGCAACTCCAACAATGGAGTCCCGTAAAAGAGACTCCTGGTGCACCAAGTATACCGCCTCAAGTTGGGTACTGTTTTCACTCTCCGAAAAAACATCCATGGAGACCAATAATGGGATACGAAGAGATCGAAGTTACACCCATGTTAGTAATATTAATAAGATACTAATAAGAATGTTAAATATTTAATTAAAAAAAGATATTGACCTTTTTATTTATTTTATTTTTAGGCCTTCCCAACCAATTACTAATACTATGGTGGATCCTTGTTATACTCCATCAGGAATGGCCGCAGAACCATTGCGTTTTCCTAACTTGGTAACAGGTTTCGACCGAAGCCCTGAGCATGCAGCTCGAGCTGCTCTTTATACACGATACACTCAAAATGAATGGAATCAAAATAGCATCAAGAATTATAATGAGTCCGATGCCAAAAGAAACTTTTCAGAACGTGTTAGGAACGACATCATGCGAATGTTAAGGTTTAAAATCAAGTTATTTTTTTGATAAAATAAATGATCTATTAATAATGTTATAACATGTATACGAATCATAGCATAATACATTATTTTCTTTTTTTTTCTAGAGAAACAGATGAAATTGGTACACAGGGTCAGCGAGATTCTGGCAGAAGAATTGGCGAAAGAATAACGGATACAACATTTTGGAGAAATGAGGTGAGATTTTTTAAGACAAAATCACTATTAATTTATTCTCTTACAATTTTTATGATTATAGGTTTCAATAGAAATGGAGCGTCTGGTATCGACGTGCGAAAAACTTAACGATACAAGGAGGCAGTTGGAGAGAGCCATTGCTGGGATTGAGGGACCGTTACATATTGTTCAAGAATGCCTTTACCATCGTGAAAAACGACAAGGTTAAAAACAAAACGTTATTTATGTACTTCTACTAACTACTAAGTACTACTAAAACATTAATTTATTCATTTGAAATATTATCAGGTCTAGAACAGGTCCACGATGCAGTGGAACAGTCCCTGTTGAAAGAGGTAGCTATTCTACGTGAATGTCAAGATAAATTTCGAAATATGCTTGAAAAGGTAACTATAGTTTTAAGTTAAGGTCATTGGTTAGATAAATTATTAAGAAAAAAATATTTTTCAGACACATTGAATGTTTCCAGGTACGGCAGCAGTCGAAGAACTGTCGCGCCACGCAGCACGAATTAGAAACGGATATGCGCAACAAGGAGTACGCGCTCGGGATCGACTCCATGTGCCACCAACTTAATAATTTTTCGAAGGCGAGAATCCGATAGATTTTTTCCATTTGAATATTTTTTTGTCATTTAATTTATCCAATACTACCTTCATTTACTAAGCTTAATGCTTTTGGAAACCCACCTCTGGGCTTCGTCGCATCGCGTAAAAATTGAAGACGTTGTAGTCAATTAAAACCTAATAAACTAAACTAGTATATAAATAGACTATGAACTGGAGTAACACGTGGCTGTTGATCAGTGGTTGTTTTCTAGAGATGCACCCGGCATCTCTGATCTCACCACTGATCAATGACTGACAGCTAAGAAGATAAGTCCAGTTTAAAAACAAAATGTGTAAAAAAGTCTATGTAATAAATGTTACTTTACTAGACGTAAGTAGTCTAGTTGCCCACCATTAACCTTCACAAATATACCATTGTTTATGCCGTCACCGGGAATTTCTGTCTCAGAATCTGTTTTATTCATTAAGTCCACAGCGGAACCATATCGCCGCAATGCAAATGGCGTTGCAGGATCGCTTTCACACTGCAACATCTCTACTACCCTAATCTTAACCTATATATATGCAGGGTCTCCAATTCTACGCCGGTATAGAGCGCTATGACCCGACGGTGTGCGACACGGAGCGCTGGGCCGCCGCCAGCGCCGCCACGCTGCAGCGCTCGCAGTCCGAGCGCGCTAAAGCTGTGCAGATGCTCTCGGGTACACTACTATATATTGTATATGCCTAAATAATTAATTGCATCAGTGATCTAGTAGCTAGCATGTACGGCTGCAAATGGGAAGTACTAGGTTCAAGAACCGGGTGGGGCTAAGTTTAGTTATTTAGTTTTTCTGTCAAGAAATTCTCAGTAACAGCCACAGCAGTCGTAGGAGTTGGGAAGTTGTCGATGTTTTGCCCCCCTGCGGTCGTACGTCGGTCCTGTGCCTCATCTCTTACTGATGGTATCGAAGTATCGTTCCATCTGACTTTGAGAATGAAAGGAATAGAGAGTACACTTTTATCTGACTGTACATCTGTGCACTATAATATCTCCTGTACATGACTAGTATCAGTGAGGTTAGCCGCTGTGGCCGGTCGGGAGGACATTTCTGTACCTACAAGCGGACTGCAATCACGGGATTGCTGTATGCTTTTACAGAAATTATTTATTTTACTATTCTTCTGCAGAATGTGTTGTTCCTATTACGTTTTTCATAGCCTTTCATCTCAGAATACAAGGTTGCTAGTTACGTAAAACATGTTCTTAGAAATTATACAAAGAGTACTGCTTTGTTTCTTGAATTTTTATGATCTTTAACGCCTCCAGGTAAATTTCTAAGAAATTAATTAAATTTCTAAGAAATCTATTATCAACTGTAACGCCGGCGTGTCCGCGGTCGTGGAGGGATTAATCGAGAACTAATTTATAAAACATAAAAACTGAATTTATAGTTAACTGTTGTATTTAGATATCTTTCCGATATTTAAAAAATATATTTGTAACTAAAGGCATTTTTACTGAATTTAATTTATGCTGTAAGATGCTGAGAATCTAATCAACGTATCTGCAACGGAGATATGGGACCAGTGGAGCAACACGAACAGCTCCTTCACGCGGCGTATCGCCGAAACTATCGAGATAAAGAACAAGTTGCAACTACATTTGCATAAGGTACAAATTCGAATTTCAACACTAATTTAACTACTACACTTTGTAATTCCTTACAAATTAATTTTAATGTCACTAAAATTTAATATATTTCTTTTACGGATTTATTCTGATTTTCGGATCCCGATATTTCGAATGCTTTACATCAATCCATCCCATTTAACAGATTCAGCAAGAAATGTTCGACGTAGAAAAGACTTTGGAGTTGCTGAATAAAGCTATAGAAGACAAGTTGCAGCCGATGAAAGTGGCGCACACGAGGCTTCAGGCGCGCACCAACAGACCGCATCTGGAGAAATGTCGTGACGAAGCCCAGCATAGGTAACAACAATAAACTGTTTCGCATATGGTAGTGATACCGACGTCTTACGACATTCGGACGTTCAGACAAAAGAATATTCTTAACATTTTTTATTCTCCTATAAGTATTACGTCATACAGATTTTTGTCCTGTTTGAAAACGAATATATAATTACTTTGTAAACAGCCCAAACCTGTTAAAAATACCCACTTCCACACATAACAAACAAACAAAACCAACATTGACCCCATGTCAGATTAAAACTTAATCTTTACACTATTTCCTGTTAAACAAATAATTATACTGCCCACATTTGATACAGACTCGTGAAAGAAGTATGCGATCTCCAAGAAACCATGGAAACTCTCCGATCCAAGATAGCCCGAGCGGAGGGCACGCACCAGACGCTGCTGGGCGTGCGCGCCAGCCTCGAAGCCGAGCTGCGCAACAAGACCACCACGCTGTTCATCGACCGCGACCAGTGCATGGGCCTGCGCAGGGGCTACCCCGTCACTGCCGCTATCAAATCTTAGTCCAAATCCATTGTAAATTCAATTATTGGTACTTCCATTTGAGTTCTATTTTTGGCTGTATGAAATGACATTTATATGACAGATGTCAGTCATTTAAATATCTTGTGAAACAGTGAAATTAAAGTTTTGTTCTTTAGATTTAAGTTTTATTTTAGACCGGCCTATGGAGTGTGCTTAACTTATAATGTACTGATTGCCTTTTACTATGTTACTTTCAATGTAAAAATGAACCTTTCATACTTGTATGTGAATGATTTGTATACATTGTTCAAACCAAATCAGACTTAATAATTACACTGGGCTTATGTATATGTGATATACAAGATATATATAAAAGAAAATATCTTATTAAAACATTTAATAATAATAATTACCTTGTGGCAAATTCATAAATTAAGCAGTAAATAAAAAAAATATATTTCCTACTGAACACTACATAATATTTACAAAACCTGTATCTATCTATAATTGTCTATGGTGCTTTATCTGGCATATGCTGGAATTGGAAGTTTAAATCCCTCTTTTGCTTCGAAGAAAGTATAAGATAACACTATTTCATCAACATATTCCATTTTAGGATCTTCATTGAATTCTGGATCTATGTAAAAGAACACTGGCATGTCCACCTGAAAAATACAAGAAATCTAATATGGCTGGCTGGAGATCAGGCCAATGCAGTGTGAAGTGTGTGAAACATCACTTATGAGTGTGCAAAGGGCAATTTTGTACCTAGACATTGACATTTATCTCAAAATCTGGGAAAGTTATTATTTTCATATTTAGGGAAGTAATACTTTGAACTTTTTTTTATTTTGAATTGCTAAATTTGAAAACAAGATTATTGAAAATTTTCTCAATAATATATTTTTTCAGAATTACATGTTTGCACACATAGCTATTTATCTCAGAAGCAGTTCACTATTTTTAAAAGGGTTTTTGTTTTGTCAGGAAGCCTAGAAATATTTCTTCAGTTACCAAAATTGAATTTTTGATTGGTTGTTATATGTATTTTTTTTTAGTAAATTAAGAACTATTTTGTTGCTTAAATACGTTGAGAATCTATTGCTCTGTACTTTTCACTCATAATAGAACATTATCTCGTCATCCTGTTCAGAATCTGAATTGTAATGGTCTCATGGCACACTCTTAACTTCCAAATCTCAAGTTGTTTCTAAAAATTTCTTGATAGAAAAACTGACCAACCAATTTTGACTCAACATTAGACTCTAACCAGACATCATGGTCTAAAGCTGTATTGACTATAGACTAATATAAAGCATTTATAACAAAATACTCATAAATAAAAAAAAACATTTATACATTAGAATTAAACTTCTAATTAAAGTTAAGTAAAAATAATACACCTACCTGTTCATGAGGATTAAGCATTTGCTCCTCAAAGCAAAAGCACTGAATTTTATTAAAATACTGCCCTGCTTCAAAAGGGATTACATTGTAAGTGCTTATCCCAATCACAGTTTTGTCTGTAGGGTTGCGAGCTGTATAAAATGCTAGTGCTGTTTCTCCTGGTACTACCTACAAAATATATAGTAGTAAATTGTTAAAAAATCATGATCTCATTTATAAATAGTTGTAGTACATGTTCTAACACATATTGATTTAGCTATATTTCATGTTTTTTAATCTTATTTCAAAGCTATATTAATAATAATCTCAATTATATATTATGTAAACCTTTTTAAAAAAATACTATTATAACCTTTGCATAGTAAAATAGTATACATTTGTGTAGCTTTATTCATGAATTCAATAATAAAATCTTCCTATATAAATTATAACTTACAGTTATATCTCCCTGTTGTGGTTTAAAGTTCCACTGCATAGAAGAAGCTACATCAGCATTAAAACGAATTTTTAATGGTCGTTCTTTAATAGCTTTCATCTTGCTAATGGATTCATCAGCTTCAATTTGGCTTGTTGTACCGCCATAACTATATGCCTATAAAGCAAAAAAACCTTATTTCATGAGTTAGAATATCTAAGTTCTTATTAATTGTTTACTAAGCCGATTTGCTCAATTAAACCAAAGATAAGAAAAATATGGATATAGGTTAGACTAACTCACCTGACAGAATATTCGATATAAGGGTACTGCCGCGTAACTTAAACCTACTGTCATTACTCCTAAGGCTATCATATAGTTCATAGTAGACCGGATTTTCTTTTGTTCATGGGTCCCACGAATAATATATACATTCGGCAAAACATTCTTGGGTGATAATTTATAGGGTGAAATTATATTACTATTCTTTATAGTGTTAAGAAAACACCTGTTAACAGAAAGTAACCTATTCATATTGCTAAATTACTAAAGGCTCAGTTATTAAAATATCTAAAACATTTTTTTATTTCATCAAATTATATTGACTTTGACTTTTCAGTTTTCAAATGGAAATTGTTTTTGTTTTGACATTTGACAGCATCGTTTGAAAACGGTTCCGTTCGGAAAATGAAATGTTAAAAAATAACCTTATTTACAAGTGTGTATTTAAAAATACGACATAGATTTAAATTGTAAAATTAAAGGTTTATTTAATATAATAATAGTAAAATATTTTGTTTATATTAGATATTTCAATTTATGAATCAGATACCATTTTGTAAATAGCCTAGACTAGAACGTAAGTCTTGTTTTATCTATGAAAGGTGTATTTGGATTTTGGCGCCAATTTTAAAGTTGTTACTACCTAGTGAGTTCAGAAATTTGCAGTTAATATCCTGGTAAGTCTTTACTTACTTTGTTTAGCTTATCGAACAAAAATGAAATGACTACGTAAAACTTTACCGTAACTTTAATTATTACTAAATTTAATATCACATTTTATATATTCACTTTGAGCGATGCATCATCCTTTGTATTCTATAGTCAGGACTTTGTGTTTCGTCTTGATGTGAGCGTCCGTGTGCGTTTTTTGGTAAGCTTTATATGTGCAATCTAAGAATGGACAGCGAAACATCGGTTCCTTTCCACACTCATAGGTAATGTGTCGCCTGTAAGTGCTTTTATGCCTATATTTTCTCTTGCATTTTTCACATTCGAAAGTAGAATCAAACTGGGACCAGTAGTTTTTTGTCTTCATAGGCATGATGGGCAACATACTGTGCATCATCGATTTAAAGAAATCCAGTTCACCTGAAACAAATTATATTCCAAGAATTTATAAATAATTTAACTGTATAATTTGTACCTACCATAATCAGATAATTTAATATTAATGAACTATATTCTCTTGCTATACCGTAAGGATTCAGGATATGAAATGATTGATGTACATAAAACAGTATTTATTAAATACAGAACATTTATTCTCATGCATATTTCAATTAAAACAAACCAAACACACTCCACTTTAAAAGAATTTATAAAATAAAAATCTATCATTAGTATTTTGTGCTGCATTTAAGGTTGAAGTTATTAATTTCTTAAATCATAATAATTTAATCGCATTTTGTGGATATTAAAAATAAAATAATCTTCTACTGTACAAATTTCGTATACAGATAATTTAGTACCAAAACTCGTTTATTCACCTGACCTATTTAACGGTCTTAGTTATGCGAAAATGCACCGAACCACGATTTACGATTTTTTTGTGTTCTAATGTAGCAATATAACATGAGTTAAAAGATTTATCGATTTTATATTTAAAATGGGTGTTTAGTGCATTCTGGTATATATTTATAAAATATACTAATGTATATATATGACGTAAGTAATAAATAAATTGTTCTAGAAGACGAACAATTTTTATAATTCTTTTAATTATATGTAATATTGCATCTATTATAATTGGACTAAATTTATATGCAGTATAAAGCTAAATATTCAAAAATTGTAAGTCTCACAAACAAATTGCATACAGGTACATATTATCAGATTTTTTATCGAACGATCAGTACTGTTTATCGAACGATCGTCGATTATATTACTACTTATTATAAAAATCGAATGAGTCTTGGCACTGTTTGTATGAATCAAATATTCCATTATTAAAAACAACAAAAATATTTCTTTCTGATATCTCAGATATATAAAATCTATCCACGTATCAAATTAACAATGAACATTTTGTAAGAAAAATATTATCCTATATTTGAATTTATTTATGGTGGGTTTCGCTTATAATAAAAATTAATGTAAAAAAAACGAAAGCCAAAACTCACTGGTTATAACAAAGATAATATCCACATGACTTCCTTCATAATTTAATATCAATATAACCTTATTAAAATATAGTTAGGGCAACATTAGGCACATATCGTACACAGCGTTTTTTTACAATAAAAACGAATTCCTTAGGACGAAGTTTCAACACATTGAGATAGAAAATATATTTATAAACTTAATTTAAATTGTTATAACTTACTTAGTAACAATATATTAGGCGACATTAAGGCACTTGCCAAGGCTAGAATCGACATAGATTCTTTGGTATAAAATATTGCGCGTTTCGATTTGAACTTTAGAAGGTAACTTATTATTAACAATAACAAATGCAAATATTATATTACACATTCTAACAAAAATACTGAAACTATAATACAGTTATTTGGTTTCGTATAAATTACTTTGATAAATTTCTTTGGCAACAAGGAACACACACTAAATAAAAATTAATAACAAGAACAAGAAAATTTAACAATCTAAAAAAGTAAAATTACAAAAAAACATGTCTTACGTATATACTATGTATTAATAAAGTCAACATTGCCACCAAAAACGAAAATTTCAAATTTTTAAATTAAAATCTCGGTGGTAACCATAAATATCTAAATATTATGCTATAATATATTATGTCGCTGCCTTCCGATTGATTAACCTATCTCTTGAGTACGTATTTAACACATTTTTGTATGAAATGCACTTTCATATATAAATTTTAGCAAAATATAAAAGTTAAATATAACTTCTAGATATTTACGTCGTGTACGTACGTCTACATCAATAAATCTCGTTTCGCACAAAGTTCACAATCACGTAGCACGTCTATTATAATTAAGTGTGCAAATTTTGTGCGCATTTTCTTTATTGACATGTACGTTCATTTACAATGTTACATTAACTTGCTTGAATTATTGATCTGAATAAGAAATGTTTTATAATATAAACAAACTGGTGGTATATAAGCACGTTAGATTTAAAATATTTTGATCGAATAAATCACTGGTAGGTAAATCCAATCTTCTGTCGTCCGATGATAGTCTTACCCCCGATGAGTTTATATGTTCCTTTAAGTATAAGTTTGAATTTCTTCAGCTGTAACAGAAAATTTAAGTCTTCTTTAAATAAATATCATTGGCACTCAGTGGCGATTTGGGTTAGATTTGAAAACAGATAGATCACTATTTACAATTTAAAAAAAACCATTTCAGTCATATCTTATAACGCGTATGCCAACAACTACGCACATTGCAGCAAGTAAAAAGAAACATATACTTGTGTACTTGAATAAACAAAAATTAAGCAAGTAAAGAAAAAGAAAAATAGCGTAAATAATAATTAAAAAAAAATATTTTGTGTGCTGAATGTACGGCCGATATGTTATCGGACGGAGTTAGTGTTATGAGTGTTTAACCCCCTATGTCCCCGTTATCCAGTTAGTATCTATATAAATTGATGTACTGACATTGAGTTTCGTCATTCCGACACGAAATCCACCTTCTCTGGCAAATCTTTGTGGAGGTGCCTCTCGTGCAGGAGCAGGTTATGCTTCTGATATGCGCGGTACACACAGTAGGGACACTTGAAACTTGGCTGTTTTCTACACTCGTATTTAATATGCCGCTGCAGAGAGCCTTTGTGCTTGTATTTGTTGCCACAATCCACGCACTCATACAGCGTCCAGGCTTTGCCGCCACTCAGCCCTGGCGTACCGTAACCCAATATATAAGGCGTGTACAACTGTGCAACTGAAATTAAAACGCAAATAAAAATAAATACGTGCAAATAATAAGCTGCCACCGTAATATTAAGCCAAGCCCAAGTAAGTGCTGACGTGAGAAGCGTAGGACAATGCACCATGTCTCCCATTAATTTGTTCCTTTTCTATTATACTATTGCTACTTTCCTATTAACCCTTTAAAATATCATGCGACCATTTAAAATTGTAATAAGTTTGTTTCAGATTCACTTAAATCGTTAGGTTATTGCCGCTGCCATTTAAATGAATTTGAAACTATATTATAGTATATGAATAACATGCAGTGTTAAAATCCAGGATACATTAGTTAATTGATTAATAATGCTTAGTTATCGTAATTAGTCTATGTACTTAGCCCAAATCGTAGCCAATATATACAATAGGTAGACATAATATAAATTAAAACTAGAAAATATCAAGAATAGCAACTTTATTTAAAATACAAAAAGGTTATAAAATACAATCAAATGCGTATAATCACTGTAACTTCTTATTGTCTGATTACATGCTACAGTATGTCGAATGCTCTAGGTGGCAATTCTTACTATACAGCGGCTAAATGGGATCACTCGGATCAAGGCAACTCGTAAACTTGCAATACTTGCGATTATGTAAATTTGAGAATATCCTTATCACAGCTATGTTGTACTTAATAAAATATGTTCGGAAATACTAGGAGACTAACATTTTGTTCCGTCGCAGTTATTGTCAAAAATCACAACCTAGACGTTTTGCAATAATAAGTTACATTACATGATAGAATTGACCGAAACTTTTCTGTTGCGATATATTTATTTTATAAATCCTAATGACTAACTTTTTGAAGGCACTTAATGTAATTGAAATGACTTTGCATGGTTGTACTTAACGAGTTCTACATATTGATTGTATGATGGTAACTCCTGCAGCTAATATTCTAATCAGTTATCGCGTAAACAAAATCGTTCGAGTCCAAGACGAGGCCTCTTATATGGAACAAGTTAAACTAGAAACGCGAAGGATTCTGCTCGGCGCGATATTGCTAACTTATAATTTCTAAATGGTAATGTATAGAAAATACTTAAAACCTAAGTGGAAGATTTTGATATCGTCCTAATATGACATGATTTGTGCGGGTCACTACAGATAATCCCTCAATGGCAGTGTCTATACAAATGTAGTCTAAGATTTAACAAACAATTTTAATAAGGCACTCGATTCCACTGGTCTAGACCTATCTAAAACAACAATTGGCCCCAAGTATAACATCAAATATCGTGTCGATACACATTCATCGTCAGGAACTTACAATTAATACCACTTAAATGATATACGTACGTCCGCCGCCACGCGATGCGCCGTGCGGCGTTTACGATCTAGATTAATATAAAATAAATGCATTATACGTAAAGAGATCTAAAATAAATGAAAAAGTAAAAAAATTAACTTACATTGAGTATTACAAAAATAATGGAACATGCATTATGGCAAAGACCTAAAACTTGCATACTAAGCGACAAATAGCTTCATTTTAATCAATAATTATATTATAATAATATAAAACAAAGAACGCATTTATTCATAACTCTTCCATTCTCACTACATTTAGGTACCCCACTTACGTCGCACATAATCTCGACAAGACGACTCGACCAAAACGTAGGTATATATGCCGAAGATTAGAGTAATCTCGCAATCTATGTTAAAATTTAGTCCGTAGTAACTGTAACTGGTAACAAGGAGTAAAGTCTTCTAAGCAACGATCTAGCAAAGCTACACGCCCAACGTCGTCAAACACCAGGAATGATAATTTACACGATAAATGCTGTACATAAAAATATATAAAAGCGTAACTATACAAATCACTTTCCTTAACGTACTGGATAAATGCAACAGTTGCTCACACCGCTGCAATAACTGCAACCAGTGTCAATACTAAGAGAAATTCGTCGTGAGATTAAATTCATACAGTATCTATAGCGCTCCATCGCGGAGCAGGTAACGAGCGAGGCGATTACATCTAACGTGACCGTCCCGAGTCACTATCACAAGAGATATTTCATCACATTTATCACAATCGGCATAAATCTTGAGGAGCCTGAATAGAATCGGATACATGGAGCAGAGGGTCGTGTGTGGCGGGAGGCTGGGGTTATGTGCAGGCGTCGACGTTGTCCTGCTTGATGTACTGCTCGGGCTTCATGTGCACCTCGCGGTGCATGCGCTCCATGTGGCGCGCGATGTGCATCTTCTGCTTGGCGCGGTAGACGCAGTAGGGGCACTGGAACTGGGGTTCCTTGCCGCACTCCCACTTCTGGTGGTTGCGCAGCGAGGACTTGAGCTTGTAGACGCGGCCGCAGTCGGGGCAGGAGAAGGCGGGCTCGCCGGGCGCGGGCGCGGGCGGCGGCGCGCGCAGCCCCACCAGCGGCAGCGCCAGGCGCGCCGACCACTGCTCCCACGACAGCCCGCCCAGCCGCGCCAGCTCCTCGCCGCACCCTGAAACAGCGACACGTATCACCTCCGCACCACCGCTACCAACCACCGCACGACGCGACACACACATTCCCGAGTGTTAACCAGTACAGTACAAGCACATTATATACGATACGATACACGATATATATTATATACTATATTATATATACGATACATACATGTACATACAGATATTCTACTGTGAGTGTCCACCGAGTGCTGTGATGAAAGCTTTGCAAAAGGAAAGTAAAAAAAAGAACAAAAAGAAATTATATAACGTTTATTTTTAAAGGTTCAAACGATCCATGAGTTCGAAGGATATATAAAACTATAATGGTGGTAGTTTGTTCGAACGATCCTGCGATACACGGTTTCGTTTGTGTTCGCTCAGAGAGCGCGGAGCTCAAAGAGTGCAGAGCGAACGTGTACGAGGAGACTCATGGTATTGTATATTATGACCGACAAGGTTTTGGTTTTAGTCACTGTGCGCTACTCTAAATAACTTTGTTAATTAAATGTAGTCTCCCCGACCCCATGGGTTTTCTCGTCTACCTGAAATTATTAATTATATTAGTATGAACGAAAAGGAAAAGAAAAACAAAACAATTGTCAATGCAAAAGTCGAAAAGTAAGCAGTGATTCATGCGTCATGCACGGTTACATTAAAACAAAAATAAATAAAATGACGAAGCAAACTCACCTAACAACTTATTACCAAAAAATAAAAATAAATGATGGGTAAATGATAAAAATAAAATAAAAAGTTGTATAATCGTATACTATATTTATATTTTATTTATTAAACTTTCCTACCAAGTAAACCCCAATATATTCATATAAAAGTCACTCTAATTAACTAATCAATCCAATAACATTAACAAACAATGTGAACATCGTAACATCCGAATTTAATTCTATCATACAATTAATACCTAAAACCTTCAACTAGCTCGATATGATGGAAACATTGCATTCGTTATTTATTCATTATTCAATGCTTAGCAATGACTTTATTCATAACAAATAACATAATATTTTAAGTTACACCAACTTTAAACTAATACTGACTTTGGTCAAATAGCTTTGTTATCCTAAATTAACAACAAAAAATATCAACAGTCAATATGATAAACGAAACTTGATTATTGCGATAAAATATCAGATAATATCAAACAACATTTTTTTTAATAATTTTGAACACATTTTAAACCCAGTTAACCGAAATATACCACATAATATAATAAATATATTTTATATTATCTACAGGTAACATTGTAGGCACATAGTCGATGAGCTCGCTTACCTAAATCTAGACGGCCCCCGGGCGGGCTCTCGCGAACCTTCGCCCCCACCCGAGGCATCCAATAATAAACTAAGGACGTTACAGTCCAAAACCATTAACCTAATAAATAATAATACAACTATTAAATTAAAAACTTTGGATCGTCTACAAATGGGAAGACAAGTAAATGGTCCCTGATAAGTTGGTATATAATTTAAATTATAATATAACAAGAAAATATAAACAAGTTTCAGGTGGAGAAAAAATTTTTTTTACCCGTGACGAAAGTTTTACCTTTCGGTGACTTTAAATAAATGTAACAGTGACTGAAAACGAATATCAACATTTATATAATATCAATTGCACTAAGTTTTTATATTTTGGAATTATTCCATAAAAGGAATGTTAGGATACTAAAACTAGACAAATTCGAGTTAAAATATACATCGAAGTGTAAAACAACCTCTTAGGTCAGATTATCATTTGGAAGGGGCCTCGACCGAGCCGCGGTCGTCAAAATAAATACAATAAAAACGTTCTCTCGAACAAAATACTTAGGGTCAGTCTTAACTACGATAATAAACTCTAAAACAAAAAACAACAAATTAACCTAATGCCGTTAGGGAATGTGCACATTATAGCTATTATCTTTAGTGTATATTAAAATGTCTTTAACAAAATAAAATGTAAATATAAATAATAATAATATTATTGCAGTACCGATTTGGTAAGGTATCTACTTTGGTCTAACGTGTGTGTGTATGTGTGTGGTGGTACACTATATGGAGGTCTTCTTGTTGCGGCGGACCTTGTTGCTGGCGTAGACGTACCACTCCTGGTTGTGGTGCTTGCGGATGTGCACGCCGAGGTTGCCGCGCTGCTTTGCGCGGTACGAGCAGTAGGGGCACTGGTGCGCGGGCGCCTTACCGCCGCACTCCACGTTCTCGTGGCGGCGCAGCGTGGACTTCCAGCGGTAGCGCTTGCCGCAGTGCCGGCACTCGAACTGCCGGCTGGCCTCGTCCGAGCTGCTGGCGCGCTTGCGCTCCGCGCACGAGTCCTCGGGCAGCACGATGTCGTCCGTGTCGTCGTACTCCGGCTCCGACGAGCGCTCCTCCTGCGTGCCCACCACCGTGTTGTTGTTCTGCAGGAAGGCCTGCTGGAGCAGGTGCGTCTTGAGCTTGTCGGGGAGCGTGTCGAGAGGGAGGGCGGGGAGCGTGGGGAGTGCGGGCGGCGCCACCTGCAGGCACGCCGGCACGAGCGCCGCCAGCGACTGCGACTGCGCCCGCTGCGCCGACAGCAGCGATAACAGAGCCGACGGCAGGCTGTCCTTGCGCAGCTCTGAAATACAACACATTAACGGTATTGCAAATAATAAATCAAGCGCAACTACTGACGACGCCTTGTTAATACTACCAGAGGCTAAAATAAAATTAAGGAACCAAAGAAATGCGTTATAATAATATAAAAAAAAATATAAAAATAAAATAATTTCGGTTAGAAATCATAGGAGGCGAAGCTTCTAATTCATGCAGACATGCACAAACCGAACGTCTCCGCGTTCGACTTATCTTCCCATAAGAGCGGAAACCGGGCGGCGAGGGGCGAAATCAAAAGGCCGGTGAGGAGTTACATAAGTTTAATATTAAAAATATATTGAACATCGATTCCATTAATACAATAAGTATACGAGGCTCATAAAACTTCAATCGACACCATCTAAAAAGGAAGATCTCGCTAAGGCACTTGGTGGGCGTGGCGCAGCGTGCGCGGGGGGCGGGCGCTCACTTGACGCCGAGGGGCGCGGGGGAGGCGGCGGGCGCGGGCGCGTGCGCGGGGTGCTTCTTCTCGATATGCTTCTTGAGCTCGTTGCGGCGGTGCTTGCTGTAGGAGCAGTGCGGGCACTTGTACTGCGGCTCGCGGCCGCACTCCAGCGTCACGTGACGCACGAGGTTCTTGCGCGCGTTGTAGCAGCGGTGGCAGTTGGGGCAGCGGTAGCCCTTGTCCGTCTTGTACTGCGCGCACGGCAGCGTTTGCGCGCCGCGCGGGAAGATGTGGTAGCGCGACTCCGACTTCGCCTCGGGCTCGGCCGCCGGCTCGGGCTTCGGCTCGGGTTCCGGCTCCGGCTCGGGTTTGGGCGCGGGCTTGTCGGGCGACTTGGCGCGCTTGTTGCTCTTGTTCTCCTTGGCGTCGTCGGGCGCGGGCGCGCTCACGTTCTTCAGTATGGCGAGGGTGGTCGCGAAGGTCTCCTCGCTCACTTTTTTACTACGCGTCATGATACTGTGTCTCGGTGTCGTTCTTCTTCCTGAAATGAAAGTTTCAGTACAGTCCGGATTATCGATTTTGACCTTTGCGTGTAATATTCCGAAATGATTGAGAAGCTAAAGAAAAAAAAAACGAAATAATATAGCAAAAAAATATATATATTCAAACAAAAACGCCTAAGCTACAAAATCAACGTAAATATAACTAAAACTTTTTTAACTTCAATAAAAAAATAATTTAAAAACAAAAAAGAGCTTTTTCGCAATCAACAATTTAACTAAAACTTAGCAACAACAACAACAAAAAAATATATTTAAATGGCACTGGTTTTTTGATAGATTTAAATAAACGATAAAACATGATTTTTAAGTTAGAAATGTTATTCCTAACAATTCATGTTATAAATTAACAAAATAAAGATAGTAAAAAAAATAACAAAAGTGAAAAAAAAGAATCATTCAACATTATTGAGATTCGCTGTCGCGTCCTCAGACGCCTCGTGTTTTTGCGCAATGTGCATGGTCAATGTTTTTTTCTGAGAGTATTTTTTGCCGCATTTCTCACAAGCGAACTGAGGCCCTGTGATGCATTCATATTTCTCATGTCTCAGTTTATTTCTGCGATACTTATATTGCTTCTTCTTACAAATCGAGCAAAGATATTTTCTATCTGTATGTTGGCCATCTTTGATCATGTCGCGGTTTCTTTTATATTTTCTCTGTACTTTCACAGTTCTCTTTTTGTACGGCTTTCTACCTCTAACCTTCCCTCTGTCGGCCAAGCCCTCCTTGCTCTCTATCTTCACATCGGAACTTTTAAGGTATCCGCGAGTTAATGGAAAGGGAGTTTTGGTGTAATTCAAGGTTGTTAGATCTGTGGATGGTTCTGGAAGGCGAAAATAATGAAAGCGAGCATGAGGTTAACAAGCATTACATTAGTTGCACAGGTAAATGACAAATGTGGTGTTATAGCATATTATGTTTAAAATTTAAAGTTACAGTTAAAAAAAATGTTACAAAGCTTTATAGACTTTTAAAGATTAAACAGAAAAATGGATGAAGTAAGGGTTTCTTCATGCTGGAATAGTTCTGCGCGAGGAGTTGCAGGGAGGAGGTAAAGTAATGAAATGTCTCGTCCTATTTACATCCCTACATCTTTTCATATTGTCCCTATTCCTAGTTCAATTTATAACAGTTTATTGATTAAGAGGTGAAATGAAATGCGCATCCACTAGGAAATTTGCATGCCCTTTTTTATGTAAAAATAAAATCTTTGACCTAGTGAACATGCACGTTGGCAAAAAAAAATTGAAAAAAAAAAAATCTTTATTTCAAACATGAATTGCTAAGAAGACATCTGCAGTGAAATCACATGTGAATGCAAATAAAGAGAAATAAATAATAAATAAATAAGCCACATAAACCAACAAACTACACGAAAAATGAATAGATTTGATTTACCTTATAAGTGCAGGCCAGCGCAGACGGTTCACAATCTTCTATAACAAATGATCGATGAATTCACAAACTGGCAAGGAACACGGTACTCTCGGTAGCAACGATAACAAATTACTACTGACAATATAGTAAATAAAGTTATTTTTTCTGGCTTTTAAATGCTTTGGATTAGATTGCGTGTAGTGCGAAACGATATAATAACTATATAATACATATATAATGGCATAAATCGTACCAATTCGTACTCACCGATTCAAAATTGACTCCACAATGTTAAAGTTAAGTATTAATAAAGTTAGCACTAATTACATCTAAGAACTGTCATTTGCCGACCAATACATATACTCTAAGTACAACAGTAATGAAGCATGCAATGATCTACTCGTACCCATGTCACAAACAAAGCAAATAATCACTATACTAAGTACTTAGTATGATTAAAAATGTAAACCTATACTTACCTTGGCACATACCTCGCCTGTACAGGCTACATCAAATAAAACAATACCTTTCTACCATTACCTTTACCTCGCTCTGAAATATCCTAGAATTTATATATAGGAAATATAAAATTGCATAAAGATTAGTAATTTATAATATTAATATTAGATAGTAATTATTAAAGGTTGAATTTCACATGTGAAAACACTAGCACTCTCGTATCCGCTGTTGTGGTATATAATATTTATATATAACAAGATAAATACATTATTTTAAGCAATGACTGTTTGTCTATTTTCAAATTATGGGAAGACATTGCGCATTTCATCCGTTCCTTGTACGTCTGGGGCAATCAACTTTTCTCTCCGACTCAATACTGTATCTATGACATCTGTCTGTACAGAAAAGTTCATTGCCCCAGAAACAACCATCTCATCTCGAGTCCCACACAACATCTTGTATTGTGAATTAAAATATCTTAATATTAAAAACATATAAAAGTACTTGCAATACAAGATGTTCCAAGTTGATAGCTTTTACAGGCACTCTCATTAGACGTGCCCGTAACAGCATCTCTATAATAATTGCAGCTTACCTTGAGTCTCTCGAACACTGTCATTTGAATTCATTATTTCATCTTGAGATCTTTCCATATGCCATTGAAAATCTGAAATTAATGAAGTAAGTGAAATTTTTACTTACATTTGCAGCAACAATGTTATATTTATAGATCCATTATTTGAGTGACTAATATTTTATTTCGGCTTATACAATATGTACAGTAAGTCAGAATATTAGATGTTAGTAAATAGTAAAAATTGTTGACTTTCAATAACATTTTTTGATTATCGCATTATAAAAAAGTTTAGTTACATATGATGTACTGTAGAATACTTACTGCGTACAACATCATTGTGCGGGACCGACGGTTGTTCTTCAGCCTCTTCGTCTAGAGTAAGGTCCTCCACTCCGTCTCTGGACACTTCCTCTTTCAGCGGAACCTGATCATCTCCATTTCCTTGGTTAGAGTCTGTTTGAGAGGGCATCGGGGTAGTTGCTTCGGTGGACATGCGGCGTGCTTTCTTTCGACGCCGCGTCGGACTCATTGAGCCTTCGCGACTGTCGATGCTACCATCTCGCACCTGGGGCAGAAAAAAATGCCATTGTTAAAATACTTAAATTGATATCTGAATTAAGGCTTTATGTTAGTATTTTTTTTCTATAACAAGCAGTTATTGTAGGTTCTTGCCTTTTTGCTGGATATTATGTAATCTATGTATTATTTTCTTTTATTTTAAGTGAGAATCCTTTATACTACTTAATAATTGCTTTGAACTAGATTTAAAAGCTAGCAAACATGTCAGTATTCATGCTGTTGCATTGTTGCAAATAGAATTACGACCAGTTAAAGGAATCCCACAATGACCTTCATTGGGTGATTTTAAGTATTTCCAACCACATTATGGCTATTTTGTATCTGAGTTACAAATTATGCTAATCATATGTTTTAAAATACGTTGAAGGAGTGATGAATGAATGTGCTATAGAATGAGAACAAGTAGTCTTTTCACCTTGGAATTTACTCAAGGTCAATTATAGTAATTTATACTCGACTAGTTTGTACCTACAGCTCCGTCCGCATTGTGAGCGGGGAAAAGTAGGCTATTTCCATTTACTTATGCAACATATCCTAGCCAAATTTCATCAAAAACAGGTCACATACAGTTACATTTCTATCATAATAACTAGCGACTCACCCTCCCTTCGCTTTAGTATGGAATAGATAAGACTATATATCCTGCATTTAAAGGACTTAAATATATACATAAATAAATCAGTTTTACAATAATGTATAGAAGTCTGGCCGATTTATTGACATTTGATCACTGTTCCGCTCCCTTGGGTAGTAGCATGATATATATATATCGTCAAAAGCGCGCAATCAAATTACTGTGTATTAAATATTTCCTTTAATATAATAAAATATATTATTTCACTATAATCTGTGATGTATTTAATAATATATGATCACAACTTTATATTATAATATGCTAATTAGGCCCATTGTGAACGAAGATCAAAGAGCAAAAAGCAATGAATTAAGATTAAAAGTGAGACTCAAAATATGTGCCATTATTAGTTTCTAAGAGATTTCTTCTAAATTTTAATAAATTTCTTGCATATCTTATGAAACTGTGTATTTCATCAGTACTTTGTCACTCACGTCAGTCCTCTGGTTTCGGAATTCGGAAAAATCGAAATATCTCCGCATCTACTTTAAAAAGTGACTTATATCATGAGCAATATTTTCATTAGATTAGCTATCTTATAATCAGAATTCGTAGGAATCTGATTTAAAAACTATCATAAACAAAATATCCTGAAAAGTTACCCAACTTTTGTATATCCGCCCATATATATATAGCCTTCCACAATAAACGGGCGATAGCCCGTTAGATATATTGCAAAAAGAATTTTTAAAATCGGATTAGTAGTTCCTGATTGGAGCGTTCAAACAAACTCTGCCTCTTTATAATATTAAATACATATATAGTATAGATGGGATAACTGATTGTGTGTTAAGAAATTCAATGCTTGTTATAGTAATAGAAAGACATTATGAACATAATATAATTAATTTAAAGTAGCCTTTATCTTGTCAGTTAACAATTTTTACTTAATTATTTATTATTCAGTTATAATGAATATAAATAAGGTTACATTTAAATTACAATTTATTTTATGAATTAGAAAAACATTGTGTAATATGCAGAATTATCACCAAAACAACTTAAAAAAATAAAAATAATAACCAACTTCCAGGCACTAAAATGTAAAAAATAACTAAAGGGGGGTTTTCATTTAGAATGGATAGCTATACAGATATTTTCGAAGTCGGTGTGCTTTGATTTGTATCGGCTGGTACAGACTTCGAAAATATCCGATTAGGTATCTATTCTAAATGAAAACCTACCTCCGTTTAGTTATTTTTTACTTTTTAGTTATTGGAAGTTGGTTATCATTTTTTATATATGAGCAGGTAATTTGTAAGAAGAACGTTTTTTAAATAACATATTCGACACCTGCAGGTAAATTTCTAAGAAATCTATTGTTAACTGTAACGCCGGCGTCCGCGGTCCTGGAGGGAATTAAGCCATTTATTTAAAAATAATTTATTGTTGATTTTTTTAAAACCGCTCGACCGATTTCGATAAAATTTAAATGGGATCACCTGGAAAGTATACCTTTTGAAACGAAAAAAGAATTTTCCAAATCGGTTTAGGCGTCTTCGAGTAATCGATGAACATACACAAAAAAACACATACAGACGAACATAGAACCTCCTCCTTTTTGGAAGTGGTTAAAAACGCAAATTATCCACTCTTTTAGTTATAATTAGAATTATAAGCCCTAAATATAAATATAAATCTGAAATTTATAAAGTTATTGAAAGAATGCTTAATATCCTAGGAAAAATATAATATTTTCTATAATAGAAAAATTATTTATAAAATGTTCAATTCAATTCTCTTGTTAATTTTACTGTACTAACTCACATTGTCTCTTCATTATCAGTTGCATTACATACAATTACCATATCTACCCTCTAACTTTAAACTTAATTTATTTTACCAAAATAATTCATGAAAAATAAAAAATGAGTGCGAGCAACTTTTTCGCGCGGTTGAAGTAAAATTTCTTTGGCGCTGTGGCAGATACCGAAATTAAATTAAAACAAACCAAAATATGAATATATAAATTTTTATAAAATTATTAGTACATAATAAATATATATTTTTATAATTAACTAGCATTGCCCGCGGCTCCGCCCGCGTTCATATGACCAAAACCAAATTCTTAGGTTTTATATATTAGTATACTCGTATTAGTATATTAGTTGACCCGGATAACCAGCTATTACCATACCAAATTTCTTCAAAATCCCTCCAGTGATTTTTCTGTGATGCGGTAACAGACAAAAATTCTAAAAACTATAGATTCGGCCTCTATTTCGATAATAATGTCTATTTAAATAAGATTTTCTAAAAAATATTTAATGTGCAGATTTGACTTAGAATTTTATTAAATGTATAGATAATCATTACTAAAATATAAATATAATAATATTTTTTAAATTATCTATCTCTAAAAAAGTCATGGGATGATTTCCGGGACAAAAACTATCCTATATCCTTCCCAGGATCTCAAACTATATTCATAGTAAATTTCATCAAAATTAGGTCAGTAGTTCCAGAGTTTACTGCCTAAAAACAAACTCACAAACTTTTTCTCTATAATATTAGTGTAGATAGATGTAATGGAAAAGTAAATAACATTTTATATTAGACTTCATTATTATCTGTATATTAAAACATAAAGCTAAATGAATTATCTGAGGCACGTGATATTTTTAAAACTGTTTTGGTTCCAATTACAATTCAAGCATCCTCCAAACAAGTGTGATAGAATATATTATGTATTATTAAATTTTTATTACATAAATAAAAAAAAGAGTTACATACACCTACAAATTCACCAATTGTGTATTGTTAGGTTTGAAGTCTGTGCAGTGTGCACATTAAAAAAAAATATATTAAATTTCAATTAACTTAATAATTTATCTTATCCGATATATTTAAATGAGCAATTCTTGTATATTTATTTATTTATACCGGCGATCTCGGAAACGGCTGTAACGATTTCGCTGAAATTTGGTTTTTGGGGCGAAAAATCGATCTAGATTAGTCTTATGTCTGGGTAAACGTGTTTTCGGGTTTTCATGCGGTTTTCTTTCACATTATTTCGCACGCTCGGGCATAAGCATAGTGGTCAAGCGTCCAAGGCGCAAAATTCTCAATCATAGGTGTCGTGGTTCGAATCGCGATCGGATACAAAGTTTTTACTTTTGTTTTTTTGTATTTATTCCAGTTTTTAGTTTTAAGTTATATAAATTATCATCTAAAAAATACGATACAACAATAAAGAACTCCGAGCGAAGCTCAGTCGCCCAGGTACTAATATTAAATGAGCAATCATTGTATATATATAAATTTATTTTGTATATGTCGGAAATGGCTCTAACGATTTGGATCAAATTTTGTATTTCCAACATAAGATTTAGTTTTTTAAGTTTATCAGTATAGGTGTCTTTATTGAAAAAATGCAATTTTTATATCTTTTTCGAAAAAACGCTGAACGAAGCATCATTGCTTAGGTACTTTTATTTTAGTTAGAATCTTGATATCATTTGACAACATGCCAATAAATATATTTCTCTTGTCCTAGCTTTTATGTGATCATATTCCATATACATAATGGAATGCCTCACGTATAATGTTTCATGTGTTTACCACAATTAACTGCACAATTGGCTATAGGCAAGTAATCAAAAGTATTTAGTCATTTATAATTGTGTAATTATTTGTTTTATGGTGCTTCCACACAAGAGTCAAAAAATGTTAGTAAACATTTGTTAGTGAACATTTTATCACAAGAAAAAACATTGTATAACAAAAGTTATTAAAAAAAAACTTTTTTTTAAATGTTTTGTAACATTTGCTTACAAAACATTTTTAAGCAAAATAAAACAATTTGTAACTTTGGTTAGAAAACATTAAAACCAGGCGACAGTAGGGTTTGCAGAATAGTTGTAAAATGTTCTACATGTTTTATCAGTGTAGCTTTGAAAACATCTAACCAATAGTAAACATGTTACTAAATGTAAAAAAAAAATTAGTGTTAAAAATGTTATGTAATATTATCTACATTTTTTAACTGCTGTGTGGAAGCACTATTACAAATTAGAGTCCAAAGTTATAAACTATTAATTATAATATCATTTGATTTGTAAAACTTTATAAAAATCAACTTTCTGTAATACATTGTGCTGTTATTTCTCATAAAATCTGCAAATCTGCATAACTTTGTTAAATAGAAATTTGCTATTCTATACAAATCTTTTTGAAGGTAGAATTACAATGGTTGCAAAACCTTGGAAAATTTTAAGTATGCTAAAATTGTTAATTTGTTCTACGAATTTGATCTTAAAAACAGAGTGAGAGAGTTATATAATAATAAATGAGTAAACCAAAGCAATACATATTTAGTTACTATTGGTAAATTGGTAAAATGTTGCATGGTTGCAATGTCGGTTCGGTATGCAATACTGACCTGTGGTGGAGGAGATGGGGCGCGTGGCGGGTGTGCAGTTGCTTGGGCAGGGCGCGACGGTGGCCTTGAAGGCTTGTTATCTGAGAGACCTTTTATTTGTAGTGACTCTGCTGCCTTAAGCAGAGCCGCTAGCTGATCCTGAGATATGTTTACTTCTCCACGGTACATATAGTCCATCATAGCTCTCAATTCGGCATATTTCACATCTTTTAATATTATTATAGGATGCTTGTCATACTGTTGGGATAATACACTCTGTAACAATAACAATGTTGTTAGTGGCTGTTTACAAATATGCATTTCATTGGTATTATTGTATTGATATTATTGTATCCAGTTATGTTTATATTAAAACAATAGATTTTTTATGAAAATGATGATAAATAAACTTAATAGCAGATAATTAAGATGTAATTAAGAAATCATATTAAATAGATTATAATTGAAGTTTAATGTCAGCATCAGTAATAGTTTTTTAAACAAGTATTTAGAAAAGTAGTAGCAACAACTTTCAATTGCCAACTCATCTATAAATTAATCTAAACTAATTGCTAACATATGAAAGCTAGAACGAAACAACTGGAATGTTTATTAGAGCAAAACTGTGCTGCCTTGCAACTAAGTTATACACGATACCAATTGACCTAGATAACGAGTTAGCATTATACCAACCTCGAAATAGGGACTGCACGCAGACAAAACTACTTTGTGTGCCTTGAGTGTTTGTCCTTCGGCAGCCAAGGTGCAGTCCACATGCATCCCTTTCTCTAGCAGAGTGTCGAACACAGAAACCAGCGTCGACTGATGGTTGTTCCACCGCAGACAAAACTGCTGGTCGTCATCCATGGTGTTCTCGTGCCACGCGCCGCGCCCTTCGTCCTACGATAGCAAACACTTAATTGACACTGTAGCTATCTACGTCTAATTTCTAAACTCTAAACACCACGCAATAATTAGGCCATCGTGAAAACTTTACTCAAGTCACTTAAATATTCCATTCAGCCTGTTTATCACAATACAACGTAAATTATCTCACCGATTCACTTCATAAGATGAGATCACGCCTTAACTTAACTAAATTAACTTTATGGACCACATACGAGTCGTCGTAAGCGACGCGGCACAAAGAAAATGGCCGCTTTTCCAGCGCGACAAAAAATAAAATGGCGACGAAAATTCTAAGTTTTACTATTTTCTGAACAAAATGTTCGCGACACACTAACAGATTCAAGTTAAATGTACACACGATGCGTGAGAAACTTCAAAAAAGTTTTAAACTCGTTAAAAACTTTTACAAACTTTACTTCGAAAGTTCACAAGTGGAAATTTTCAAGATGAAAAGTCGTAACAGTAAGGTAAGCACTTGTAGGATTCTATATGGTTTACAAAACTTCGTGAACACTTACCTCGCTATTTCATTCACTATAATAAAGTTAATTAGAACTCGTGTTTCTCTTCAAAGTGACTGTGACACGATTATTTTATAATTAACACATTTGCTTTGCACACCCGCCAGCTTTCTTAGAATGAAAATACTAAACTATGCTATGTTGCAAGTTTAGCGAAGCGAAAGGCACCTCTACTAAATCCAAACGAAGTACAAGTTGGAAGCGAGCAAACGAATGACCCAAAATAAGCTCTAATAATGTTGCCATCCTTAATATTAAGGAAAGCTTGTAAATCGCTTATTCGCAAATACTCTATTTATTAAAATATATTCCTTCATGAAATGTTAAATATTAAAAAAAATACAATAATCTTATACAATTTTCTAGGTTTTCATGTTTATCATAATGTAAATACTGTAATCTATTCTCTAACCCTATTCAATTAGTTCAGCCTTGACCTACTTTTAAATGAAATCGTCTCGTGATTTATGTCACTTTATAACAACTACAAATTTATAGAATTATAAACAATTTTCAATAGTTTTTGTATATAAATAAAATAAAATAGTTTTTTCCATGGTACTAAACTTATATAAACATTAAAAGTTTTGACGGAAAGTAGCGCCATCTATAACTTAGAATCTGAACTCGATAAAAAATATTCAAAGTAGTACCTAAAAACTATAACTAGCGAACATTAATTAGAGATCGTAAAATTGATTTAAGAGATTCTAGATAACTGTAATCTGTTTTCTTTTTAAATTTTTCCATCGTATTCAAATACGCATTTTAGAATGACGTACTGCTTCCCAATTGTTATTTGTTAATCGACGCGCCCGACGACGGATGTCGTATAGTTAAGCGGTGCATCTATAGTAGCTACAGTTTTGGTTTAGTCTATTGTAGATTGGATCTTGCATAATGCTTTTATGGCTCAGATTGATGTTCTATTTATTTCTACACTTACACAAACTGATTCAATTTTCTTGATGCCGAAATTGATTGTTGCTGAATAAATTGTAGTTACCTTCTTTCATTTGAGTTCATTCATTATTTCGATTTGCATTTGTGATTCAGTTAGGTACTGTCTATAATAGCTTTATAAATATAAAGACAGAAGGATTTGAATATTAAAATGTATATTAATAATTTATTAATATTTGTAGATTTTGATTTGCAGTTTGAAATGGATATGCTTGCGTAGGAACTTACTACGTATATTATTATATTTATTGCGCGTCCTTTCGTTTTAAGACGTGCCTAGTAAATAGTAACTAGTTCTTAATTATTACTTAACAATATTTTTTATTTATGTATTATTGAAAATGTACCTTTTTTTTGTAATAAATTATGTCAACATCGATATTAAAAGTTATTTTAATGTCGATATTGATGTAATTTATTTATATTATTGACTAGCGACTCACCCTCGCTTCGCTCGGGTACGTCACTAGCTTGATTCCCCATAAAAACTCATTCCCATTTGCACCCCCTTAAGGAATGATTTTCGGGATAAAAAGTATTCTATGTCTTTTCCAGGGACACAAACTATCTTCTCACCAAATTTCATCTAAATCGGTTCATTACATCCAGAGATTACCCTACAACGTCACAAACTTACAATTTACAAACATTACCTGTTTATAATATTATTAATTAGTATAGATTTAATACTTAATATTAAAAAAATCTAATAATATGAGGAAAGTTCGTAGTAGACTTTCGGAAGATGATTTCGTATTTGTAATATTCGCTGTCGCCGTATACACAACCTCGGATAAGTAAGATTTTACGCGGGATGGTAGTTGGAACTTGGAGATTTCTTTATACAACGTATGTTACAGAGCATGATTAATAATTAACCTTTTTGCTTATTCGAACGAATTCGCTGATATTTGACTGCCTAAAATTTCTCAACATTAAAAAAAAATGGGATGAATCTTACTATTTTTTAATTATATTATGTTTATTGTTTACTACCTTTTTTCTAAAATAAGTTTCTAAATTAACTAATGTGTTCGATAGGATTTCCCATCGACAGTATAAACAGAAGCTTTAATTTGTATATAAATAAATAAATAAATATTTTGGGACATTAATACACAGCGCCATCTAGTTCCATGGTAAGCTACGAGGCTTGTGTTATGGATACCAGATAGTTGATACACTACATACATATAACTTTAAATACATGCATATTATTATAAATATAAACACCCATGACTGGAGTACAAACATTTGTGTTCATCACACAAATGAATGCCCCCAGCGGGACTCTAACCCGCGACCGCTGGCACATCAAGTAGGGTCACTAAAAACTGAGCCAAACGTGTCGTTAATGTTGTAATTTTCATGAAAATGACAAAAACTCTTTTATTAGATGAATTTTTAAAAATCACAACAAAGGAACTATCTTTTAGACTGTAAGTACATGTACATTTGTATGCTAGAATACTTGTGCATAAAAAGAAGTTCGATCGCTGTCTGTACATGAAAGCTAATATTTAAGAAAAACGAATAATGCGGGTATTTATTATTTTTAATGCAATAGAACCCAAAACAATGATTTTTAGAATTTTCGTCTGTTTGTCTGTGCGTTTGTGCGCGATAATCGCAGAAACGCTCAAACCAATATAGTTGCCGTTTTCTTTAATATACAATATGCTTCACTTAACATTTAGTGTTTGTTTTATTTCAATCGGTTTATTAATAAAAAGTTATGTCAATCACTCAGGGGCGAGCCAGAGCAAAGGGAGCGTGTGACGTGTCGATCAAAAATGATGACCAATAATGAAGATGCATCAAGACCCGAAGTGTCATTTTTCGCATTCATTGAGCATTCCTTTTCGCATTCATATAACTTTTTAAATTTTCGCGTTCTGTAATCCATACTAATATTACAAATGTGAAAGTGTGTTCGTTTGTTTGATTGTTTCTCTTTCTTTCAATTCGAAACGGATTGACGTGATTTTTGGTTTGGAAATAGTTGGAGGACTGGAGTGACATAGGCTACTTTTTACCACGCGAGATAATCACGCCCACGGGACAACACGTTATAATACAACCCAAAAATTATTTCTGATCAGAATTACTTGAAACTTGGTATTAATGCTCTTAAATACAATTAAATAAATAACTACGTGTTCAGCTTTTTCAAAATTCATCCCATTAGAGGGTAAAATAGGGGATGAAAGTTTATATGAAACCTACTTTTTTAGAGATTTTCTGTAGTTTTAGCGCGAGCGAAGCGGCGGGTTCTGCTAGTTATATAATAATTACACTACGGGACATAAACGTGTGAATTCGTTAGTGGCTATATTCCTTATTCCCGACGTTTAACGTTTTAGCAACCCAGTCTATATAGTCTATATAGTCATATATTCATTGAGTAAATAAGATATAGAAGCAGAACGTCAGTGTTTAGCTGTTACTTATTAATAAAATAATAAGAGGGTCGACCAAGCATTTATTTCAGTATGATGGACGACTTTTTTCCGGAATTTGTAATTAATTTTTTTAATTAATTTCCTCTGGCTCAGAATTTTCACATTGTGTATTTTTGAAATGATATCTTATACAATTTAAATTATATATTTTTTAGCGATTCGCGAGGGTGCTTACTGCTTAGGCCGTAGTTCATCATGGTTCACAAATATGGCTTGGTGGATTTCACACAACTTAGAAGAACTAGCTAGGTTTTCTGATCTAATCTATGACTCAAACAGCTTTATTCACAAAAATATATATTCATCATTTTCTAATTTCCCTAATAAAAAAATTCTAAATTAATATATACTTACATAGTTATTAAGTCAAAATGCCTTACTTTCGAGTCTCGATATGCACTTATTTATGGAGATTTTTAAAACTTAGTTTATTATCTTAGTCCATATTCTACTTTAACATTAGGAAATATGTGGATTCATTAGGTATATATTCATACATATTATTATTTATAAACAAACATTACATAAAACATTATAACAGTAAACTTTCAATAAAGCTTGGCTGAAATTCTTTTCCGCAAATAGGTATTCGTTAAGGGAGGGAAGAAACAATGTAGCTTCGTTAAAAAAATCGATAGCATTAGTAACTTGGTACAAATGAATTATACGATTGCCGTCTGTGTGCGGCTCGGCTTGGTGTGCGAGAAACAAAAAAAAACAAGTGAAATTCTTGTAATAAAAATCAATCGGAGCGGAGAGAAGGCGCCGCGCGGGGCGCCGGCTGGTCGGGCGCCGACAGGAGGTCGCCCCCTGCCTCCCCCGTGCATATCTACACGCGCTATAGTGCATCTACCCTCATTAGAGTAAACCTTATTACGACGCCAATTTTTCTTCCCTAAATAAATAATTTGTCCAAAAATATTCCATGATGAGCTAAATATAGATGGTAAATACATAGCATTAGGTAGTTTCGATACAACGGGATTGTACGAGTGGGGTTGCGGCGATCGGACGGTTCCCGGCAAAAAGGCGTTTGTTTTTATTTCTTTGGCGCGGAAAAAAATCAGCACGAGCCCGCCCTGCACCTCCTAAACATGCGCCACGCAGCGACGCAGAGCCGGCCGGGTGTGTGCCGAATTCACTTTCATTTGCGACATCTCATCGTTTCCCGAAGGTCACGGTGCAGCATTGTTCCCTCGTGTCGTATGTGAGGCGAGCGAGTGCTTGCGGCGGCCTCCGCTGACCGACTACGGAGTACGGACTAGGTTGTAGGTGAGTGGATCATTTCGCGCCTTCGTCTTCCTCGACTCGTTTATCGCCTCCGTTTTACACCGTCCTTCGTGCGGGAAGACGTTAAAAGTGAACGTTTCGTATCTCGCGGTGATTCTCGCGTCTCTCCCGATTGTTGTTCCCCGACTCGCGCGGCCAATAGAGAGACACGGATGTGACACGGCGTGAGAGGGTTAACCGCGCAAGTTTATATTCACTACTCGTCTGCGACGTCACCTCCGACAGGTGACACTCGAATGTCTACGTTAGCGCGCCTTGTCTAGAGTTCTTATCGTGATAGTGGCGACTACTAAAAAGTTTTGAATTTTATTCCGCGCGAATATAACGCTCATATCAACTTTTGACACGACCAAAAGGAATGTTGGACGATCGGTTAGCTTTTATGTAGTATGCGAGGCAAATAAAAAGTAGAAATAAAAAAGCTTACGAGACGATGTGCCCTGCGAATGAAAGAGATGGAATCGGGTTTGCACTCTTCGTCTGTGCACCAATCGAGAAAAAATTCAATAAAGCTCGCTTCCTTTTGTCTAATTGCCTATGTAAACCTACTTATAATATGACGACTGTTTAATTCCCGAGATGTTTGGAGGAAAAAATGGGAAACTTGTTTCATCGAATAGCAATCGTTGACAATAGGTCTAGGATTTAATTAATTATAACTTACTAAAGTGAATGGTTATTGTTAATTTAATTAAAATATAAATAATATTTTTTAGGAAATGACCGGGACTGAAACATTTCTAGTGAAATGCGAACCGCTATCCGATGACGAAGAAACAAGTTCGCAATTTGCAAAAAGCTATTTTACTACGGTAAGTTTATTTGTTACTACATACCTATTTAAACTTTTTAAATATAAAAGTATGATAAAGATGGTTTTTGTTAATTTATTGTGTTATATACGAGTATCTCTTGTCGCTCATGTTTATAATTTTTTTTACATAATTGTGTAAATGTAACAATATGTATGTAATGTGTAATGTAACATCTAGAGTATTTTTTTATACTTATTAGAAATTGATACCCTTCGCATTTACGATATTAATTATCATTTTGGAAGCTTTTTTCGTAAAGTATTCATGGATTGTAGTCAAAATAACTCTCCTATCATAGTAAAAACCTTATGAAAATCCGTACAGTAGTTTTTGAGACCGAACAAACACGAACTTTGCGCGACGGGGACTTCCATTTACTATATTTTAACATCTTGCCTTACCTACCTTTGACTTAAAATCTTTTTAAGGAATATTTCTCTTATTATTTATGTAATACGTATGTTTATTTGCTTAACTTCCTAAATGATTTGTTATACGAGTATCGTTACTATTTGATTTGAGAGAAACAAAAACAAATATTTAAGAAATGAAATTTTTATACACGCTTACCTATTATTATTTTAGTTTTTAATGTTTTACTCATTCTAAAACTAAATAATGTTGTTTCACGTATTTATGCTTTCTATGCAAAAAGAGATTGATATTCCTATATTAAGGTTTTATAGATTAATTATTGTTTATTTAATTAAATGTGGTAGTTATATCATTTTGTAATAATTTGTACTTGTTTATCAAGTAGGCAAAAGCATAGATATTTCGACAACTAGGCGATTACGAGAATCTTTTCTTTTCAACCGACTTCCAAAAAGGAGGAGTCATCAATTCGTCGGAATCTTTTTTTTTCTTTTTTTTTGTTTCAAAGGGTATACTTCCCAGGTACCTACAATATTTTAAGATATAAATATCTAATAGGTAAATATGTATTTTATGTATCTAAATATATTAGATTTGCTTTGCATCGGCTGGCACCGACTTCGAAAATATCTGATTAGGTATCTATTCTAAATGAAAACCTCCGTTTAGTTATTTTTTACATTTTAGTGCCTGGAAGTCGGTTTTTTTTAAGTTTTTATTTAAAGGATAAAAAGTCTACGTTATTTGTAATGTAACTCTCTATATTCCAGTGAAAGTTTTAGTAATATCAATTAAGCTATTTTCTTTTATCATTTCTTTTTTTATACCATGGGAATTCATTTTGTTAGTAGGCAATAGATACTGGTAGTAAAAAGTAGAAATAGGAACCGGTATAAAAAAACCGGTTTATTTCGGTAATATAATGATTAATTAATCACTCATTCATTAACCGGTTAATGAAAACGAACGGCTTAGTAAACCGAAATAATAATGGTTAACGATTAGGTGTTCCTAGAGAAAGGTCACTTAGGTTTTGATACCGAAATACACCGGTTAATTTATTCATAAGGAAGAAACATAGGTACACGTATTCTTCTACTTATATTACTATTCACCATCAGCAAACATTCGCCGAATCTAAACGCACAAAAACTCATTTTACCCGTTTAATTTTGGATGATTGAACCTATTCGTCAAAATCCAATTTCCGGGTATTAACCAGTTAGAGAAAGTAACCGAAACCTTAAAGCTTTTCGGTTTGGGGTCAATGATTTAAAAATTGAACGAATTTCTCAGACCTGGTAAAAGGAAATAAATAGCCTGCAACCTTTTCATCTCCATCCGAATCCGTTAAAGTAAGTTTTGTTAAAATCGATTGAGCCATTCCGAAAATCATTGAGTACAAGTGGCAACAATAATATGGGAAGGTAACCTACGTATAAAACTAAGCACACGAATATTATACTTACAAATTTCACAGTGCGTGTGTGTTTTTATTACTTCTCCTCACTTTATGAAGTTCGGAATAAGTATAGAGCTATAGAATATTATATAGCTTGGATTTGCATTTAGATTTCTTTAACTGTTTTTTTTTTTAACTTAGAAGTACCTACTTAGATAGTATTAGATAGTACAGTAGTACTAAACAACTACAAGATTTCAAGAGATTTAGCATTTTCTGTTATGTATGAGGTTTTTTGTATTTGTTAATTAAGAATTCGTTTATGAACTTTCGAAGCTTGCGTCATCAGAGTATCCCATCAAATTCGAACGAATATCGCAAGCCGATGAAAATGTCTCGTCGAGTCTATTACACCATTTGCAGGTAAATACTTATAATAGTTACTTATCTTTTAACATTAAGTAGGTATAAGCGTATTGCACGTTAAAATATTTTCTAAAACTATCACGCTAATTTTAGCTATCCAAATATATTTAGACTAGTTAGTGACCCTTGTTACTAGTGTCCGTATGCCCTTCGTATTAAGGAGGGACAATTTTCTCAACTTTACAAATACATATAATCAAATCGTTAGTTCTTTTTCACAACATGTTTTTTTTTTGTATAAATTATACCTTCCTAGGTGCTTGTGAATACCCCTTTTATTTGTGAAAACAGTATGAAAATTTGTACAGAACATTCGTCTGCACGCGTAGTTCGATTACGTATTACTATATATTAAAAATTATACCCTGTGTGTTACTTGATGTATCTATGCATATAATAAAATTCTGAGTCGAACCTGTACATATTTTTTTGTTTCTTTTTTTTGAAATAGTCATTACTATCGATTGTGAGAGAAACCCAAGCGGAGCGAGCGCGAATCGCTAGTTTTATTAAATAAATCTTCGATAGTGCTTGAAATCAGAGTATACCCATAATATTTTTTGTATCGATTTCGAATAAAACGGCCTTTTCCTAGCATGGATTGGAGGAGCTCGCGCCCGCGCCAGCCGGCCCCGCCGCCACGCCGGTGCGCGAGCAGCTATCTGCGCCCTACGAGACCTCGCTCGCTACCCTCGAGCCTGCAGTCGACCATGATGTGGTGAGATCACTAATAATTATTTTTTTCATTTATTTTATTTATTTATTTACCACAAAGATACATATAAAAACAAAAACCAGATACAGATAGACCTTGTGTAGAAATAATGATTTTATCTTTAAGAGATCTCTGGTAGAGATCTACCAGAAACCCTTGAGCGTGAGAAAACAAAAATCTAATCTTTTTAAATTAAACGTTCTCCTTTCGAGGTTTGTTGTTATATTTTGAGTTTTGGTTCCCGATGTTTCGAATGTTTTTCAGTAGGAATGTCACGGTAATGTAATGCATACAGTAATGCAACTCGGGCCTGTCCTTGAAATAATTACCTACAGCCGAGCGGCACGTAACCACGCGACAGGGCTGCCCGAGTGCCCGCCGGCCAGTATTTTAATTTCGTCTGCCTACTTGAGTTTCTTTCTAATTTTGTGATTTCAAATATTATATTTTGAATTTAAAAACTATTATTAGTAGATTTAATTAAAAAAATCTCAAATTTATAAGAGTAGTATGTGACCCTTATAAATTTGAGATTTAAAAATATTTGCGCCTCGACTGAGACGTACGAAAAGCTTTATTGTTAAATTTAATAGTATAAAGAATCCGCATTCGGATAAAAAGTTTAATTACAAATACTTTAAGTTTTATTTTTAATTTAATTAATTATTTTTTATTTTTAAAACATATGATGTCTCGATACTTTTTTATTAGCGAAGTTACGGGGGGAATAAAATGTTTTTTTTTATATCAAATTATAAAAATTACATAATATAACCACCTTATACAATTTTCATATTCTATTATACGATCTGACAGCCCCTCACGGTTGTCTACCGAGTGTATACCGAACGCGATGCGCGTAGGTATAACTCGATTTCCGACCGTTTGTATGAAGATGGAATACTGTATGTAATATTACCGTGGTAATGTGGTCCGCGACTAAAGAAATACGAAAAGTATTTTCGTTTAAAATGTCAAATATTCGTGTTAATGTTGTTGCACTTTTCTAACTGATATTTTTATATTGTGTAATGTGTTATTATCTAATAATATGAAAATAACGTTCATACAGCTCAGATTATCCAGCTTGTACTTGCCTTTACAATAAATAAAAAATACACACTTTTGTAATGCTTGTTATCCGAGTATAGGTATATGTACTTTTAACATTAATTTTGGTAACATCTTCATCGTTTTTTTTTAATTTCATAGATATAATAAACAAGTTATTAGGAGGATATGTAGCGCAGCATTTCACTTAGTCATTTTATGCCGACATGCCGATATTTTATATATATATATATATATATATATATATATATATATATATATATATATATATATATATATATATAAGAGTAAAAGTTTGCCTTACTGCTTTAGAGCTCTTAGGGTCAATTCAAGTATAAGTTTATGAAAGAAAATTCAGCTTTACGTATTTTAATATTGAATCAATTTAAGGCGGTTAGTACCCCCAAAGAGGTACTTTCTAAAGCGTACTTCTCGTTTATGGCTTGACCGAATTGCTTAAAAAAAATATATGTGAATCATCAACTCTTAAACAATATTTTCATTGAAACATTTTTTTCGTGGGACGAAAATATTAAAAATTATATGTACAATACAATAAAGATAATAAATGATATATAATTAATTATATTACTTATATAATACGATAATTCTAGCAAACTATCCGAAAAGATTCAAAGAGATGCACTCTTTGAATCTTGTCGGATTGTATCGCTCGTAGACAGTAAACTATCCCGTGGCTTGTTTGATGAACTAGCGCGTGGATTTTTTGATGCTTTTTTGCGGGGTGCGCGGGTGCAGTGTGCTAAGCCCCGCCCAGACACGCAAGGCCGTTGGGGACACTAATCGCCTTAATGCCAAAAAATGGTTTTTGGTAGTATTTTTCAAATCATATTAATTCTCACAAAAAAATAAAATTCTAGGGAACATCCCTCATTAGTAGGCACATGGAAATGATGAATGAAGTTGCGGACTCTTCGGAGTTCGTGCCATTGATGATCAAAGATGAGCCCAATTCTGAAGGTGGTAAGTATATAATACGAATGTACGAAATATCAATAATATATTAAGTGGTTCTTTATATTTTAAACTAGCATTGCGCGCGACTCCGCCCGCGTTTAGATGACCAAAAATATGATATGATATGTCTGAAAGCACTTAGCAAAAGTTTCTTTTGTAATTTTTAAATTTATTAATTTGCATTGGTATGAGACTATGAAATGATTCACTTGAGTCTATCTACACGTGTACCAGATCTCAAACTTATACCATATCTAGTAAATTCAGAGGATTATAGGCTGATAAAATAATAGGTTAGGTAAGTAAGTTTTATGTATCTTCAAGCGGGAATCAAACACACTATTTGTAACATCCATCACGTGTCCTACAGAGCAACATCACTTAAGCGGTGACGACACCAGCGACTCAAACGGACCATCACAAGAAACATTCAGCCGTTCAAGTCCCAAAAGCTGGACCCAAGAAGATATGGATAAAGCTTTGGAAGCTCTGAGGAAACATAACATGAGTCTTACTAAGGTTAGTTTTAAGTAAAAACATTTTTGTTTTTATTTTATACTTTAAACAACATTTTTGTAGGTTGTAATATATATATGTACTTAAAAATATTCTTAAAATACTAATAGAGATCTATTAGTTCCCACGGGAACCGTTCATTTTTTCGGGATGAAAAGTAACCTGTTGTTTGACCGGCAATACAAGGTATCAGAATGTTAAATTTTACTAAATTAGGTGCATAAGTTGTTGTGTACTAAGCTGTATAAGGTACTATAGTTTTTTAACTATCCCACGGAAACTCTTTAATTTTCTGGGATAAAACGGATCTAAGATGTTGCCCGGGGATATAAGGTACCACCATGCAAAATTTCATTTAAATCGGTCTTATAGATTCGGAGATTAGCCCGTACAAACAGACAAACAGACAGAGAATCAAAAAAATTGAAAAAAAATTGTTCTATTTGTCTTCCTACATCGATAAGCATCTTCATTTAATCTCTGTAATCACTGAACTGTAATATCAAAAAAAAACCTTTAAACATTTTAATTCCAGGCATCAGCAACTTATGGCATCCCATCAACAACTCTATGGCAGCGGGCGCACAGACTGGGCATCGACACGCCGAAGAAGGAAGGCGCGTCCAAGTCCTGGAGCGACGCCGACCTCAAGGGCGCCCTGCACGCGCTCCGCGCCGGCGCCATATCCGCTAACAAAGCTAGCAAGGCTTATGGTGATTATTTAATATTTATATATTTAAACATATAAAAAGCACTAAAAAGTGAAAAATAACTGATTGGTCGTTTTCATTTACTATACATACCTAATCAAATATTTTCGAAGTCGGTGTGCTTTGCTTTGTATGGGCTGGCACCGATTTCGAAAATATTTGATTAGGTATGTATTTAATAGGTAGGCTTTAATTACTTAGCCAAAGCACACCGACTTCGAAAATATTTGATTAGGTATGTATAGTAAATGAAAACTACCAATCAGTTATGTTTCACTTTTTAGTGCTTTTGTTTGAAGTCGGTTTTTATTTTTTTGTTAAAAAGTTTTTATTTTTCCCTTTTTAGTGTAGACAGTATTAGCAAAGTAAGGATTCTAACGTGTTAGGCTTGTCAAATCAAACAAAATAAGCCCAAACTCAAAGTATCTACTATTAGCCGTTGAAGAGTTCCACCTATCCACCTTCTGGCCTTGCCATCAGATCAGGTCAACAACACCGAACCACTGTACTATCAACGAAAATAGAAATACTTGCAAAGTTTCAAGTCAATATGACAATTAGAAGTAGGTTAAATTCATTATTAGTTGTTTTTCCACCCTTAGGGGTGGTATTTTTTTTGAAATTTAAATGGGACCAATCTGGAAGTATGCCCTTCAAACAAAACAAAAATGGTCCAAATCGGTTAATAAATGACGGAGTTCTGAGGTAACAAACATAAAAAAAAAAAAAAAACACAGTCGAATTGAGAACCTCCTCCTTTTTGAAGTCGGTTGAAAAATTAATGATAATAGGAAACGCAACGGCTGAGCCAATTTTAACGGGACTTTTATTCTATGATACATGAAAGCTTTTTATAAGGACATTCATTGATTTACATTTTTTTTTATTTAAGTTATTCTCCCTCTATCGTTTTGCTTGGGTACGTTGATAGGTGCCTAACAGTGATCTATGCTATTTGTGTATTTAATAACTACTTGATTTCACCCACATTTATTCAGCTGTGGAGTAACAAATATATACATACCTATGTACTTTGTACAAACTTTTGTATTTCTAATAGTTGTCCATAGTAGTTAGTAATCATTGGTATTTTAAAAAGCGCCCAGGATCTATAGGTTATAAACTCAGACTAATAAAAAAGTATAGACGGAGCCGCTGTAAACAAACGCGACGAAATAAGTGAGGCAAAGTTTTTGCTTTGTGTGCGTAACTCGGTGTAAGATAGCGTAGATTTGCGCATGTGTGCTAGAGAAAAATGTTGCAAGCGTTGTGCTTACGACTCCCAAGTGCGAGAGATGTACTTTGGTGAAAAGTTTTATTATAGGTAGTATTGTTTTTTATTTGCCTTGATTACATGAAAGGTAAATTAGTTTAAGAGTCATTTATTCTTATATAAAAATAATTAATAATTTAACAATAGGTACACACAAAAGTTACGTATACTTAGAATAATTATAACTAATTTGACGCGTTTTTCTTTTTAAGGCCTTTAACCTTCTGATTGTTTTGATTTTGCGTGCATGAATTTGATAATGTAATTTATACTTTCTAGCTTGTTGTCCGAGTTTATTTCTTTTGGGAGTGTCAAATATTGATTCTAGTTCGGAATCACAGTTTTGAAGTTTAATAATATACCTAATATACTCGAAAACTAAAATACAATACTAACGTTTAAAAAAAATAAGTTGTAACGTGTACAAAAATCACAACTTCCCTTACTTTTGGGAATACATAATGTTCTTAACTTGCAACATTGGCACAATGGCGTCTAGAATTCGTGTTTGGAGAATTATGTTAAATATTTTTGCGATTTTGTTTAAATTATACAGAAAATCAGTTACTTGTGAAAAGTTATCCCAGATGACTTTTTTCGAAAACATAAATTGTTTTTGTAGCAGTTTATGACACAGGACGGCTTAATTTCGCAATTATTATTTTACCAAAAGCACGTCACGCGCTCTCACTCGCTCGCGGCCGACTACCGAGCGGCCATCTTCATATGGCTGGAGCGTCTTCATATTACTTTCCTCACTCTTTGTGCGCAATGCTCTGTTTATACTTTTTTATTGGTCTGAGGTTATAAATCATCTTATTGTAAAATACTTTATGTTGTACGTCCCATGTATCTTGTAAATAAAGGCGAAACCAAATAAGATAATTTTTAAAAAAGAAGGTCGTATAACAAATTATTTATTTATGTTTTTCACTTTGTACTTTGTTTACAAAATTATCAACATAATCATAATAGGTCAAGCAATTTATATACTTTTGACGATACGTATGACCAAGGACGGCAGGCTGAGTAAGCCTGCCGTCCTGGGTCATAGACCACATTGTAGTAGGGTAAATAAGCTAATAATAGACTCACACAGACACATGTTTGTTTTATATATCGAAGCAGCATTAATTTTCTCTATTATTTTCCATTATTTTATCGTGACTTATACAGTGGGCGTTATATGGGAAGTGTTGGTTGAAATAAAAGTCGTTGCAATCAAAGTAGTATTTCAAATTAACAATAATCACTTTGTACATAGTTACACAGCACTTCACTACACAACCATATAGTACTTCACTTCACAATTACCACGTATAGACAATACGGAACGCAAGACAGTTTCTACTAGTGTCCACTGTGCGACCGACCAGCCGAGCCCGGTCGAGTGTCACGACGTAGACTCTGTCGAGCCCAAAAAGGTGGCGCTCGAGTTTCGATTAGTTGTGATTATGACTCGTCTCCGACATATATGTAGTTTGGACAATACTATAGTTTGGTGTCTTGGAGCTAATCTGGTGACAGATTCAGGAAGTGGATAGTGGCACTTAGTAGTTATTATATTAAAGTTGAGTTTGGGCTCATATGGTTCGTCGTTTTAATGATTCGCACATGAAAATATCAGAAGTGCGAGACCCGAGATTTGAACTGGCTACACTCGGATTCTCAAGTGAGCGCGTTATCGCTGGGCTATCACTGCCTTCTGATTCGTTTGATCGTACATATGAATTCGTCGTAAAGTATAATGAACGATGGACGGCAGGCATCCCGAGCAGCACGCTGTACAAGATAGCGCGGCGCGAGGGCATCCGGCTGGCGGCGCCGTTCAACGCGGCGCCGACGGCGTGGCGCCGTGCCGACCTCGAGCGCGCGCTGGCCGCCATCCGCGCCGGCGCCGCCTCCGTGCAGCGCGCCGCGCACCAGTACGGCATACCCACCGGTACCACCCCACACACCCCTCCCCCACACACACACATAATTCGTTGGCTCACTATTACAAGGTTCTATGTTAACTTTAAAGAAGTTTAGTAATTTTTACATAGATCTTCGTTATTTTGTTATCGTAAAAAAAACAACATAGAACTATGTAAAATTGAATATTTTGTAATTAAAGTGCCGCTATCTAGTGGTTTGTTTTTGCAAAACTGTAGCTAATGACACATAGAACCTTGTAGCATTAATAACTAAATAAGTACTAAAAAAATAATATTTTGTGAACTCTCTTGTGAAATAGTGTGATTGCGTAAAATTAATAAAACACCAAGTACACAATCGTGTTTTTTAAATGTAGAAAAAATAATATTATTTCATTTTTTTATTTTATTTTAACCTTCATTCTCAAAATTAAATGAAATATTTACATTTATTTTTATTACAGGCACCCTTTACGGTAGGTGTAAGCGGGAAGGTATAGAGCTGTCTCGCTCGAACCCCACGCCGTGGTCTGAAGACGCCATGGAAGAAGCCTTGGAAGCCGTCAGGTTCGTCAAATTAATTATTTTGCGCTTTAAATATTATTAATACTTATCTATCTACCTATCTATCTAATACCTTTAAACGAGCAATTCTTGTATATTTATTTATTTATATATACCGGCGATAAAAATTCGAAGGTTTTACCAATAACCATTGAGGGATCCACTATTGGCTATTCATCTCATGGCCCAGATCAGCTCGATCATCGAGAGTCGAGACTCAATATAATCAAATAATTATATTCTTATCCATAACAAAATACAAACCTCTTAACTAGTGGTCTAGTTTGTACGACCGCAGATCGAAAGTTCAAGTCCTGGGACGAGCCAAGTTTAAGTTTTTCTATCAAGAAAATCTCAGTGTATAGCCTAAAGTAGAATTCAGGAAATATCGCCTAATTTCTCACTCAGCTCGTGTCGAGTAGTCGCCCCACCGGAGAGTAGAGTGGCCTTGTATCTGCGCGTACATAGACGCTCGTGCATCTAATCAAATTTAATCAAAATATACTTTACTAGCGACTCATCTTGCCTTAGTTGCCTTAGTGAAAAACAAAAACAAATATATCCCACAGTAAACGTACATTTTTCAGGATTAAAAAGTAACCTATGTGCTATTCCAGACTATAATCTATCTCTGTGCCAAATTTCATCCAGATCCATTTGGCCGTTCTGACGTGATTGAGTAACAAACATCCATCCAAACTTTCGCATTTATAATATTTACGGTATTTTGGGATTCAAATAGACTCTTACAAGCACTTGTTTATATTATCAAAATTTAAATTAAATATTAGTATGTTATACCTTGAGGAATATACCACCGGCTCAAGCCCAAGAGAAACTCGGTACAACATCTCCTACGCAAGTTGCCTAGTCTTAGAGAGATTGGTAGCCATGGCCGAAATCAGCTAGGAGGACATTATGTCACACACATTTTACACATCAAATTACATAATTAAGTTTTAAAGCTAAATATTTATATTAATTCTTAGAACTAAAATATATTAATAATTTATGGTATTATTGCCTTTCCAGAATAGGCCAAATGTCTATAAACCAGGCGGCGATACATTACAACCTGCCGTACTCATCTCTGTACGGTCGGTTTAAGAGATGCAAGTTTCAACCAGTACAAGTTAGTATACTATTTAGTCACGACTTTTAATGATATCTTAAAAAATGTGCTAAATAATTAAGTATTTTTTATTGTAAGGCCTAAATGAAATAAATGAAATGATGTGAATTATAATTTATATGTCCTTAGATTCATCTTGATGACGGGAATGTAACCGAGTATATAAAATAAAACTATGTTTTCGGATTTTTTTCGTGGAGTTATTCGTATTTTTGAGAATTGATGATATTTAAAATGTCAAATAGTCACGTTAATTTAAGAAAGTATTATGACATATTAATTCTTCATTTCCGTGTCCGTTTGTCGTAGCAATTGTTCTTTTTTTTATTGGTACCTACTATAGAGTCAATATGATGTCTAATAATAAACTAATGTCTATATGATATGAATCCCTGGACAATGTTGTAGCCAAATTACGAAAAATATTAAGGACATAAAATTTATATTACGTTATGTAAATTATGGAACAATTTTCATTATCTTTTCTCTTTTATTAATATATAGGTATTTTATTATTTATATTACAACTATAATCGCATAAAAAATATTGGTGTATCTTTTCAATAAAAAAAATTATATATGCGCTCATCCAGATTGATAAATGTAAAAGAATATGATTAAAAAGACCTATTATTAATACTTTCCTAGATTTACGCGAATGTTTAACATTTTCAAATAAAACTAACTTTTCGGATTTTTTTGCGGATTTATTTTCCTTGTTTTCTGATTAAAAAGCATAATGCCGCACTTTGGCGCACAAACACGAACAACGCAAAAACACTTTGCGCGCATCACGCTAAAGCAGTGCTTTTCGAAGTGCTCGATTGTGCGGAGCGTTGATGTAGTTGACACATTCGAAGTTGAGCATAATGTCGCATAATGCGTTTTGGTGCGGTAATTGGAAAACTACCTTTGATTTTTAGCGACGTTTCGAATGTCTTACAGGATACAGCAATCATGATCACGGGATAGATTTGACTTTTCTTGAGTTAAGATAGTTTTATATAACACTTGTTACTAATTAAAGCTATTATTTTCCAAGACATTCCAGAGCCAGCCGCCTGCTCCGGACGCGGCGGCCGCGGCCGCGCTGGCGGCCGCCGCGCCGGCGCCCGCCGCGTACGCGTACTGCGCGCCGTGCGTGGAGGCGCGCGCGCACTACGCCTGCGACGTCTCCAGCTGATCACACGCCCACTTGTGAACATCATGTGGACGCTTTGTGTGAATTCCCATACATCATTACGTAAATTACGTTTATGACAGCCGGAGGACTCAAAAAACCAAAGTCTCTACTTAATTCTTAAATTAAAATAATTTAAAACAGAAAAAATACATCTAAACTTAATACTATGAAACAATAGTGATCGATGCTAGAGTCACATATTAAATACAATTTACTTATTGATATCGGAATATATAAGATTATAAAATGCTGAATAGCTGATGGAGTCTTAATTTGGAGGCACACGTGTAGTGGCGACTCGTGACGGTGCGCTGTCAGTATGTCACACGTGTGACACTTTGTATGTATGTAATATGTACGTATATACGAGTATTATGTACAATTAGCGCTACTACTACCGGTGCCTCTCCCGGGTGCTCCCTTGATATGTTTCATAACATTTTTGACGGCACTTTTTCTTGTTTTAAGAACTAGTCATTGATGATTAGCATTTATATTAGTATCTACGCCGCGTCTTGCGAAGTGTTCAGCTGAGGCTCGCCCACCACCTTTACATATATGGTAACAAAATTTTCCCCGTGTGTAAAATAATTGTTGTTATACTGTGTTCGTACTTAGTTCGCTTTGTACCGAGCACCATGTAGACCGATAATGCGAGGAGAGTGAAAAAAAAAGAGAAAGAGGGAACGCTTGTATCTCTTTTTTTATTCTTCTCAGTAAATGGTGAATAGATTTCCAAAGTAGCTTTTATGTTACTTGTATACTATTTAATTAAATTAACATTAACAGTGTAGTACTTATTTATTATATCGTCTTTTATCTTACTTTTATAAATATTACACAAAAACTAGGGCCATATAATTATGTCGTCACCTATATAATTCACCTATAATTTAACCCCTTATGTAGGGGAAAAAAATATTAAACAAAATGTGACTAAAGCTTCTTCTTCTTCTTCTCCCTGCCCATTTCCCAAATCACTTGGGGTCGGCGCAGTACATCTTCAGTGTACTGCTGATAGGATTTGGCAAAAGTTTTACGACCGGCCGCCTGCCTGACGTCAACCCTCCTTGGGAAAAAATGTGACTAAAGCTAATAAAATAAAATGTTGCCAAAGAAAAGCGGAAATTCGCTTATTTAACATTAACAACAAAAATAAAACACATGTAACTAAAATGCTTAATATTTTTATTAATGTCAGTTTTACATAGTGTACGTGAAATAAAAAATATTTAAAGTGTATTATCAGGCAAGACTCAACTTTAGATTACGGTCGAATTTTTTTTAAACCTAACAAATAATATGACATTTTTATGTCAGAACGGTTGTTGGCGGTTAGTGATTTAACTTATTTTATAATATTAATTTAGTATTTATATATTAGTGACGTAGTATTGCTAGAAAGTATACTGCCATATACGTAATTAGTTTTAACTTTATTAGTAGAAATTAAATATTCTTAGAGATATTTAGAAATGTCATAATTTATATATTTTCTAATTTTTGTATAATAATGTAGAGAAGGCAAATATTATGCCTAACTAGGTTGTACGAAAAAATGAAGTTAAAATTTTAATTAAAGGCAAAATTGTCCAATTTATTGTAATAATTCATAAAATAACTTCAATTTTTAGTTTAATCATATTGCACTAAATAATATAAACCTAAAAGATTTTGCTTTTGGATTGAGAGCCTGATGTGGATATTTATGAAGTAATTTGAAACTGTAAAAATATTATTTTATTTCTTACAGGTGTTGTTGTTATGATGTAAATAGTATATTCCCAAAATGTTTTAAGTAAATTAAAAATGACCCTGTATATTTTTGATTTGTGTTTATATACCTAATTTATTCATTACAATACGTACGAGACAACTCATACCGAGTTTCTAATAAAAACTAAAGCTGTTCGCCAAATAACCACAGATTATAAAATTCAAATTTAATAACATATTATATACATAGTACTAGATTATAGGTATACTAAATGATTAGAGGTAGTAATATTTTTAATATAAATCTGTCCATAACGATATACGTAATATTTATGTGATAAGTATATATTGTGTAAGATTAAGGTAGTGTTAGATTAGGAACATTTATTAAGAAGTATTAGTTATTTTACTTGTCAATTTTGAAGTAACTTTAGCAATGAAATAGACATTGAATTAATCAGGAACTGCAAAATCATACGTTGTTGCTTAAAATAATATGTATTAGTTATTTTGCGTGAAAACTAAACCCACGACCTCTGGTGCAGTGAGTAGTGCTAAACACTATTATTATTATGCCTTAATGAGTGATAATTGCACATTTATTTAATGGTAATTTCTAAAGCGATTGTAATAGCAAAGTGGTATTTCTACAATTACTAATTTAATATTTTCTTAGATTTACACAAATATTTGATATTTTATATAAAACTATCTATTCGTTTTTTTTACAGATTCATTTTGATTTTTGGTTTAAAACGTTTTGAATGCTTTACAGCAATCATGGTCACGAGAGAGACTCTCTCTCGGAAAAGATAGTTTTATTTTATTTAAATTATTAGTATTTTGTTGTAGAGAAATGATAAAATATTTTTTAATCTCATATATATATATCTCTGTATAATCTGTTTATGTATTAGATTTCACAATAGTATTAAGAAGAATACGACTTATTTGAAGCTTTTTTATTAATTGGTCGCTTTTTCCTACCATGTAGTCTGTTTTAATGCGATTCTATATAAAATATATAAACCAATAATTTAATAATAAGTTGGCAGTGTAGGCTCTTGATAGTAGATGGCGTTGTTATTTTATTATTTTGTATGAGCGCCATCTAGTTTGGATGTAAGGCTGTAGATTGGAAAATTTAATAATTTTTTTGTGTTAAAGAAAAGGGAATCAAGAACTTCATTTTTATATAATATTTTATTTATTTTATTATTGTATATTTGATTACTGTTATAATTAAACAAGTATTTATTTTCTGAGTAACACATACAGGCGTCCATAGAACTAGGTGTTTTATAATAATTTATACATTGGTGCCGGATGAACAATGTTCAAACTAGCAATAATTATATTGTTTAATGATATATAGTAGTTCTTTTAATAAATTTTACAGACTGACAGTTTATTTATTTTACTTATCACGTGGTGTGTACTGTGGTAGAATACTTCTTCTTATATATTAATGAAAATGTCTTTATTTTAGTAGTTATTCATTATTCATTAACTATTTTAGAATAACCTGCCATAAGTAAAAATGATTTGAGGCCAAGGAAGACAAGGTAGATAAAATACTTTAATTCATTTAATATATTTATTCCCAATTAATGTTTGAAATCTTGATATGAAGTAAGAAAGCTTAATTTTGTTCTTTTTTTAAATAAAAGCTTAGTCTCAAGTTTGGATCTGGAATCGTCAAATATATGTTAAAATGAAATAAACTTTATTCAATTAGACTTATTACAAGCACTTTTGAAGTGTTATTTATACAATAAGGGAAATTCAGTAAAATACAGTCTTAAAATCTTATGTTCATAAACAGACAAATCTAAAAAAATAATACTTGAGTTAATTTATTTAAGTTCATATATTTCTCAAGGATTAAGTAAAGGACTAAATAAGACTTCAAGTTTGATACATAAAAAAGTCACTTTATTTATCTACAGTTAGGATATAAAATAAATTACATGATGTTTTATCGGCGCCGGTGTCCGTGTATACATAAACATCCCACTTCTCGTTACTACACACAGAGGGATAGATATCGACCATCATGAACGATACTGTAGCATGAGATTATCTCAAGATGTGAGTCAGTCGTTTTAATATATTACATATTATTATATGAATTTATGGAATATTAGTAGCCGTTCATGATCGCCGTTTTCTATGACATAATATACAAAATGGTTGCATTAAAAATGCTTTATTATTCTATACGCCACAAACACTACTACTAGGTAATAGATGGCAGTATCGGTTATTGCTATTCGATCATAGATGGCGTTGGCTCCAACTGATCCATCTACAGACTAAATATATTGGCGCTTTACATTTTGCAATTTACATGAAATTCAAGTGTCAATAGCTTATAATTATTTACAGGTGACTTAGATTATTAATAAATTTCTATATAGACATTGGGATTTATATTTCAACGCATATACCATTCATTGTGTTATGGCAGTGTTAACGACGATACTAGTTTAGACTACCTTCAAAATAGTTTTGTTTTTGACGTTAAATTACAGTGGAACACTTTTTTGAAGATAATATAAGTAGCAGTTCAGTATGAATGGTAAATGCGTATGTTCTACTTTATTCATTTCTCTGGAACACATGGTACTAATCAGGTAATGCCACTTAATGCCTTTCCGCCGAAACAAGGTCGCGAGTTCCCGGACTATTTAATACGTAACTACTTAACCAGTTAAGCGGGAATTACGTAAAATTATTAATTTTTACACCGAGTGGCATACTGGACGTAAAATATTAAACATGATGGCTTCATTAGCTTCTACAAAACGCTTAGGTAAATGGTACTACAAATTTGGAAATTTCGAGAAGCGATGCGGGTTCGGATACCACCGCCGTACTTACACTATTACGTATATATATCGTGCGCGTTGATATACGCTAGGACTAGACTACGCGCTTGTTCACATCCTCACAACAAAGGTCCAAAGTCCGTGTATCACATACAAAGAGCTACAGTCTTAAAATATAGTTTCGTTTAGAGTTTCTGTCGAATGGCACAAAAGTGGCGCCGGCGGCACCGGCACTGCGAGTCCGTTAATGAATGTTAGCTGTCTATCAGCAGTTAGTGTTCATTAGTCACTGGAGTCCCCACAATCGCACGTCAGAGTCAGTCCTCGTTTCAGGGCTCCCCTCGGAGCTAGACGGGGCCGTAGTCGGAGAGCGGCTGTCCGGACCTGGCCGAGGGCGCGGTGGCGGGCAGCGAGGCGGGCGGCGGCAGGCTGGGCGGCGCGTGCGGCGCGTGGGCGGGCGGCGGCGGCGCGGGGGGCGGGGCGGGCTGCCCCGCGGGCCGTCAGACGGCGCCCTTCACCAGCGCGCGGTGCGCCGGGGGCGGAGCCCGGCCGCCGCGCCACACGCGCCTCCACGACTCCAGGGTCTTCCCCGACCAGATCCATACCCCTGAGGTGATGCCCACGGCGAGCGCCATGAAGTACTTCAGCATGAGGGCGGAGTACAGCGGCGTCGGGCCGCAGTTGGCGCCGCACGCAACTCTCCGGAGCCACATCTCGCGGCCGCCGGCCTCATACGCCAGGCAGCCGATCACGACGCCCGCGGGTACCGCGTACAAGACGCTAAATACACCGATTCGAATCATGAGCTTCTCGAGTTTGTCCGCTTTGGAGCCGGCGCCGATGCCGCCCTGCCGCTTGATCACTGAACGAATCCTGAACAGTGACACGAACCCAGCGAGCAGGAACGTCGCGCCGAGTGCGAAGTATACTATTAACGGCGCCAGCACGTATTTCTTTAGGTTTTCTGATGATGTGTTTCCTACATAGCATACTCCGGCCACTGGATCTCCGTCAACAGCGCCGGCGAGCAGTACAGCTACAGTTTTAGCGGCCGGAACTAGCCACGCGGCAAGATGATAATACTGGGCGTGACCGGCGATCGCCTCGTTTCCCCATTTTAAGCCCGCGGCTAGAAACCACGCGAATGATAACACCACCCACCAAATCGAGGAGGCCATTCCGAAGAAGTAAACTAGTATGAAGACTAGTGTACACGCGCTAGGCCCATTCGCAGATGTTTTGAGCAAAGCGCCGTCACAAGCGACTTCATCGTGCCCGATGGCAAGTCTCGCGAGGTAGCCCAGAGCCACCATGAAGTAGCACGCGGAGAGATAGACTATTGGCCGCTCCGGGTACTTAAACCTCTGGGAGTCTATGAGGAAGGTGGTGAGAGTCATTAGCGTGCTTGCCGCGCAGAGGCCGCCCCACAGCGCGACCCACACCGCCGCGAACTCCTTCTCCTCCCGCGTGAAGAAGGCGCCGCGGCACGGCAGCGCGCAGCCGGGCACGCCGGCGGTGGTGGCGCTCGCGTTGTGTAGCGTTCGCACGCTGACCAGCGGCGGGCGACACGCGCACGCGCATTCGTCGCTTCCCTCGCCCGGACTTGCAACCGGGCCGCTTTCGCAGTTTTTTGGATCCTTACAATCTTTTTTGTACGGCCGTCGGGGCGGCGGCCGGGGTGGTTCTGGTTCTTGGGCGCGGTCGTTCTCTTCCATACACAGGTGGTCGGGGTCCCCTAGCCGTGGAAGTTTCTCGCAAGCCATTCGTTCCGGCCATTGGAAGCCATATTTTTGCATAAGTGGTGCACATCCAGCTCGCGCTCTTTCGCATACACTTCGACAAGCGGGCAGCGGCTTTGCGTAGTCCTCTATACATATCGGTGTGTAGACTGAGCACAAAAAGAACTTCAAGTCAGCTGAGCATTTGATTTCTACGAGGGGCCAATACTGATGCACCTGAAATAGGAGAAGTTTTAATTAAAAAAATGGTAAAATTTCAATTCATATCAATTGCTCAAGTTTTGATATTTTTCAATGTAATTATAACAGATCACTGAGATGCATATTATAATTAAACCGGTAATCAGTAAGTAGTGAATAGAGAAGGCAGTGAAAAATATATAGTAAAACTGTCATGTATTTAAATAATAGTAAAACTATTTTATTTATTACAACTCTAGGTACTTTTTTTAAAATTATGATTGTGGCTTACCTCAAGTCCGGCCTCCTCTTGCGTGTCATGGTCCAAAGCGTTCGGGAAGGAGGTAAGGTTGTACCCAATGCCGCGGCACATGGGTATCGTGATCTCTTCGCATCTCGGCTGCAGCGCGTGCACCGCCCCCAGCGCCGCCAGCGCGCACGTCAACGCGCGCCACATTCTGCTACACTACGCTAACCGCATCTGTAACAAATGATAATAATGTTTAGTTAAAATTAATTTTAATATAGAATAATTATTTTATTTCACATATTAGTCCTTCCTGTCTTCTCTATTCTATGTGACATGTAGACGTCCACGAAAGAAATTAAGTTCATTTCCTCCTAGGCAAGCTTAAACAAAACAACTAAGAACATAAAAATAGAATTTAATTTATTTTAAAATGGAATTGAATTTGAATTGAAAAAAAAATATAAAAGAAAAGACCATAAATTGATCTAAAACATGAATAACATTGAAGAAAAGATCGCTTCGAATATCGGCAATGAATACAAAATTACTCTCAGTTACTGCGATCACATTATTCCCAATGAGATGGGCATGCATATGGTTAAGTTTAAATTTACAAATGTTCCCAACATACTCCGCTAAAGCACCTCATAATATTATTGGAAAAGAATGAGTACGGATGACAAAAATATTGGAAAACGCGTAACAAGTTCATAAACTTTTACGAGTAATTTCAGTACATGTATAAAATTGAGATTTTTTATAAGAAGCAGTTCGGTAGAGAGATCACAGTTCACGCATAATATTAATTATTGTTATAAGGGAATTTAGTGCGGATTTAAATAGAAAGCTTTAAGGTATTTTTATTTTTGTTTACAGCATCAAAAGTAACTGATGTAAAAAGGAAAACCGAGAGCATTTAAGAGTGGCAATTAGTGGTTGAAACGAAAGCTTCGAGTTAGAATGTTATAAAATCGCTTCATTAGCATTCATTAGTCAACTCGGCATTCGTACAACAAATACGTGAATCAGAAACTGTGATTAATATTCCTACAATCCCTGGCAAGTAAAATAGAAGAAAGAATGAAAGCGGACTCCTTGGAAGTTTCGATCTTTGCTTTATGATAATTTCAAAATAAAAGTATAAGGACCAATTTTGATCTACATTCTGAAGTAGTAGCAGAGTGCAGACCCGCTTATAAAGCTTAAGTTTTTATGACTGGTATTATCCCGCGGCTCCACCTGCGTTCTTCAATTATTATGTATGTCTGTATGTTACTCTAAAGTATAAATTATTATTTATTACTATAAAATCCGTTCCTAGTTTTGCATGAAAGAGTAATAAATATACATCCATTTATTCAACCATTCTTACAATTCGCGTTTAATATTTTACCTCCCGCCATTTACAATAAAAAAGCGGCACGTGGTTAAGTACTTCTACCGTTTAACTGAATCCGGAATAAAGCTTGAAAACATATTATTATCTACACTTCTACACTACTATTATAAAGAGGAAAGATTTATGTTTTTGTTTGTTTGTAACGAATAAACTCAAAAACTACTGGCCTGATTTAGATGAAATTTTGTAAGAAGATATTTGAGACCCTGGGAAAGACATGTGATATTTTTTATTCCGGAAATCATTCCTTAAGGAGGTGAAAATGGGTATGAAAGTTTGTATAGAGAATCAAACTATATATACATATATCGCTACTTCATAATACAACTAGCATTGACCGCGGCTCCGCCCGCGTTCAGATGACCAAAAACCAAATTCTTAGGTTTTACATAGGTATTAGTATACTCTTTCTTACAATGCAGTTTTTGTATTCTTTCTCAGATATGAGATATTTTCCTGCAGTAAAGAGTATCTATATGTTGTCCCGGATAATCAGCTATCATCATACCAAATTTCATCAAAATCCCTCCAGTGGTTTTTCCGTGATGCGGTAACAGACAGACAGACAGACAGACAAAAATTTTAAAAACTAGATTTGGCCTCTGTATTGATAAAAATGTCTATTTCAATTAGATTTTCTAAGTATTTATTTTACAGATTCGGCTAAGTTACAATTTTATTGTATGTATAGATTGTCATCATAAAATTGTATAACCATTGGGTGTACAGTCTGCACGGATATGTAAGTCCGAGTTCCGAGTCAGTAACTTTATAGGTTCGACGAACGTAGAATTAGTTTAAGTTAAATGGCATTATTTATTTTAGTCAGGCCATGTGCCAGTAAATATAGCAAGGATTGCTCTGTGCCCGAAAAACAGGCTACGGAATAAGCTTTACGTTTACTGTTTTATGGTCGGTAATGGAGAACTGGCCCGGCGCGGTCGTTTGCATCATGCGGAGGAAAGCGTGCGGTAGATCATTCGTATATGGCATCGGTTGCGACGACTGGTTTGTCAGTCGTTTAATTGCATTTTAATTAGTAATTAAGCGGAAATATGGAAATGCGAAACACATTTTTCTTAAAATATGCGAGTATACCTTTACAGAGCGTTTTTGCATGTAAAATAATGTTTCTGCGAATTTGAACACCTTTAAGTTAAAATTGGTAATGAGTAAAGTACTGGTTTTTGTGCATGCTGAAAGAGCGAGTAAAGACCACAGGTGATAGCATACAAATGTGATTGATCGAGGCTGACACAATGTATGAATTCAACTTTATTAATATATTTTTGTTTTTATTTGTGAGACTGTATATTCATATTAATTTCGGACATTTACCTATTTTAAACAATAAATAAATTTTAAAAAACTTAATGTTATATATTTAACCAGCGACTACGTTTTAACTTTTATAGATGTCTTAGAGATGAGATATTTTCCCGCAGTAAAATATCTCATCATTCTACATGTTGACCCAGATAACCAGATATCATTCATACCAAATTTCATGAAAATCTGTCCAATGGGTTTCTCGTGATGCGCACCCAAACAGACAGACAAACATTCTAAAAACTATAGATTCAGCCTCTGTATCGATAATAATGTCTATTTCAATAACATTTTCCAAAAAATATTTTATGTAGAGATTCGATTAAGTTAGAATATTATTATATGTATAAATGATACAAGTGATAACGATTAAGTTAGAATATTATTATATGTATAAATGATACAAGTGATAAAAGTATCTATATCACTTGTATCATCACGCTTAGTTAGGTCGCTTTCCAACAACAAGTACTGAGATCTAGATAGACAAGTATAGAAACTAGAAGCTAATCGTACGTTAGATAAGTCAGCAAAGAAGCTGGGTCCTAACTAGCATAGTACTTAGACATAATCTAGCCGTTTTCGATAAGACTAGTACGTTGTCATCTTCAATCAGTATCCGGTGTCGGCATCCCGGCGAACAGTTAATGCGCTTTTAACGACACGACGCATCGACACGTGGCCGCCGGGATCTGTTACTCTTGATGCATTCCTCGCGTAATGTACACTCGAAAATTATATTTCTGGAATATCTAGAAATGTTGTGTGGTTATAGTGTTTTTGTAAATTAAGGTTTTGATTTTAATTTCTTTCTCATTAGACCACCTGTCCTACTGCTGGGCACGGACTTCCCTACAATTCAATTTCAAAATATTTTATTCAGCATTAAATTATTTCAATTTTTTACTGAACGTCATGAGTCTACTATCAGTTCGAAAAGTAGAAGCCTCAGACCTGAGAAGAACTGGCGAAAGAATCTCAGCGGGACTAATATTAACTTTCTTTTTTGAAGTAAAATTATAATTTACAATATTTCTATCAAGTTGAAGTAGCCTGGAGGCGATCTTTTCTTCCCAAGGTGTGCCATCTTCTATAAAATCAATTATTGTATAATAGCTTTTAGCACACAAAGGTTCTTTAACAATTTTTTTGAATTTGGCGATAGAAGCCTTTTGAACATTTTCTGGGATCCTATTGTACAAGCGTATACATTGTCCATAAAAAGAATTACTGACTCTGTGTAGACGAGTCACAGGCATGACAAGTTTGTGTTTGCTCCTAGTATTAATGTTATGCATGTCACACTTTGGGAAATTCCTGCCCTAGTCCACCACGCTGGCCAAGTACGGCTTGACGGACTACACATATCTATCGAAAACTTGCTAGGTTCTCTCAAACATGCAGGTTTCCTCACGATGTTTTTTTTTCACCCTAAGACAAGTGGTATGCATGGTAGAAATGACTCGCACGTGACAATATCAGAGGTGCTAGACCTTGGATTTGAATCCGCTGCACTCGGTTTCTCAAGAGACCGCGTCACCACTGGGCTACCACTGCCCGTAGACTGTTAGGAAAACTTTAAATGATGTAATTGTTATTAAAAATCTAACTAAAGTCCAGTTGAGTTATTGACGAATAAAATAGCACTTGACTTCAGTTAAATGAGACTTTTTTTAATTTATTATATAGATTCACTCCTGTCTTTTCCTTGGACTGCGTAAAACAAACAAGTTGAATTGAAAGTGTCACCCACCACGCAAAATTTACGCTAAAATCCAGGCCATCTTTATATTTATGGTAGTTATCTGTAGATGGCGGTAATCTATTAATTTCTTGATGATCTTCCAACTAGTTTTTGTCTGCGGTTATGTTTCGATAATGGACAGTACATTAAAAAAAATGAAAAACCTGTGTTATTTTTAAACAGTACGACATTCTTTTAGTGACAAGATTTGAAATTGCTTTAGTAACCACAAAGAGTATGTACTAAATATAAAAGAAATTATTTTATCTATGTAAGAGGTTTAGCAATACTTCGTATATAAATTATTTGTTTTTCTTTTCAATAAAAATAATAAATTCCTCGACTTTGCTATCGACAATATGAGCTAAGAATTTCAGATCGATTGTGAGCATTTCCAATATACGCGTACTCGCAATATCAATGGCAAGGCACATGGACTCTGGCACAATAAACAATGCTTGTATCGTAAAGCGTACAGCTCTGACTCCTTCCTACGTCGTTAAAGATATGAGGCGGTTATGGCTTAGGCGTATGGTTTGGAGCCTAGGGTAGAATAGAAAAGTTTCAATAGTCTGTATCAATATGAAAATGTTAAATGTGAAGTAATAAAAATTTAAAAACATAGGGACGTTAAAACATAACAAAAGAACATTTTTTTTATAATTATAAAAATATAATCTCATCACATACAATAAATGTGTAACTGATTGCTGCCTGAGAAAAACTATTATTAGG